AAAAAAAAAAAAAAAAAAAAAAAAAAAAAAAACGTCAAGAATAGCGATGATAATAGTATGATGACTCAGACTGATGTTATTTGCAAGTGCGGACTCATCATCATCATCTGTGGCGTAAGGATGCTAAGCATCAGGATCATCGTCTAGTTAGTACCTTGCATGGAATATTCGACGTGTTTTATCTCTTTTTTTTTTTTTTTTCCCCCTCTGCTCTACTACATCTACAAGACTTGATCAGCTGGTAATAACATATTCTTTAAACCCACAATCTTTATTCCGTTATAATAACCTTCTTTATAATAACATCTGTCTATCCATTCTTCAATTCGATTTGGATCATTCTCATCTTCATCTTGTCGATCCGAGACATTCAGGGGCTGCGGGTCTCGACCTCCTTGGCTGCGACGACCCAACCTGCCCGTCTCTCGCGCTGTCACTCCAGCTTCATCTTTCTCTCTTTTCCAACCCCTCGCAATAATATGATGGCTGCTCTTCAGTCGTCCTGTTTTTTGCGTCGCTGTTGATCATATTCTGACTTTGTTCTTTTTTTTTTTTTTTTTTTTGGTCTGTTCCTATTAACAGTTCCGCCACTCATTCAGGGCCCTTCCATTCCTTTCCCCCTCTCCATCCCTCCATTAGCCGCCCTCCATACGATCGCTTCCCCAGTTCCCACCCTTCAGTCTGGTCGTCATTTTTCCTCCACTCCCTCCCTTTTTCTTTCTTCTTTCTTTCATCATTGAAGAAAACAGAGAAGAAAAATACCGGAGTTGTGTGAGAGGAAGTGGTAGCTGTTCAGTCTTGTTGTCCTATCTCCTTTGTTGGCTTCGTCATCTGTCAATATTTGATCAACATCTTCTCTCTTTTTTTCCCCCATTACCCTCTTTCGCTTTCAATTATTCTATTCTAGCCAGGTTGATCCTGTGCTTTTTCTGATTTTTTTTCGACCAGCCCCAGGTGCTGCGCACTTAATTGGCTGAATACATCCTTTAATCGGTCGAATTTTCGCCCACGATACGCCCTTTTTAACCCTATCGCATCGAATACGCCCATAGACCACTGTCTTTTTATACCTCCAATCAATCGTTGATCGTGAATTGAATCGTGAATCATCGCCAAAATGTGGAACATTCCTTTTTCTCGAGTCGCGTGGCTCGCTCTTCTTCTCCCCGCCCAGACTCTCGCTGGCGATACCCTCAGTACCAACGGCCTTTCCACCTGCTTGGCCGATGCCGATATCAAAGTCAACACCCTTCAAGTCACCTATACCAAATCGACAAGGGAAGTGGTTTTCGACCTCGCCGGAACCAACGCCAAGGAACAGAACGTCACGGCAGCTTTGACCGTATACGCATACGGTAATCAAATCTACAAGAAGGCCTTCGACCCCTGCACTTCCGAGTACCATATCGATCAATTATGCCCTGTCCCAGCTGGGCATTTTGCGGCTACCGGGTCACAGCAAGTCCCAGAATCCTTCGCCAGTCAGATTCCATCCATCGCCTTCAGCGTTCCAGATTTGGACGGACAGGCCAAATTAGAACTGATGTCCAAGTCGGGAGGTGACGAGGTCTCCTGTGTTCAATCCCAATTGTCCAATGGTAGATCAATGCACGTTAAGGGTGTTTCATATGCTGCTGCGGGTGTGGCAGGTGCTGCCCTTGCTATGAGTGGAGCTTCCGCCGTGGGTGCTGCCAGCCATGCTAGTCTTGCTTCAACTAGTCCAGGCTTTGGTGATGTCATGGGGTGGTTTCATACCATGGCCACCAATGGCATGCTCAGTGTCAGCTATCCGACGGTATATCGCAGTTTCGCAAAGAACTTCGGTTTCAGCACTGGTCTCATCCCGTGGGGCGATATGCAACAGTCAATCGACAACTTCAGATCGACTACTGGCGGCAATCTTACACAGAACAGCTACGAGTTCCTTCGAAATGCGACTCTAGTCTATTCGAACGGATCATCAACGTCTACAACGAGCTCTAAAGTCAAACGCGGATTAAATTTGATTGTTGGCGTCTCGGATCTTGCCGTACGCGATGTTTCAGGCTCGTCCGACGACACGTCTTCGAGCAATAGCAGCAGCGATAGCAGCGGTAACGATTTCCACCATTTCGTCTCCGGAATCGAAGCATATGCGGAGCAGCTTAGTGTCCCTCAAGCAAACATCTTCATGACGGTCCTACTGGTCTTCGCCATCGTGGTGGCTGCCATCACCGTTGGCATTCTACTCTTCAAGGTGATTCTCGAAGTGTGGGCAATGTATGGCACCTTTCCGGATAAGCTCACCAATTTCCGCAAAGACTACTGGGGTCTTCTGGCCCGAACTATCACCAACTTGATTCTCATTCTTTACAGTATCTGGGTCTTGTATTGCGTTTATCAGTTAAGCAGTGGCGATTCCTGGGCAGCTAAAGTCCTTGCCGCCATCACTCTCACAGTGTTCACCCTGCTCTTGCTCTTTTTCGTCTACCGGATCTCACACTTGGCACGCAAGTACAAGATGTCTGAAGGTGACGCATCCAGTCTATTTGAGAACAAGGAAACCTGGCGCAAATACAGTCTCTTCTATGACAACTACAAAAAGGACTATTGGTGGATCTTTGTTCCCGCAATTGCGTACATGTTCGTCAAAGGCTGTATTCTGGCTGCCGGCAATGGTCATGGGCTTGCTCAATCCGCCGGTCAGCTTATTGTCGAGTCTCTCATGTTGATTCTTTTGTTGTGGCATCGTCCATACGTTGCCAAATCGAGCCAATGGATTAATATCACCATTCAGGTGGTTCGTGTATTGTCGGTTGCCTGTGTCCTGATCTTCGTCGAGGAGCTTGGTCTTTCGCAGACCACCAAAACTGTCACCGGAATTGTGCTCATCGCTATTCAATCGGGATTGACGGGTATCCTCGCCATTCTCATTGCTGTCAACGCCATCATTCTCTGTGTTCGCGAGAATCCTCATGCTAGGCGCAGAAGGGAAGCCGGTAAGTTGGAAAAACTCCATGCCCGATATCCCCCAAGCTTGCTAACTCTTTATTTCCTAGAAAAAATGAACCGTGACATGGACGACCTTACTCCCTTGGACGCTCGGGAGTCACTTCTTATAGAGCATCCTCAACGTAAAGAGTTCACCGAGATGAGCAACTTCAACTTCACCGGTCCTTATGAACCATATCGGGACCAAGTTTACCCCAAGTCACGATCAAGTCCTACGGGCAGTACTGAACGCTTGGTGGAAACTGAAGACCACGTCGACAATCGGCATGGCCGAAGTTTGAGCCGAGAAAGCAGCCATAGTCGGGATAGCCATGGCTCCCCTGATGGACGCCATCCAACGACTCCTGGCTACGGGCTTGCTTATTAAGTTCTATTCGCCTTGGAATTACGATACCACATCTCTTATCATTCTCTTTCCCTGTTTGATATTTTCTTTTACTAGACACGTCCATGTCTAGAATTTTGCATGACTTAGCGTATCTGAATGGTGATTTGCGTTGATGTATTTCATTGGATTTTGTCTGATATCACCCTAGTACTATAAGAGTTGTATTGCCCTTTTTATCCGGAATACATATCCGTCCTTTCTTTTCCTCCTTTTTACTATCACTCATATCTTTTTTATTATTCTTTTCCCCACTGGAGGTCATTTGCAGATTCAAAAGTTGCATGATTGTTTATTTGATAACACGGATACTGTTCTCAGGCCCACGCCACGCAATAATTAGGTTTCCTATATGCTATCGCTGGTAACTTCTACGTTTATTAAATAGTCAAGTAATTAAACATGATGGGTCAATAGAAAGAGTATGTATGGACTTTATGACAGTATGTAGTACCCACGCATCATTGCCATCTCGACTCCCTACCCATCTTATCGATCAATAGTATGTAGTGCGGCTCAATTAACAACGTTGAGAATGTGCTGTCTCTATGTTCAGGTTATGTGCCATAGATCAGACAAGTTAGAGTCAATTTATAGTCATGTACTAGATAAATACATACAGACTGAATTATATCATATCGGAATATACAACTCTGCAACTCTGCAAGCCTGAAAGCACTGACTAGCAGTGGCAACAGCTCATGCACAGATTCAACAGCACACCATCAAATGATCTCTAGTCGTGGGTATAAGGGTAATATTAATCAAATAGCGTGCCTTCATTAGGTTACTGACTGTCATTCACTGCCTGCAGCGCCTTCGCTTGGTAGATATCTTGTGGGGATAAGGACATTTCTTATGCCTTGTGAGGCTCTGTCCTTTACTTCGATCATCAAAAATTGACCTTACTGACGTCCCTTTTTAATCCAGCTAGACTCTGGACTTCATATCCTGTAGTTGTTCATCTATACAGAACATTCGGTAGTATACATTGACGATTAAACAAAAAGAAGGAGAAAAAAAATTATACAAATACCCCAACACATTTTATCAGTCGCCCAATGATCCCAAGAAAAGACAAATGGCAGTTTAGAAGCTGATTGGTAGATTTTACCATCACCTTAAACCCATTGCCTTGGATGCTTCAAAACATCTATCAGCTCTTTTTCACTGGCTTTGTCTTCTCCCAGCTGCTCTTCCTCACCAGTGGGCATTTTCTCGGTCCGGGTTCCAGATACCGGATCCATGTAGGCCCAGCTGGCTGTACGGGGCAGACTCATCAGAATACTCTCAATGCGGGCATTGGGAGTACGAAGGCCGAAGCTCGTACCGCGATCATAGACGAGGTTGAATTCTACGTAGCGACCTCGCCGGAGCTGTTGCCACTCCTTCTGAGCGGGGGTGAAGGGCATATCCTTTCGTCGTTCAATGATTGGGATATATGAAGGGAGGAAGGAGGCGAGACCGTCGGAGACAAAGGCGAAATGGGTCTCTTGGGGATTTTGGGAGGAGGCCGAAGAAGATTCCAAAGAGCTGGCATCGAGATCGTCGAAGAAAATACCGCCGACACCCCGGGACTCGCCACGGTGAGGAATGTAAAAGTACTTATCGCACCATGCCTTGAACCGGGGATAGTACGTTGCGTCATGTCTGTCACAGGCGTTCTTGATAGTCTGGTGGAAATGTTTGACGTCCTCGGGAAACAGGTAGGACGGGGTCAGATCCGTACCACCTCCGAACCACCAGTTCTTGTCACCATTGATAGGGTCTTTGGGATCGGAAGTCTCAAAGTATCGGTAGTTGAGATGGACGGTGGGGGCCATGGGATTGTGGGGATGCAGGACCAGAGAAAGACCGGCGGCGAAGAAACTCAGAGAATCCACGTCTGCGCCCACGAATGATTTGTGATCGGCCCGCATCTTCTCGATGGCTGGTCGAGGTAGTTCACCGTACACGATCGAGACGTTGACACCGGCTTTCTCGAAGACATTGCCATCCTGGAGAACACAGGAGATACCACCACCTCCGTTGGGGCGCGACCAGGTATCGGTTTTGAATTCCTTGCCGTCTATCCTGCTGAGCTCCTCGATGATCTTCTGCTGGTGGTCCTTGATCAATTTCTCCATGCGCAGGCGCATCGGCGACGTTTCGCCAATCGCAGCTTGTTTCTTCAAGGTCTCGTCGAGTTCCACGATAGACGGAGAGTCGAATTCGGTTACCTCGCCGGTCATCTGCAAAGCCTGGTTAGAAGGCAGCTTGCCGACGTGAGGGTTCAGACAGCATGCCTTACCATGGAGTATACTATAGCGCCGATAAATGGCACTCCAATTGCCAACCGCAAATACGGCCTCCACACGGTAAATTGCTTAGAATCCGGGGGCTTTTGTTCCGACGAATATCTGCGAAACGATCCTCGAAGGTCACGAGCAGGAGTGCGGCAGGTCCGAGATGACAACTGACATAATGACCTCCGCAGAGGTATATATGGCCGGGCAAAAGCCATCATACGAGACGGAATTGAGAAGGGAGAGGGTGAAATTGGCTGATCTGGTAAAGGTGGTGCCAGATGAGGGAGGGCCTAGTGCCACGTCCTATCCCAATGAGTGGTAGTCCAACTTGATCAAAAACCCGACCTTTATTCGATGAAGGGAGAGAAAAATAAATGATAACCCTGTCCAACTGATTGGCTTGATTTAGTAGCTGTCTTGTCGTAGTCGCAGTGCTACTGTATTAAGACAGCTCTGCCCATCGGAGGATTATCCACGAACGGTGTTTGTGGTGTTTGCACTGTTTGATTCATTTGTGTTGCTGTGTGACCGAGGCCCATAACGATTACATATTGTTGTATAGACCAAGGGATAAGAATGAGTCAATAATGTCGAGATTGAGTCATGAGATCAACCGAGCTACAGGTCAGAAGTACAGCTGGGATGACTGTATCACTTCAAAGACACTCGGAACAGCCATCGTCATACATATTGAGAGCTGCTGCTCTGCCAATAATACCTCTGGTAAGTAAGTATGAATAGAGTCATCTACTATTCATGATTCTCCTATCATGGATTAGAATCCTTGGTCATCATCAAGGTTATCGATCACGTGATATGAGATCATTCATTCAACATCAAAGAAACATCAGATAATAAATAAGAATGAGGAAATAGAAGCCAGCTCTACGATTAATGCCACATATAACTCCAATAGCCACGGCCCATGGCACTCCGTAGTCCAGACGGTTATCGATATCGTCATTCTGCCAGCGGTCCCCATCATCCAGCCATGACGACGATGGTGATGATGCCTCTCTGGAATCCACGTGAAGACAACAAATGATGTATTTTCCGGAAATACAGCTCTCTGATAGGCTTCAACTGCCCTGCTGCCTGACCAGGCACCGCTACATTGTTCAATATTGCAAGATTCCCTCTGTCAGCACATGACTCAGCCCAGTGGGGCCTTCACCGCCCTCCCATCCCCGTGATCCTCTCTCTATACTGCATTACGCGGGGCTGTCGCCTTCTCCCTTCTGTCATCTTCATCACTGTTCATCGTCTCGACTTTCTATCTCGATTTCTACCCCACATCATCCTCCTGTTCTCATATAGTTCCCCCTGTCGTCAGTCTTATATCCATCCTTTCCTCCACCTTCTTGATTCCATCCTCAACTCCCCCGACTTACCGCCTTATCTATCACTATGCGGTCCAAGTTCAAGGACGAGCACCCTTTTGAGAAACGCAAGGCAGAGGCCGAGCGTATCCGCCAGAAATACGCCGATCGCATTCCGGTATGCACGCTTTCTTACTCTTGAGTCTTGTTGTGAAAATGCTTCTTCTCCCCTGTCTCTGTCCTTGCAGCGGCAAGGCAGATAGACGCTCTCCTTCACCGCTTGTTCGAATCGTTGACTTAGTTCCTATTCACAGGTGATTTGCGAAAAGGTCGAAAAGTCAGATATTGCTACCATCGACAAGAAGAAGTACCTTGTACCTGCAGATCTCACCGTTGGCCAGTTCGTCTACGTCATTCGCAAGCGTATCAAGTTGTCTCCCGAGAAGGCCATTTTCATCTTCGTCGATGAGGTCCTGCCACCGACAGCCGCGCTCATGAGCAGTATCTACGAAGAGCACAAAGATGAGGATGGGTTCTTGTATATCACGTATGTTTGGCTATCTGACTGTTTCTCTCACGCGGTTTCATATACTGACTCGGGCCCTATTTTAGATACTCCGGCGAGAACACTTTTGGCGACTGTTAAGCTTTCAACATAATCCCCACCGTTGACAACTTTCTCCTCTACAAGGCCGATGTTCAGAAACCGAGGGGCCTAGGGGATGAGAGGGCTGGTTTAACTTGACGGTGATTTCTCTCTTGAATGCAGGCGTTATATCAGGTGTTTCGCATTTTCTTCATGACCTTGCTTGGCGAACTTTTTTTTTTTTTTTTGTTCTGATGGCTGCAATGGAATATTCTTTTGACAGACCATGTGCTCTAGTGGTAATTTCACTGAAACAGATATAAATTATAGTCATCGACTGCTGCGTATACATTTTTAGTTTTGGCGGTGAAATCTGAAAGCGACATATCAGCTTCAGCTTCAATGCTAAGTCTATTGGATGTCTATGTAGTTGTTGTGGGAGAAATGTTACTTTGATTGAAGCTTGAACAGTTCATTCATGCCCCTGAACCCTTCAAGTCACACCCAACATAGCCAAGATCTTCATGAACATATGATCTTGGTAGTGGCTATCCGTAAAAAACAAGCCAATGCGCTAACTATTTGTTGCCATCTAGATATTAAAGATATGGTTTGTAATATTCATCTTATGAGCCGTGTCTGTTTTGTTACCGTGGGGGCGTAGTGATTTGAAACCATTCGATCTTCCAGAATATACTGCCTTAGCCTCGGAAAGCGATAAACGATGATAATTCAATGATTGTGACTGGATGGGAAATGTGCCGTGGCTGGCAGTGAGACGCATATCACATAGTTACCTACTGCAGGGGCATACGGGAAGAGTGGGATGTCACAAGTTGAAACATGTTAACTTCCAGTGTGTTCGAATCATATAAACTCTGTCTGGATATATGACCTTAGCATCAGATATTCAATTTGTGACGATGAAGCTATTCAGAAGCTACTATTCTACCGCCTGCGTATCAGGGGTAAACATTCACATGCTGGCCAGATACAAGACAGTAGATTCGAAATGATAATTCCCTCGTACATTATTCAACCAGACAGCCAACACTCCAACACTCCAACCCATTCAAGCCTTGCTATATTTCTTTTTCGTCCCACTCCGTATTCTAATTATCATCATCTGCTCTCTTTCTCTCTGCTTATTATTATTATTATTATTATTTCTGTTCCTGATAACTCCGATCTCGCCCCGGTCTCCCCAACCCCGTTTGGGACTAGCGCCGGTTCTAAAATTTTGGAGACTCCGACTCAGCGCAGCCAGACAGACCATCGTGACCTGAAGAAGACTTGCATCTCCATTATTGTTCTTATTGTCATCGCTGCTTCTTTCCCTTCCTCTTCCTCTTCCTATTTCTCTTCTTCCTTCTGGTCGGAGTTCTGTTCTTCTTTGTGTGGTTCTGTTCGTCGTATCTTGTTTAATTTTCTGGCTCGGCCTTCTTGTCTGATCCTTCAATTCTTTCCCTCTTTTTTTTCTCTTCTCTTTTTTCACATCAACACAATGTCTCCCGCCGCCGGTGCTGGCTCTGCCACCAAGGATGTTAAGAAGGAATCCGCGACTGCCCGACTTTTGGGTTCGGGTATGTATTTTCAATCATTAGAGGCCATGATCGGTTACTGATTGTTCGACTCAGGAAGCGCTGGTATTGCCGAACTGATGGTCTTCCATCCCGTACGATACCCCCAATCGCTCTTCAATTCTTTCCATTAGGTATTTATTTTAATGTTTTATCAAGGTTGATACCACCGCGAAGCGATTGATGAGCAACCAGTCCAAGGTAAGATCTCTCATCCCCCTCCGCTTCTCAAGTTGCTTTTGTGTTTGGTGTCTAATTCGGTCTTTTTAATTGTTTAGATCTCTTCGGCCAAAGATATGAACAAGGTTGTTTTCAAAGAATACGCCGATGCCACTGTTGGTCGCAAGTTCACCTCGCTCTTCCCCGGATTGGGATATGCTGCCGGTTACAAGGTGCGTGAAACTGAAATAGACGATGCGTGGGTTTTCAATTGACGGTGTAATTTGTCTCCAGGTTCTTCAGAGAATCTACAAGTACGGTGGCCAGCCGTTTGCACGAGACTACTTGGCCAAGCACCACGGTAGCGACTTTGATAATGCTTTTGGAAAGGGAACCGGAAAGGCCATCATGCACGCGACTGCCGGAAGGTACGAATGCCAATATTGCCAACTCCCTCCAAACGGTCCCTTGCTAACGCAATTGAACTAGTTTGATTGGTATCGGAGAGATCGTCCTCCTTCCTCTCGACGTTCTGAAGATTAAGCGTCAGACTAACCCCGAGGCTTTCCGTGGACGTGGTCTCTTCAAGATCGTTGCTGACGAGGGAATGGGACTTTACCGTGGCGCCGGCTGGACTGCGGCTCGTAATGCCCCTGGATCTTTTGCGGTATGTCCTTCCCCCGCAAACCCATTTGCGTTGGTGAGATGCTAACATGATGCCAGCTCTTCGGTGGTTCTGCATTCGCCAAGGAATACATCTACAGCTTGAAGGATTACAACACGGCCACATGGGGTCAGAACTTTGTCGCCTCAATTTGCGGTGCTAGTGCTTCTTTAGTGGTGTCTGCTCCCCTGGATGTGATCAAGACTCGTATCCAAAACCGCAACTTCGAGAACCCGGAATCTGGCTTCCGCATCGTATCCAACATGGCCAAGAACGAGGGTTTCGGCAGTTTCTTCAAGGGACTGACTCCCAAGCTGCTGATGACCGGACCCAAGCTCGTTTTCAGCTTCTGGCTGGCTCAGACTCTGATCCCCGCGTTTGGACAAGTCGTATAGAATATAGAACGACTCGGTTTGTTTAATTCGTTGGTTAGGTTACATCTTTTCTTCATGTCCTATTATATGGCCCGTTAAGTGCGATGACTCAATCTTGGGTTTGCCTTTTTGGCCTTTGTGTATTTTTGATAGACATTTATCCCGGGTTAATTTTCGGATAAAAAACAATGGACTCCTCTTAATATTTTTAAAAATATGGAAGAAGCACCGCAATATATTAGATACTCGATACACCCCGTAGCGCAAAACTGGTAAGTTAATTACTACTATCTGTCAGCACGTGACCCATCCAAACTTGGGACTTCGAAGTTCCCAACGCTATCCAAGCTCAATCCAATCTCCAACTCCTCCAGACTCAAAAGAAACAAACAACAACAAGCGCGAAAATGCCTGTCTACCTAATCTCCAAGTATGAACCTCCCACCGCTCATTTAACCTAACAAACCCAGTCAATCAAGCAATCCATCGATCAAGTTCGCAACTAACAACCGCCAGACTCGCAGATCCCCTCTTCGCCTTTGCCATTGGCACAAGTGCCGCCTTCATCCGCATCCGCCGTGAACAACAAGAGAAATTCCCCGAGCGAGCTGGTGAGATCGGAGTCGGGACAGTTTTGGGGCTGGGTGGAGAGAGGATACGGCGGTGGTGGGGAGGGGAGTTTGAGGGGCTATAGAAAACAAAAAGTGTGATTTTTTCACCCTCTTCTTTGCTTTTAGAATATCGGGATAATTATTATACCCCTTGGGTAGTTGATGTGTTTGATACAATGTATGATATGGGAATATGGTGTCTGGTTGTTACGAGGCAAGACAAAAAAACAAGACTTAAAAGCAGTTAAGCTATGGCAATCACATTCTTATGTAGTCTGGACAAGATGAAACAGGTGAAACAATTTCATTGAAATGACGCGAAGAAACTACAGCTACAAGGAACAATGAATTAAAAGTATTGTATTGGTCATAAGGAACTTTTCCCTCCCAAAGCAACTCTGCCAAAAGGCAGATCATAATGCATCGAAAACTTGAATCTATGCAGGTCATGCACAAAAGAAAAGGATCCCATAATTTCGTAAAAAAAGAAGACATAAAAGACCATTATTTAAAACAACGCCGAAAAGAAACCCGGTTCAAGACATTTAGTCAAGCTCCTCGGGGCGCTCCTCAACCTCGTCAGCGGGGCGAGCAGCACCACCAGGGGCGGCACCAGGGGCACCACCGGGAGCACCGCCAGCAGCACCGTAGGCAGCGGAGATGATAGGGTTGGCAACACTAGAGAAAACGTTAGGAAGACAATTCAAAACTTAAGAAAGGATTGGTGTAACATACCCCTCAAGCTCCTTCTGCTGGGACTCGTACTCGTCCTTGGTGGCGGTCTGGTTGTTATCGAGCCAGCTGATGGTCTCATCGACCTGCTTGGTGACCTTCTCCTTGTCCTCGTCGCTGATGGTCAACTTGCCCTCGTTGATGGTGTTCTTGAGGGAGTAGGCGTAGGACTCGAGACCGTTCTTGGCCTGGATACGGGAAGCCTCGGCCTCATCCTCGGCCTTGTATTTCTCAGCCTCAGCCAACATGCGCTCGATCTCCTCCTTGGAGAGACGGCCCTTGTCGTTGGTGATGGTGATGTTGTTGACCTTGCCGGTACCCTTCTCGGTGGCGGAGACGTTCATGATTCCGTTGGCATCGAGATCGAAGGTGACCTCGATCTGAGGAACACCACGAGGAGCGGGAGGAATGCCAGTAAGCTCGAACTTACCGAGTAGGTTGTTGTCCTTGGTACGGGCACGCTCACCCTCGTAGACCTGGATCAAGACACCGGGCTGGTTGTCGGAGTAGGTAGAGAAGGTCTCGGACTTCTTGGTAGGGATGGTGGTGTTGCGCTTGATGAGAGCAGTCATGACACCACCAGCGGTCTCGATACCGAGGGACAGAGGGGCAACATCAAGCAACAAGATCTCGTTGGTGGACTTGGAGGAAGTGTCACCAGACAGGATAGCAGCCTGGACGGCAGCACCGTAGGCGACAGCCTCGTCGGGGTTGATGGACTTGTTGGGGTCCTTGTTGAAGAAGTCGGAGACGAGACGCTGGATCTTGGGGATACGGGTGGAACCACCAACCAGGACGATCTCGTGGACGGAGGACTTGTCGATCTTGGCGTCACGGAGGACACGCTCAACGGGTTCCATAGTGCCACGGAAGAGGTCCTGGCAGAGCTCCTCGAAACGGGCACGGGTGATGGAGGTGTAGAAGTCAATACCCTCGAAGAGAGAGTCGATCTCAATGGAGGTCTGAGCAGCGGAAGAGAGGGTACGCTTAGCACGCTCGCAAGCAGTGCGGAGACGACGGAGAGCACGAGCGTTGGTGGTCAAGTCCTTCTTGTGCTTGCGCTTGAACTCATTGACGAAGTGGTTGACGAGACGGTTGTCAAAGTCCTCACCACCCAAGTGAGTGTCACCAGCGGTGGCCTTGACCTCGAAGATGCCCTCCTCAATGGTCAGGAGGGAAACATCGAAGGTACCACCACCCAAGTCGAAGATGAGGACGTTGCGCTCACCGTCGATCTTCTTGTCCAAACCGTAGGCAATAGCGGCGGCAGTGGGCTCGTTGATGATACGAAGAACGTTCAGACCAGCAATGAGACCGGAGTCCTTGGTGGCCTGACGCTGGGAGTCGTTGAAGTAGGCGGGGACAGTGATGACGGCATTGTTGACAGTACCACCGAGGTAGGCCTCAGCAGTCTCACGCATCTTGACGAGGATCATGGAGGAGATTTCCTCGGGAGTGAAGGTCTTCTGCTCACCCTTGAACTCGACGTCAACGACGGGCTTGCCAGCAGCGTCCTTGGAGACCTTGAAGGGCCAGTGCTTCATATCAGCCTGGACCTCAGCGTCATCATACCGACGACCGATGAGACGCTTAGCATCGAAGACAGTGTGGTGGGGGTTCATGGCGACCTGGTTCTTGGCGGCATCACCGATCAAACGCTCGGTGTCGGTGAAGGCAACGAACGAAGGGGTGGTACGGTTACCCTGGTCGTTGGCGATGATCTCAATGCGGTCATCACGGAAGACACCCACACAGGAGTAGGTGGTACCCAAGTCAATACCGACAGCGGGGGCCATTGTGAAGGAGGGGTCGTAAAAAGGATATCAAAGAAAAAAAGGAGAAAAGAGAAAACGTGGGATAGTACTAGAGTAGTGTACAAGAGAAGAATGGCACGAGGAGGGTATAATGCCAGAAGAGAGATGTAGAGGAGAGAGGATGAGAGAGAAAAAAAGTCTGGGAGGGGGAGGGGAATTGTGCGAAAAGGCAGTGTTGATATAGTTGGGCGGTGAAAGGGCAGAAGCTTCTAGCAGGGCAACGGCTTCGATGGGCATCCATCGGGTTCGATGGAGTTCCATGGAGTCAGAGACTGCAGTGGAGCAAGGATGACTTGTTTTGGGTGGTGATGATGATGTCTGGTTCGTTTGATTACTCTTGGTCGTTGATTCTAGAATTGTCTTTCTCCTGCTGCTTGTTTTGCAATATTTCTCTTTCTATCTACATGATGCTATATTTCTTCTACAGATGAAGATTCTTTGGCGGGGTGGATGGATGACGTAATGCGGGATCGAAAACATTACTGTGTAGAATGTGTACACAGACCGAAAAGAAAGTGAAAGAAAAAAGAGTCATAGAAAGAGAAACGGAAACAAGACAGAAAGATAGAAAGGATTGTTATCGTCATCATGACACTTGCTTAAGAGTCTGAATCCACTGTTCCATGGCTGGATGGCCTCGTTTCTAAGGCTGTGGGGTATCGATCCTTCTCTTCATTTCGACACTGCTACAGTTTACCTACGCAATGAATGTATATAGTTATGAGATGGGGGTCTTATAATCTAGATCTTGATGTAGGATTGCATTCATGATCTCCTTGATAATAATAACAATAATAATCATGATGATTACTACAATATGTGTGGCCTCAGAATCTGAGAGATCCTCTGCCAAGATTCTGACTCTTTGTCGGAGATTTCCGTATGAAATCATCCTTTTGATCATTCTGTCTGTTCAATTACCCCATGTTGAACAGACAAAAATATGAGTAACTAATTCCATCATTTCTGTCCATCTTTTACTTTTACTTCTATATGCTATTACTATGTACATCCCCCTCGAGTTTCCACCCTAACTGAGAACAAATCACATGACCCCTCTAGATCGCTCAATTATAGGCTCGATAACGCCATCGCCCATTGTCGGAATTTGCCTCCATTTCCCATGTTTCTTTATCCTCATTATATTAACCTCTTCTTTTAGTCTTGCTTTAGCTGCTTCGTGATCGGTTTACTAACTGCTTTGGAGTGAAATTAGACTATTTTCAAGCATTGATATTTTGTCTTATCTGCCTCCATCAATCGCTATTGGTGTATCCCCAATGCCACCTTCCACCACCATAATGCAGACCAACGTGTTCTCCTGTCCATCTCTTGTGCTACAATGCAAGAAACAACGCCCCAGAGATCTCAGGATCGATGGTTATAGGCTCTAGTCTTCAATGACGACGACCAACGGCGATTGCACGCAATTGGCCCTAGTAGATTTTTTTTAATCAATCTTCTATATAATAAGCGCTTGGAGTCCAGTTCTGTCCTGTGTAGCACAAACAAACCCAACCAGACGACTCGTGAGGGTTAAATCTCCCAGGTCTCAGCTGACAGTCGGAACAAGGTATTTAGTCTTCCCCAGTCATGGGATTGTTGGGAGTCGTTCGATCCCGATTTCGTACAGGCAAGACACCTTTCGAGGTGGCTTCGACCGATCATGAACCGGCTGCGACATCACCTGCGAAATCAACCCCAGTCGATACGGTTCTCGGAGACGAAGAAAAGGTCAACTGGACCAGTGAATCGGTTGCCATTGATCCAGAATGCGATGAAAACCACCCAGAAGTCGCCGCCCTGCCCATCACGGTGAGGCAACTGGTCAGTCTCAAGGACGATCCAGAGCTGCCCACAATCACGTTCCGTTATTTCGTTCTTTCTGTCGTCTTCGTCGTTCCTGGAGCGTTCCTCTCGCAGATGAGCTACTTCCGTACCACCGAGGCTCCCTACTCCATCTTTTTCGTGCAGATTGCTTGCCATTATGCCGGTCATTTCCTCGCCAGAGTCCTTCCCGCAACCAAGATCCGGGCGCCTTGGACACAATGGTCTTTCAGCTTGAACCCAGGCCCGTGGAGTATTAAGGAGCATGTGTTGGTGACGCTGACCGCAGCGTCTGGGGCCACCTATAACCTGGGGTATACTCCGATCGCACTCGCAGAGCTCTACTATGGGCAGGTTATCAATCCCGCGGTAGCCATCTTCTTCATGCTTGCCATTGTGTGGATCGGATACGCCTTTGCGGCATTGGCGCGACAGCTCTTGATGCACGATCCTGAGTACATCTGGCCACAGGCTCTCATGCAGACGACGCTGTTTGAAACTTTCCGCAGGACGGACAAATCGTCGCCTCTAGCCCGGCGCCAGATGAAAATCTTCTTCTTTTCCCTTTTGGGCATGACTCTGTGGCAGTTCTTGCCCGAATATGTCTTTCCATTTACTTCTTCACTCGCCTTTCTTTGCTGGGTTGCACCACATAATAAGGTCGCCAATTTTGTGGGGTCTGGATTAGGGGGCATGGGCTTCCTCAATCTCTCTCTGGACTGGTCCAACATAAATTGGAATATGTCTTCGATTATGCTCACCCCTTTCTGGACTCAGGTGATTCTGTTTCTAGCGTTTGTCTTCAATTGCTGGGTGCTTCTTCCGGCGGCGAAATGGGGTAATCTGGGCTCATACCATCATGGTCTCATGTCCAACAGCCTGCTTACAGCAAATGGGACGACTTATCCCGTGCTAAAAGTTTTGACATCGGATTTGCGACTGAATGAAACAGCATATGAGGAGTATGGTCCGATGTACATGGGCCTCCAGAACGTGTGGGCTACCTTCTTCGACTATGCCAAACTCCCGGCGGCAATTACATGGATTGCTACGTTTGGTTTCGTCCAGGTGGCAGGGAACTTGAAACGGGTCATCGCATCCTATAGCAAAGAATCACGCTCAATGGGGGAGGGCATCCATAATCAATACAAAGACCGCCTCAATGTCATCCAACAACAATACAAGGAGATTCCCTGGTGGTGGTACTTGGCCCTTTTTACTGTGGGATTCGTGATCCTCATCACTGCTCTAGCATGCGGATATCTCTTCATTCCCATTTGGACGCTTTTTGTCGCTCTGAGCACTGCTGCCATCTGCGTCATACCATTTGCTTGGCTTTACGCAATTTCAAACTACCAGATTGCCACTGGATCGTTTAATGAATTGATGTATGGATACATGGTTCACACGAAGGCTGGAGAAGGTCACCAGCATCCCTGTGGACCTTCTGTGTATGGAGCTATTGCTGGAGATGCATGGTATCGGGCCCAGTACATGTTGCAGGATCAAAAGATCGGTCACTATATGCACATCCCACCACGAACAGTGTTTTTCTCTCAGATATTTGGCACTATTCTTGGCGTGCCCATCAACTACGGTGTGGTTCGTTGGATCTTAATCACCAAGGGTGACTTTCTCACGGGGGCAAAGAGTGACCCTTCCAACCAATGGACAGGACAAAAATTGACGTCTTCCAACACACTTGGCGTTCAGTATGCAGTTCTTGGCCCAAAGCGGCTATTCGCACAGAAGGAAATGTCGATTCTTCCCTGGTCCTTCCTCGTGGGGGCTGTGCTACCCCCTCTGCTGTACCTTCTGCACCGGATGTTTCCACGCTGGCGTGTAGACCTGTGGAATGTCAGCATCTTCTTTTCCGGAATGGCTGTTTTTTACGGCAACATCAGTACAGGCTATACATCTGCCATCATCGGCGGCTATGTGGTGATGTATCACATCTACCGGCGGCATTTTGAAGTCTGGAGGCGGTACAGCTACATGGTGGCTGCAGCTTTTGACGCCGGTTTCAATTTGAATATGCTATTGATTTTTCTCTTCTTTGGATCTGGAAAACTGATTTCCATGCCAAATTGGTGGGGAAACAATACGACCTCGGTAGAAAGATGTTTTGCTTTGGATTAGACTAGTCAGCATCTCTATCTAGTACTTGAACATGAAAATGATATTCAAGCAGATAGACCCCTTCAGATACTCTGTAGATACTCCGTACTCAATTTTGATTAATCAAATCAGACTGGATGAAGCTCTCGCCATCACATCTGGCGTTGTTTGTTGTGACACGACCCCAAACAGGGCAAGCCTCGTCACGGGAGCGGTGATCCAGTGATCGCCCCAAAACAAACGTAGCCAATCAGCGCCGCTTCGAGACCGCCAGCAGTGAATCTCCCTTGCGACGGCCTGAAAGGCAAGGCGCCTTACTACTAGTCCTGCTGTGCTTCTTCTCTCCCGCCTCTACTTAACCTCCCCCCTACCTACTGGATTTTATTTTGACAGTAAAAGAAAAAACATCTTCATTGCCAATCTTTGTACGCCCTCCTTTTCTGAACTTCTCTGATTACCTTTTCGAGTAATCTAATATTCTCAATCTCCACCATGGGCGACAACAACCAGGCCACTACTTTCGGCAACAACCCCGCCGCCAATGCCCCCGACGCTGCTGCGTTCGACAAGGGCAAGGGTAAGGCCATTGAACCTCACGATATGAGCATGGATGAGGATGAGGAGAGCGATGAGAGCGAGAACGAGAACGAGGAGATGGTGAGTTGATCCAATTAAGAACAAGGTAGTTAAATGTGATGCTGACTAGCAATTGTTTCAGGCCGCCGATGGTAAAAGAATATAGCCCCGTTTCTGGCCCACGAGAACGAAGTTTCGTGGCACGCTTTTATTTGGAATCAGATAGACTAACGCCGTGTGCTCTTCACAGACGAAGACGATGACCAGGGCAACCTCGAGCCCATCTCCGCAAACAACATCATCTCCGGTGGCCGCAGGACACGCGGCAAGAATATCGACTTCCAGCAGGCTGCTGAGAAGTTGGATGAGATGTCCGACGATGATGATGACGATGAGGACTTTCAAGCAACCAACGACAACGACAAGGACCAAATGCGTGACTAGGAATCTCGCACGTGCTATACTGTTACGAAATCCAAGACTCAATGGGAAAAGAGGAAAATCGGTGACAAAGGCGCCAGGTTTAGTGGGAGGGTTTCTCTCTGTGTTTTTTAATTCCGACAATATTTTTTTTTCTTCTCAAGAGAGTCTGCTGAACCACAGCGATATGAAGTGATCAATGAAATTAATGGCTATTGAGATCTGATGAGTATACGGCTTCATTCACCTATGTATCTGTATATAAATACTTGGTCCGGTGCTATTACTCCTGAGACAAGTGTTTTGAAGACAAATTGTCTTTTGTATCGATCTGAAAGATCGATGAAATACAAACAGGCATTCGGCTTTCAACAACATGATTTAGATCAACCATACCCCTTTCCATGGCCCTCCATAATCATCCTGTCAGCCCCTGAGAGCTCTAGATACCTATTTAAATAAATTCCCCGTAAGAGAGTCACTCTGATTAAATTCACGTGGGCTGGACCGCCTCCGGCGCTGCACAGACACCCAAGTGGCAGTTTCCGTGTTTTTATCCCGAATAAATGGCATCATCTTTCGCCGCAAACAGAGTTCCCTGACTTCTGGACACGGTTTCATTACAGGGGCGGTGGTTCTTGTTTTTTATTCTTGACTTTGCTCACAATGTGTATCAATTAAATTCTACATCCGATATAATACTTTGAATATTCCCAATTAACGACCCGTCATGGCTTCACGGTACTGCCACCTTATGCACTTGTTCTATCTCGCAAGTTGACAAGCGGACTTACGGGCTAATCTTGCTGAGTTTAATAGATTTCCCCGTCAGCGCGATCCCCGTGCCTCCTCATCTCTCTTTGACTCGTATGGTGGTGGTGACTCCCGGCCCGCCAGTAAATCGCCTGGCCGAATGGGCGGATATGGCTACGGGGGATACTCCGGAGCCGGTGATGCGATGAATGGAGGTGCTACCGGGGGTGGATTTAGGACTGCGACACCAAATGCAAAGTACGCTCTGGCCGGCTTGTGTAAATCGCGCCGATGCTAATTGTGATATAGGGGTCACTATTCGGATGCCGTTCTTTCGCATCTGGAATCACAGAATGATTCCGAGGTTGAAGGAATCAGCGCCAAGGTCAAGATGTTGAAAGATGTGAGATTCTATATTTGACCTGTGATCTGAAAATCTTTGCTGATCGATTTCTCGTTAGATCACACTTGCCATCGGAGATGAAATCCGGGATACCTCCAATCTTACAGACCTCAACGATACGTTCGACAACACTCGCGTTCGTCTCCGAGGAAATATGAACCGTATGCTGCGAATGGCCGAGCGCACCGGTGTCGGCTGGCGTGTGTGGCTGGTTTTCTTTATCGCCGTTTTCCTTATCTTCGCATACGTTTGGCTGAGTTGATTGACTCGGTTTTTTATCTCGGCCGGCAACTATACCACTCACTCGACTATATCAAAAAACATGAAGCCATGGGCTTTGTCGCCATTAATAATCCCGACGACGATTCAATCGATTAGCATGGTTTTTGGGCGGCGGCGTTTTGGGTTTGATCATCTTGGACAACTTGCAGGTCACGTCAGCGTTGTTCTTTATAACTTTTTTTTTTAAAAAATTTTCTTCTTCTTGGAGGTGGCATTAAAGACGCTTCAGTTGGCGCCACTGAATGATCATCCTTTGGTTTTTGATCCATAGCAAGTGGCATCGTTGGCTTATCCTGTACATGCATATATATCTTAATTGCACAAATGGCATCATGATTGGAAGACATGCACTGTTTCCGCTGTAATTCTTTGGTGGGCATGGTTATTTTAATAGTATATTCGAGGAGTCGTGCAGAGTGCTTTATCATACTATGTTGTTGAAGTCATCTATGTTTCCAAAAATTGATTGATATATATTTGCCAAACCAATATAACTCAAAAACAAAAACACTACCTATCAAACAATTAAAAGCTATTTCTCTAGTAGCATAATCCCATCGATAGCCAAGATGTAAATATACAACCTCGAACAGCTTATCTAGACCTGTTTTTTTTTAAAACCCATACCCATATCAGACTAAACGCCAGCCAATTCCAAACGCCCCAACAGAATAACAATGAATGCACCGAGAAAGGATATCTAAACACCAACACCAGGAAACTTATGCAAACAATCAATCAAAGCTATCTCTCGGCCCACCCCTTCGTCTCGGAAACCTGCCAAATCCACTGCGTCGACTCGCATGGCTAGCGAAGGAAGAGCGGAGATCCTCCTCGTCGAGCATCATGCTACTAGAATCAAAGGCATCGCCACCGCCGCTCCAGCGTTGCAGAAATCGCCGCTGAGCTGGGGTCTCCCTCTCTCGTCGCATGGGCGCGGGAGGGGGAGGTAGACCACGATGACTAGATGTGCTGGCCCGGAGACTTGGTGCGAAAGGATCATGGGACTGGTTCTCTTCATTTTCGTCGTCGTCATCGTCATCATCATCATCATCGTCGTCGTCGTCGTCGAAATCGGCATCGGTGTCTGTGTGTTGCCATTCCTCTTCTTGCCCGGATGCATCTTCGACTGCTTCGGGAATGTCGTCGTCCAGATCACGGACCATGCCTTCGCTCATATCTTCTTCATCTCCAGCAGCAGGGATATCGTCGTCCAAGTCCGGTTGATTATCGAAATCATCTTCTTCCTCCTCTTCTTCCTCATAATCATCCTCATCGTCAGGTAAACCCTCAGGAATATCATCGTCCAGATCTCGCTCCATGTACCCTTCTTCATCCACCGCATCTTCCTCCTCTAGACCTTCCTCCCCTTCCTCAATGAGGCCTGACGCATCCGCATCGGGAATATCATTATCCAAATCTCTCTCCATCCCCGTATCATCCTGTCCATCGTTACCCCCTTGCTGTCGTCCATCAAAATCATCATCCATGGTAGGATCAGCAGCAGCAGCAGCGGCAGCCATCTCCGCAGCGGCGGCCGCAAGCGCCTCCTCCCTCTCAGCCTCCTCCTCCTTCATGCCCAGCATAGTTTTGAGACATCCGGCCGGCTTGATCCACGAGTACCCAAAGGAGGCAATATTCTGCTTGCGGGCGCGAAGAGCACGTTCTTCGAGGAGTAACGAGGAGAGACTATTGCCCGATGTGGCGGACGATCGGCCATTTAGAGTATTGTTGGCATTGCGACGGGGGCGGGCTTGGTTTGGGTCTCCAATGGGTTGGTTTATTTGGGAGGACGAACGGTAGGATTGAGAGGATCCGAACCAGAGCTCGTGAGACTAATGGATAGCTTTAGTATTGGGGTGTAGTATAGAAAGGGTAGGTTGAATGTCACGTACATCGCGGGGGGTGATAAGTGGTAGGGAGAGCATTGTCAGTTGAAGACTTGTGCAGTGAACTGTTTCGACGTAATCCCGATAGAATAGACAATACAATGAGGCCTAATGCTCTAGCCAATGCTTTGAATAATTCTTATTCACGAGAGCAAGGTTCCCCGATCCTTGTTGCAGCAATGCGCAAGCTTGAATTTTAATCCACCACGCACAGCACACGTCTTTGATGATCTCCGAATTTATATAAGTAAACAAGCGAATGGGATCAAACTGCTCAGCAGCTCAAAGCAGGAGCCCGAATGTTGCGATGCCAATGGCGAATTGGTTGAAGCTGAAGAGCTGCGCAGGAAAGAATTGTGGAGCTCCATTGCTGTTGGCGAGGAAAACAAACATTGACAACAGATTAAGCTCCGCAACCGCAGGGAACTAAACATTGTCTGATGTCAATGATGTAGCTTGGATTGTGTCTTGGATGAAAAGAACGAGATGGATTACGATGGATAATGTTATTGTTTAGGTCTTTTTCAAGCATAGAATGGATTGTGCTTTTGGCAGTAAGTGGCATATTATCTAATAGATACTAATTGCAAAGATTGTATTTCATAAAACTATACTGCATGAAGATGATATACTAGGAATGCATTGCGCCTCGAATGCTCAACAGACAGAGTGATCCAACGATTGATCTAGGAGACGGTATTATTCTCTCGGTGAGTGATTGTGGACTTCAACTCCCAGGACATCGCCCATCCATTATTCTCCAAGTCGCTATTGCATCAAAATCAACCCATCTCCGGCATAGGATGATGAATGAGAGCTCCATCTTTCTGTTTCGATTGAATAACGGTTTGGTAAACACGGAGAGGAGAGGTCCGGTTGCTAATAGTCTTTTTCCTCTCGGCTTCTGGATATTTCTGCTGGTCGTGAGTTGGGGTATGGGCATTTCGTGACTCGATTACTTGATAGATTCCTTCGAAACAGGTGTATTGATTGTATCGTTGCTGAATGACCTTTGTAAACAAGTTGAGCCGTGGTGAATCCATGACAAAGAGAATCAGACTGAATCCATGACAAACGAGATTCCCTGGCACCACGATGGGATCTGAACCTGTGGATTCAGCCAGGAGAAAAGGAAAATGCATTAGCAAAAGAAAGGGTACCCTTGGTCGGTCCTAACCATCATTCATAGTGGATGGAGTCCAACAGACCGACAAGTCTAGTGACTAAGAGAAAGGTGTAGCAGCACCATGATCCCCAAGCAATGTTACAGGTAACATTTCCCAGTGATGATCTGGCCAACGTCTGCCTGCCATGGCCGTAAAAGTAATCTTGTGCAGACTGCAGAGTGCAGGCAAACCGCAGCCGCTGGCAAGCCAGTCGGACCACCACCCTCGTACTTGGTCGCGCAGAGGGCCAACCTATCGTGTCTGGCAGAACGATCAGCCATACGGAGCACTCCAGGAGCAGCCGGGCTCGAGACCCCCAAATACGGCCATCAGTGATGCATTCCGAGATAACCCGAGATGTTGCAGTTTTCCTGCTTTTGACGGGGCCCTGCGAGAAGGATGGCTTGGACAATTTGGAGCGGCAGTGCAAGTTGGCTCGGTGAACCCAAAGCGGACAAGACCGGAGAGGAAACGTCGGGAGAAACCGGGGTGAGTCTCCGCCGGTCAGGTGACAGCGGCAGGTCAAAGAATGGGATAATAACGATAATTGGGGTTGTTGAGGTCAGTGGTGACACTGCATGGCCGAAAGGATGCATGTGTAAGTCAGTAATTTATTGGAGATGGACGATGTTTGGACAGTCGGCGAGTGTGTTGGGCATCATCATGAATGGGATGGAGAGGGTATTCCGTGTTGTGATCGGCCCATTGAACCCATGGCTGACGGGATATCAGATTGATTGTATTATTATTATTATTATTATTGCCAGACTGGAGAAGACAGTTAGTAGGTGAGCAGTGGACTCGTATGCCATTTCGGTTAGTCCTGAGGTTAGAAAAACAGCCAACCTGCTCCAAATCGGCCAGGCTTAATATGGACTCTAGGACGCATTTAAGAGAATTGGAGATTAGTGAGCAGCACATCCAGTCACAGAGAAGAGGGACCAGCAATGATTTATGTATTACTATTAGCATCCACTTTTCACCTCTTATCGACTGCTTCCCGGGGTCGGGGTTGATTGGATCTACGGCCGGATGCCCCAGGCCAATCATCGGCCAACAAATTGGCAGCAGTGGGGTTCTTCCCCAGGTAAAGCTTCTGGAAACCGAGAATCGACGAAAACTAAAGTGGGAAAAGATGGTGGTTGACCGTCGAGTCAGAGAGGAGAAATCACACATAGCCGTTCTTTTTGACTTTTTTTTTTGTTTGCCAATAAGCCGCGATAAGCTGAGGATGACCTTAGGAATGAGCTGGAGGTCTGGGCGGTTCGGGCCCGATTTCGGGGGAGATAATAGTCAGTGCTGTATAGTAATAATAAAGGGTCTTCAAGTACTGTCTGCGGGAGAACGCAGGAGAAGGGAGGAGCGCCCAGGCTGGCCGTTGCCGGAAGATGGCGGAATCCAGAGTCGAGCTCCGTGCCAGTATTCTTTGGCGACTGAATACGGTACGGTAACGGCACTGGAGATGAACTGCAGTGCAGCTGATCGCCGACAGCTGCACTAGGCGTGGGGTACACATGTTTCCCTAGGTAGGGTCTCTGGCCAGTGCATGTTTTAGCGGCTTGGGAGTCTTCGGTTGCAGTAACCACAGGCCGCGTATGCAATTAAGGACGCCGACTAGCTATATGGAAGAGTCGAGGATTCTTTTACTCTGTCTGTGACAAAAGTCCATCTAGGCTAGTTTCAAGGCTAAGGCGGTTATTTACCAGAACAGGAATATAGACTACGATGAAGTACATCTGTCTGGCATACTACCTACCTAGGCACCTAGAAGTAGAATAATAATGTCTGCTTGGTATTCATCACCTCGCTGGATTGCGTAACTTCCAGTGCCTGCCAAGCACTCATTCGACATCTGTAATTGACCAAAATGACGATTTCTGGCCCTCCTTGGGCTTCTTTTTGGGTGACTGAAGATAAGCAACGGCATCCTTGCACTGCCCCACATAACAACATCCGTCCACTCGGGTCTAAAAGCATCAAAACGTTTTCAAGTCCGAGTCCGGGAAAGCAGGTGCCCTCTGCACGGTGTTTCTGTTTTTGTGCAGCACTCGTTAGTGAGTACTAAGGTAGTTGTAGGGGGAGGGGTTATTTATTATTGCATGAATTCATCCTAGATGCATGGATACCCAGTATCCAATCACCAACACTCGAATCAGCAGGATGATCCAAAATCTACGGCTGATCAAATATGATTTTCCCGCTTTGACTTTGACCTGATCTTCCTGACGATAATTCCCTACCTAATATCATGACTCACTCGATTATTCGAATAAACACTCTCCCCCAGACCATGTGTCGGTCATCCATTCCGACCGAGGAAAACGGGAAAAATACCGTCCAATACCAGGCAGTACAGACGTAACCGGCTGTGTACTCTGTAAATCAGTCTGGCACTAGCGTTGCTTTTTTGGCCCATGGCTCCACCCGGCTGGATCTTGACGTAGCAAAAACCTAATCTTCTTGGACAAAAGGTTGAAAAGCCACGGTTCTGATTGGCCGACGTTGTCTTATCTCGTTTTCTAGAGCAACACCCCCCCCCTGTCTGTTGACAACTTGGAGTTAACCTGTTGCAGCGTGAACAGAGACAAACTTAGCAGGAGCGACGGTGGGATAATTGTTGTTATTACTTACAGGCTTTTGCAAGCGGAAATATGTTCATTCTGCTGGATAGGGCAGGCGCTCCAGTCTAGTGGTGCTGCCCCTCCTTCATACAATTCATATCATCATCGTCATCTAAGAGATCGTCCTCGTACATGCATTCCCATTGTACATACACCCATACATGCCCCTACAACCTCCGTACTATGATGTAGTAGATTTCAGAGACGGAGAGCACCGAAATATAGGAAATAGACGGGTTCAGTACAAGATAGTAGAATCCTACTAGACTGGCATCCAAGGTCTCTCTGGACCAGAAATCCAATCCAATCCATCCATCCAGCTTAGCTCCCTTTGCGCCCGTCACCACCAAAGCAAGAACTGCCATAATTTTTTGCCACGGTGCAGGTTCTCCTCCTCCAACAACCCCACAATAGTCTTTTTCCTCTGCTTGCTGTTCGTTCCATTCGCCCAGTCCAATAATATCGGAACTGCCCTGGTGAATTCCCCGGGCTTCTCTACCCTCCCGTACGAATTCACTCCAACTGTCCCTCTCCTCCCGCTCCATCCTTTTTTTCCTGCCTTTCTTATTTCCCCCCTCTCCCCTCTTCTTTTTACTTACTCCTCATCCATCTTTTTTTTTTCGGAGCCAGACGCTGGGTTACAAAAAAAAAAAAAAAAAACAACCCCTCCTGTCCTTCCCTTCAACCCGCGTTGTTGACCCCGAGCGTCGTGACGACATTACTATCTCTATCTTTACATACTATTATTGCCTGATCGTCCCGCTCTCGACTGCATCTGCGGCGACGTCCTAATTGCAACCCGACTTCCAATACCCTTCATTTTCCGTTATTCCATTTTTCTGTCGGTCCCCGGCGGAAGAATGGGTCTTAACTTGGAGGAAATCTATGGCCAATCTTTAGTTGAAGAGCAGAAACCTCACGAGTATTCAGAGTACCAACCAAAGCAAGGCTATGGCTGGGCCAACACCTTGCCCGAGCGGCAGGGTCTCTACGATCCTGAATATGAAAAAGATGCTTGTGGTGTAGGCTTTGCTGCGTAAGTTCCATCGCCCGTCATTATATGCTGTTCGCATTGCTAATGGGGATTTTTGGGATTATTTAGTCACATCAAGGGCAAGCCAAGCCACAAGATTGTCAGCGATGGTAAGCCTTTCATTGCGGCTCTTACGGGAAAGACATCATGGACTGACATGCTATACCTCTAGCTCGGAATCTGCTTTGTAACATGACGCATCGTGGAGCGGTGGGCTCTGATGCTCGAGACGGTGATGGTGCTGGTGTGATGACTAGTATCCCCCATAAGTTCTTTATTAAAAATTTCGCTCGTGAGGTTGGAGTTGACCTCCCTCCACTGGGCCAGTATGCCGTTGGCAACCTGTTTTTCAAGCCCGACCCCGAATCCCTCAAGGAGTCCACAGCAAGCTTTGAAGAAATCGCAACATCCCTTGGATTGCGCGTGCTGGGCTGGCGTGAGGTTCCTTGCGACTCCACCATTCTGGGTCCGGCTGCTCTCTCTCGTGAGCCTATTATCATGCAGCCGTTCGTCGTGCTGAAGTCAGCGTACGGTGATGGAAACAAGCCAGAGGTTACTGACCCCGAGTCTTTTGACGAGAAGAAATTCGAGCTTCAGTTGTATGTTCTACGGAAGCGGGCAACCCATGTCATCGGTCTTGCCAACTGGTTCTACCTCTGCTCCTTGAGTAACAGAAACATTGTCTACAAGGGTCAATTGGCCCCCATCCAGGTGTACCAGTATTACCACGACTTGCTCAACGTGGACTATGAAGGCCACTTTGCTCTCGTCCACTCTCGTTTCTCTACAAACACATTCCCCTCTTGGGACCGTGCACAGCCTTTGCGGTGGGCTGCCCACAACGGTGAAATCAACACTCTGCGCGGAAACAAGAACTGGATGCGGGCTAGAGAAGGTGTGCTCAGGTCTGAGATTTTCGGTGATGAGCTGGATTCGCTGTACCCCATTGTTGAGGAAGGTGGTTCCGACTCGGCTGCCTTTGACAATGTTTTGGAGTTGCTCATGATCAACGGTGTTTTGTCGCTGCCCGAGGCGGTCATGATTATGATACCCGAAGCCTGGCAGGACAACCCAGCCATGGGACCTGCAAAGACTGCCTTCTACGAATGGGCTGCTTGCCAAATGGAGCCTTGGGATGGCCCTGCTCTCTTTACATTCTCGGATGGGCGATACTGCGGTGCAAATCTTGACCGTAACGGTCTGCGCCCTTGCCGTTTCTATGTTACAGACGATGACCGTATCATCTGTGCGTCAGAAGTGGGTGCTGTCGACGTTGACCCCGAACGAGTGATCCAAAAGGGTCGCCTGCAACCTGGCAAGATGCTCCTGGTTGACACTGTGGCTGGCCGCATCATTGATGACTCTGAACTGAAGCAAACTGTTGCTAACCGCCAGAACTTTGCTGCATGGCTGGATAAAGAACTTCTGAAGCTGCCAGCTATCAACGAGAAGCTCATCGAGCAGAACATCAACCTTGGCTACAATATTGACGACACCACAGTGCAGAATGACCCCCGACTTAAGGCTTTCGGCTACTCCTTTGAACAGGTCAGTCTGCTCCTCGGCCCCATGGCTGCGGACTCGAAGGAAGCACTTGGTTCCATGGGTAACGATGCCCCGCTGGCCTGTATTGCTGAACAGCCTCGCCTTCTTTACGAATACTTCCGCCAGCTTTTCGCGCAGGTAACCAACCCGCCTATTGATCCTATCAGAGAGGCCGTCGTCATGTCTCTGGAGTGCTACGTCGGTCCCCAGGGTAATCTTTTGGAAATGGACCCATCCCAGTGCCGCCGCCTGCTTCTCCCGTCTCCCGTCTTGACCATCCCCGAGTTCAATGCCCTGAAGAACGTCACCCAGGTCCACAAAGACTGGACTGTGAAGACCATCGACATCACCTTCGAGAAGAAGAAGGGAGTCCCAGGGTACATGGAGGCTCTCGATGCTATCTGCGATGCCACTACCGAGGCCATTCAGAACGGTGATAAGGTTATTGTACTGTCTGACCGTGCTACTTCGGAAGACCGCGTTCCTGTCTCTGCTCTTCTGGCCACTGGTCTTGTCCATCACCACTTGGTTCGCAACAAGTGGAGGTCTCTGGCCGCTCTGGTTGTCGAGACTGCAGAGGCTCGTGAAGTTCACCACCTGTGTGTTTTGGTTGGTTATGGTGCCGATGCCGTCAACCCCTATCTGGCTATGGAATGTATCCTGAAGATGAACCGTGAGAAGTTGATCCGCAAGCAGCTTCCCGATGAAAAGGTCATTGATAACTACAAGGCCTCCTGTGATGGTGGTATCCTGAAAGTCATGAGCAAGATGGGTATCTCTACTCTGCAGTCGTACAAGGGTGCTCAAATTTTTGAGGCGCTTGGTATTGATGATAGCGTCATTGACCGTTGCTTTGCTGGAACCGCAAGCCGAATCCGAGGCTTGACTTTTGAGCTCATCGCACAGGACGCCTTTGCTTTCCACGAAAAGGGCTTCCCGTCCCGTTCCATCGTCGAGATTCCTGGACTCCCCGAATCCGGCGAATACCACTGGCGTGATGGTGGCGAACAGCACATCAATGACCCAATCAGCATTGCTAATATTCAAGATGCTGTGCGCACAAAGAATGACAAATCCTATGAGGCTTATGCCAAGGATGCACATGAACGTATCAAGGACTGCACTCTCCGTGGAATGCTTGATTTCGACTTTGAGCAGCGTACACCTATCCCGATTGACCAGGTTGAACCTTGGACTGAGATTGTCCGCCGATTTGTGACTGGTGCTATGTCCTACGGGTCTATTTCCATGGAATCTCACTCGACCCTGGCTATCGCTATGAACCGTCTTGGTGGTAAGTCTAATACCGGAGAGGGTGGCGAAGACTCCGAGCGGAGCAAGAGGATGGAGAATGGAGACACCATGCGGTCCGCGATTAAGCAGATTGCTTCAGGCCGTTTCGGTGTGACTTCCCACTACTTGGCCGATGCCGATGAACTGCAGATCAAGATGGCCCAAGGCGCAAAGCCCGGTGAAGGTGGTGAGCTACCGGGTCATAAGGTTGTTGGCCCTATCGCTCACACTCGTTACTCGACCCCTGGTGTCGGTCTGATCTCACCACCACCTCACCACGACATTTACTCCATTGAGGATCTTAAGCAACTCATCTACGATCTAAAGTGCTCTAACCCCCGTGCGCGTGTATCCGTCAAACTTGTTTCGGAAGTTGGAGTAGGAATTGTCGCCTCTGGTGTTGCCAAGGCCAAGGCCGATCACGTCTTGATTTCTGGGCACGATGGTGGTACCGGCGCTTCTCGCTGGACCGGTATCAAGTATGCCGGTCTTCCATGGGAACTGGGCCTTGCTGAGACTCATCAAACTTTGGTTCTGAACGACCTGCGTGGCCGTGTGGTTGTGCAGACTGATGGTCAACTTCGTACTGGTCGTGATCTCGCTGTTGCATGTCTGCTTGGAGCCGAAGAATATGGCTTTGCCACGACTCCCTTGATTGCCATGGGTTGCGTGTTTATGAGGTTTGTTTTTCACCAGATATGTGACATTTTTTTTTTTTTTTTTCATTTACCAACCCTTATTCTAATAGAAAATGCCATTTGAATACTTGTCCTGTCGGTATTGCGACCCAGGATCCCGAGTTGAGGAAGAAGTTCCAGGGCACGCCCGAGCACGTGATCAACTTCTTCTACTATGTCGCCAATGAGATGCGCGCAATCATGGCCAAGCTTGGTATCCGTACTGTCAATGAGATGATTGGACGCGCCGAGCTGCTGAGGGTCAGAGACGATCTCCGGAATGCTAAGCAGGAGAGAATCGATCTTTCGCTCATTCTTACCCCCGCTCACTCGCTTCGTCCTGGTGTTGCGACGTACAACGTTCGCAAGCAAGACCACCGTCTTCATACTCGCCTTGACAACAAGTTGATTGCTGAATCCGAACTTGCGTTGGAGAAGGGCCTGCCTTGCAGAGTCGAGTGTGATGTTGTCAACACTGACCGTGGTCTGGGTGCCACCCTGTCTTACCAGATCAGTCGTCGCTACGGCGAAGCTGGTCTTCCGCAAGATACCATCCATGCCAACATTAAGGGATCTGCTGGTCAATCCTTCGGTGCTTATCTTGCCCCAGGTGTCACTCTTGAACTTGAGGGTGATTCCAACGACTATGTCGGTAAGGGTCTTTCGGGAGGTCGTCTCATCATCTACCCACCTCGTGGCGCTGCATTCAAGGCAGAGGAGAACGTCATTGTCGGTAACACCTGTCTTTATGGTGCTACTAGGGGTACCTGTTACTTCCGTGGTATGGCAGCTGAGCGTTTTGCTGTTCGTAACTCTGGTGCTACTGCTGTCGTTGAAGGTGTTGGTGACCACGGCTGTGAGTACATGACCGGCGGCCGTGTTCTCGTCCTGGGCTCTACTGGACGTAACTTTGCTGCTGGTATGTCTGGTGGTATTGCCTACATTCTGGACGTGAACGAGGACCTTCACTCCAAGGTCAACATGGAAATGGTTGAGGTTTCGGGTCTTGAAGATCCTACTGAAATCGCCTTCGTTCGCGGTTTGATCGAAGACCACCACCACTACACTGGCTCTGAGCTTGCTGCCCGTGTTCTCTTGGACTTTACCCGTGCTCTCCCTCACTTTGTCAAGGTTCTTCCCATTGACTACAAGCGAACTCTGGAGGAGGAAGCTGCCAAGGCCGCGGCTGCTAAGAAGGCGGAATTCACGCTTCCTCAGCTGCCTAGCACACCGGCCAACGCCGAGAAGCCCAAGCACAAGACTGAGGGAGATGCCAAGAAGGCTGAAATGCTGGATATTGAGGACAGTATCAGCGACTCGAAAACCGAGAAGAAGCGCTCGGCTCTTGTTCTTGATAAGACCAGGGGCTTCATGAAATATAGCCGTCGCAGCGAGAAATACCGCAACCCGGTGACCCGTACCCGAGACTGGGCTGAGCTTTCCAACCGGCTAAGTGAGGATGAGCTTAAGTACCAATCTGCTCGTTGCATGGACTGTGGTGTTCCCTTCTGCCAGTCTGACACTGGTTGCCCAATCTCCAACATCATTCCCAAGTGGAACGAACTCGTTTTCCAGAACCAGTGGCAGGATGCTTTGAACCGTTTGCTCATGACCAACAACTTCCCCGAGTTTACCGGGCGTGTCTGCCCTGCTCCTTGTGAAGGTGCCTGTGTCTTGGGTATCAATGAAGACCCCGTTGGTATCAAGTCTATCGAGTGTGCCATCATCGACCGTGGATTCGAGATGGGCTGGATGGTCCCTCGCCCCCCTAAGACCCGTACTGGCCGTACTATTGCTGTCATTGGATCTGGCCCCGCTGGTCTTGCAGCTGCTGATCAACTCAACCGTGCTGGCCACAGCGTCACTGTTTATGAGCGTGCTGACCGTATTGGTGGCCTGCTCATGTATGGTATCCCCAACATGAAGCTTGACAAGAAGGTCGTGCAGCGTCGTGTTGACTTGATGGCTGCTGAGGGCGTTAAGTTTGTTACCAGCGTTGCCGTTGGCCCTGATAGCGAGGTTTCCTTGCAGTCCTTGCGCCGGACCAACGACGCAGTCATCATTGCCACCGGTGCTACAGTCGCTCGTGACCTAAAGGTTACCGGCCGTGAACTTGACGGAGTTCACTTTGCCATGCAATTCTTGCACCGTAACACCAAGTCGCTCCTTGACTCTGGTCTTTCCGATGGCGAGTACATCTCCGCCAAGGACAAGCACGTCGTTGTCATTGGTGGTGGTGACACTGGTAATGACTGCATTGGTACCTCTGTGCGTCATGGTGCTAAGTCTGTCACCAACTTCGAGTTGCTGCCCCAGCCTCCCCCGGAGCGTGCCCGTGACAACCCATGGCCCCAATGGCCCCGCATCTACCGTGTCGACTACGGTCATTCCGAGGTCAAGACCCATATGGGCAAGGACCCCCGTGAGTACTGTGTCATGTCCAAGGAATTCGTCGACGACGGTAGCGGTCGTGTCAAGGGTATCAACACTGTCCGTATTGAATGGACCAAGAGTGCTACTGGCGGCTGGGACATGAAGACCGTCGAGGGCAGTGAGCAATTCTTCCCTGCTGACCTTGTTCTTCTTTCTATGGGATTCTTGGGCCCCGAGGACCGTCTTCTGGGTGATGAAATCGAGCGTGATGCTCGCAAGAACGTCAAGACACCTCCTGGCCACTACGCCTCCAACATTCCTGGCGTCTTCGCTGCAGGTGATTGCCGACGTGGACAGTCTCTCATTGTCTGGTAAGTTATATTGATGGTGAAATGATGAAATATTTGCTGATTTGTTTAATAGGGGTATCAACGAGGGTCGTCAATGCGCTCGCGAAGTTGACACCTACCTCATGGGCATTAGCTCTCAGCTTCCTGTCACTGGCGGTATTGTTCGCCGGCCTGCTATCGATGCAGTTCCCCAGTCTGCTGAGCAAGTTGTCTCTGCATAGTTTGAGACACTGGAACTCGCGGCTGGATAGATGTCGACGACCACGCATCTAATCCATATCTCATGATGACAACGATCTATGAATTTCCCATGTTGAAAAGTTTTGGGTTCGTCAGGTGTATGTTGGTGTTGTGTATCTATAAGGATGGTCACACAGTTACATTCTTCCCTCGCAAAAAGAAAAAAGGTGGCGGGAGGTTTTCTGGATCCTTAGCGCTTAAGGCTACTTACTTTTTATCGTCGTTACTTCTGAGCACTCCGTTTTTCTTTTGGTTGCCGCATTTCTATTATAAATCTACAGTGGATATGCAAGGTGTCGTCGGAGCGTTTGCAATTCCCCTGTACATATTATCTTTTCTCACTCAATACCAACTGTTTCACATTATATTTCTCCTTTTCTTAGTAGAACTTCACATAGACTTGGATTTTTAGATAGCGCAGTAGTGTCGGCCTTTTCCATGGTAAGAACTCCACGTACAGCAAACCTCAACCAGAAAACACCTAATCGAAATAAGAAATGAACCCAGTAAAGCAGTCTTGGTGATGATGATCTGGGTTCACCGACCCTTCAAGTGTCGTCGACTCATAACGAGTTTCTAATCGCAAATCTCCGTTTATCGCTAGGATGGTTCTCGGTCTTCAGGTAAGCACAAGGTCTTCCAAGACTTAGCGACGCCTACTCCTCTTAGACGATCTCTTCAACGTCCCTCTGATCTTCTTCGCCTTTGAAACCTTCTTGACATGAAGATTCAACTCGATGTTCACCGATGAGCCATCTTGTCTCACTCTCTGTTTTGCTGCACTGTACATCAGCTGTTCCTCCTCCATCATCAACTCACTCAGCAATTCATCCTCACCATGACTCAAATAATACTGATAGTTGAGATTGATCCTCTGGTCCGCCTGGGAAACCATCGCCCAGAGATTCTTATGAAACATTTCCAAGTCCAGTGCGGTAGGTGGCTTGATGATCGGCTTGCAGGCCTCGGCGGGGGATAGGTTGATGGTTCGAAGGGTCGGTTGCTCTGAGAGGAAGCCTTCGGGCATTTCAACGACGGGGCCAAAACAAACCTTTTTGCGCTTTGCAAGTGAGCGTTTTGTTAATTTTGTTGATGGTGCTGGCGACGGCGAGGGGTTGGATTTGAATGTGAAGATGGAGAGGAACCGGTAGAGTCGGGAGTCCATTTTGAAGATTTTGGGTGAGAAGTTTTTCGAAGAGGTAAAAAGTATAGATATCGATAACTCACCTTCCCTTCTGCCTTTTTATGGCTATATCGACCATTTCGAATAAAGGCCTTCTTTGTACTTTTGTCAGCGTGGCTGAATGAGTGGACTGGATTGTCCAGGGTCAGACTCGAGACAATGAACAATGACTGTCAAAGGATCTTTGGGCCTCTCGGGAGTCGCAAGACAAAGAAAAAGGGCCATCTCATTGATTTAGATCATTAGCTCTCATGATTTAAAACAGAAGCAGAAATGGTTTCATTTCCGAATCCCTGTCATGATGGATAAAGAGTCGCGGGCAAGTTCACGAGTGCCAGGATGCCAATAGACATGACTAACAATTCATTGTATTGTACAGAGATTCTGCTTGGGATAGGTATCCATCTAGATATAGCATATATTAATAAGAAAAAAAGAGGAGAGAAACAAGCATCAAGTCGTTGCGGCCTTTTGTGCCTCTTCTTCCAGCTGCATTTCCTTCTCGAGCGTCGAAAAGTCTCCCTGAAAGGCGGTTCGAGCAGGCTCAGTCCTCAAATCCCAGACATCCTCGCTACTCGGTCCGGTCTTGTATTTAATTGCCTTCCTCCGGTTGTGATCCCGAATCGCCTTCTTGCGCTCCTCATCCGAATAAGACCGGGTCTTCATGCAGAGCCAGAAATTGTCCCAGTGCTCGTTGCACGACCGCAACTCTCCATATCGGTACACATTGACAAATTGTCCTCCAAATGATTGACAGAAGAATGCGTAGTCAAAGGCCGAGCGGCAGGACATGGTATCTGGATAAAGGGATTCGGGGGCGATGGAGGACAAAGGTTGTTGTGATTCGGACGATGGTGGGTTGGACTCTGCTGATTGCGGCAGCGATGGTGGTTGTTGCAGCGATTTTGATTTCCCCACATCACTCTCTAAGCTCGCCCAGAGCTTCTTGAACTCCTCATCTGCCTGTTCCTCCCGAGTCAACGTCTTCATCGGAGTGGAGGTATTCGGTGGTGGTTGCAGCGCATTGTCGGACGGAGGGGATTGTTGCGGAGGGGATTGTTGCGGAGGGGAAGGGGTCTGCTGTTGGTCCTTTGGGGAGGAAGAAGAGCTCCATAACCAACCCATCTTGGAGAATGTTGATCTGTCTGCCTGTGTGTTTGTGGGTATCGAAAGAGTTGGCCGTGGAGGAGAACAACAACGCTTCAACTTCGAAACTCTCGGAGCTGTAAATTTCGCGATCGATACCCGCAATACACGCCGTGACGGTACCTGTCGCATGATACAGCGTAATGACCGTAATTAATCGTCACAGCCAGGTCATCGACGTCATTCCCAAGCATCATCACTTCTCTCGCTCATCAAGAAGGTCCTTTTCGTCATGTGTGCATCTCTGGAGACATGATGCGAACTGTACTCTCGAGAGTGGCATTTGGGAATCGCCAGACCCCGGGGCGCTTGAAAGCTCCTACGATTCTCACAGCAACTGGCTTTGGTCTTAAGCCTATTCTACTGGAAGCGTCTGTTGCGGGCATACGACGAGCTTCTTCTATTGAAACAGGACACATTTATTTAGAGAAGAACGAGGGGTTGATTTTCATAAATAGTAAGTATTCCTACATTTTATGGTATGGTCCATAGATTGACCATCTAGATATTTTCCCCCGCAAATTACAATGGCTGCTACAGGGACCTCTCAGTGGAAGTCGATCATATGGTCGATCATATGAGAAGGCATTGAAACGAATCGATAGACCACATCTCGCAGCATCTGATCCTTTGCACATAATAGAGCGAGTCTTACCGCAAGAGCTAAATCTTGACATCAAAGCAGTTGTCCCTCGGTTCGAAGAAGGAGGCGCGTTTGTGAAGTACTCTCATAAACCTGGTGTCACTGATAGCGAGATTGAAGATGCCATCAATAATTATTTGGAAAAGAGTCCGATCAGACCTTGGTTCAATCCGTTCCAGAAAATCGATGTTGCTTGTGTCCATGGAAGACCTTGGATAGAGGACCTTTATCGCATCCCGAGTCTGAGAGTGAGGGTTGAGTTTCTGCCGTCTGAAGCGGATACCTCAGCTACCGAATTGAGCACCGAGGCCCTGTATTCCCTGCTTCGTAGGTATGGCAAGTTGCAGGAAATCGAGCGGCAAGCGTCGGATTCACGAACCATGCCGAGATATGCCTTGGTGGAATTTTCTCGACTTAAATACGCTATCATGGCAAGAAATTGCATGCACGGATTCATTGTGTCTGAAAAGGAAGGCGGGGGGAAGTCTGGAACAAAGCTGAAGATAAAGTACGAAAGGAAGATCAAAATGTCTATGATCAAGGACTGGATCCTCAACCATCCCCGGATAGTGATTCCCGCGCTCGCCGCCATTGTGGCGGCAATCACAGTGACAATCTTTGATCCAATTCGCACGTTTTTCATCGAGATGAAAATCAAGGCAACACTTCAGACAGGGGAAAACGGTATTCTGCAATGGATCCGGAAACAGGTCAGCAAAGCGAACATCATTTATTTTGGACACCAGGGGGCCGATCCGCGCGGCATTACAGCTATATGGGAAGACCGCAAAAGCGATATCGCCCAGTTGCAATCCTGGTTGGATGAAAACGTTGAGACCTTCATCGTTGTCCATGGCCCACGCGGCTCCGGGAAGCGAGAGCTTGTGCTGGACCAGGCCCTCAAGAACCACAAATATAAAGTGGTGATTGATTGTAAACAAATACAAGATGCCCGAGGAGACACTGCAAAGATCGCAAGAGCGGCAAATCAAGTTGGGTACCGTCCCGTTTTTTCGTGGATGAATAGCATTAGCAGTCTTATCGACCTAGCTGCACAGGGCATGATCGGAACCAAAGCAGGATTTTCGGAGACATTGGACGCACAGCTCAGCAACATCTGGCAGAACACTGCTACGGCATTGAAAAGAATAGCGTTGGAGGGTCGAACAAAGATGGATAAGGATGCGCATCTTCCCGATGAAGAATATCTTGAGGCGCACCCCGAAAAGCGCCCAGTGGTGGTCATTGATCACTTTCTGCATAATGCTGCGGAGACCAGTGTAGTGTACGATAAGATCACCGAATGGGCCGCTGGATTGACAACTGGGAATATCGCCCATGTGATATTTCTGACGACGGATGTCTCCTTCGCCAAACCACTCAGCAAGGCCTTACCAAATCAAGTTTTCCGAACGATCTCCTTGGGCGACTGCTCGCTTGAAGTTGGAAGAAGGTATGTTCTGAACCATTTGGCCTATGAGGCGAGAAATGAAGGCAGAGAGCCAAAGCGTGCCGAAGAATTGGAGGACCTGGGCGCTTGCATCCAAGTTTTGGGAGGCCGGGTGACGGATCTCGAGTTCATGGCCCATCGAATTGAAGCGGGAGAAACTCCTTGGGGTATATGGAACTCTTTTTTTTTTTTTTTTTTTTTTTAATCCACAGTACACTTTGTTTGCTGACATATGTAACAGGTGCCGTGAATCGCATCATCGAACAATCGGCCTCTGAGATCATGAAGATGTTCATCTTGGGTACTGACTCCGTGATTCCACACTGGACTCGCGAACAAGTCTGGCATTTAATCAAATCTCTCGCCAACACTGAAGATGGGATTCTGCCGTATAATCAAGTTCTCCTTTCTGACCTATTCAAGACGAATGGCGAGGCTACCCTTCGGGCCCTCGAACAGGCTGAACTTATCTCGATCGGCGCTGTCAATGGGTTCCCTCACACGGTCAAACCTGGTAAGCCAGTATATCACGCTGTCTTCAAGAGATTGGCCGAGAACAAGGCTTTGACCAGCCGACTCGACCTTGCAATCTTGTCGCAGCTGATTAACAATGAGAACAAGAATATCGGCAAGTTTGAGGAGGAGCTTCAGATACTCGGATCTTTACCCAAGCAGCCATGGGAGATTAGACCAAGAATCCACTGGCTATTGCAAAAGGTGCACAAATCACAGAACAAAATCGACCGATGCGAGCAGGAGAGTGCAATGTTACAGAAGATCTTGCGGAGTGCAGAGTAACCGCAACACATACATGCCCTGTCATGCATAATGATTTAGGTTCCTTTTTTCCATAATGATAGTGATGAATATAACACCTAATTCTTCGATCTCTGGGCAATAATACCAAAGCTTTGTCGCTTCAATAATAACGCGCAGTCGAACAGAGCGGTAAAAATAGACCGCTGACTCAGCATCGCTGTATTTTTGCCTTGCACATCATCCAACGCTGCTAAGACATTATCTCAGTGGATACTCGAGCAATGAAATCGACGACTTGCTGTCGATAGTCTGCTCTGGGCGCAGCTAAAATACTTCAATCCAGCTCTTTTTTCTTCTTTACTCCCTTTTGTTTTCTTGCGCCTTTGTTTGATGCGCTACTCCTTCATCAGCGCTCCTTTTTTGACTGCATCTCTGTTTTTTTTTTTTTTTTTTTTTTTTTTTTTAATTTGCAAATATGGACACGAATATATCTTTGGAGTCTGGTCTAATGCAAAAAACCCTAGGAATCAATCCAAATTTTATCTGGCCAACTCTTGTTGCTATCCTTGTTGTTGTCTGCGTCGTCACGCGCATCACCACCGGCTTCCAAAGTCGCCGTGGTAAGATAGACACCGAGGGACCGCGAGATGTAAAAATGATTCCATACTGGGTACCCCGGCTGGGAAATAGTATATCCTTTGCTTGGGACCATTTGAGTCTGCTTGAAAGAGCTAGGTAGGCTCTACTCTATCTCTGGAAATGAAGTCATGCGACAATGAAGCTAAACGGTTGTTAAAGGGAATCTATGAAGGAGCCTGTCTTTGGCATCAGCCTGGATGGAAAGAAGTACAACGTGGTTCTGGCACCTTCGATGGGAAAATCGGTGCTTTCTTTCCGTGGCACATCCAGTACAGCTCTAATCAATTATGTCTTGGAGAAAGTCTTTGGTGACCGGGGCCCAATTCGCAACTTGAGCCCTGATGACCACCATGTCCTTCATCACAACGATGCCAACCTTTTCATGAGAGAGCCATTTCTTGCAGACTCTTCTGCCAAGGCCGTTCGTATCATTGAACGGGAGGCTACCAATCTTGTAACATTTTCCCAGAGTATCGTTGATCAGACTCAATGGGAGCGTGGCAGCCAGGTCACTGTGGGCGATGAACGCGACCAGTCCTTTTGCGAGGCAAATCTTTTTGCTCTTGTAAGAGGATTTGTAGGAAACGTCACTACAAATGTTCTCATGGGCCAAGCACTCCTTGAAGCCTTTCCTTATCTGCTTGAGGATGTTTGGAGCCTCGATAACCAATTCACCAGGATGTCGATGGGGGTGCCACGCTGGCTTTTACCGGGATTGTCACCCGCACATATGGCACGTGATCGACTTCTCCATATCCTTGCGGTTTTTCACGAGGCCTTTGGAGCATGGGAAGATGGCGTTGACCCGGGTGTCAAGTTTCGTGACCTCGACGATGTCTCAGAGCCCATTAAGCAACGTATTCGCACATCCAGAAAGCTAGGATTGTCGCCCAATTCCAGTGCGCCTGGGCATTTGTCATTGCTCTGGGGTATGAATGGCAACACCCCAAACGTTGTTTTTTGGAACCTTCTTCACATATACGCAGACCCCATGCTGTTGAAGGATATCCGGGAAGAAATAAAGCCATACGCGAAGGTCTCCAGGGCTACCCGTGAGGAAACTGGCTTCCCATTCCAGGAACCCCCCAAACTTTCTCTTGATTTGGAAGGTTTGCTCAAATCCTGTCCCTTACTCAAGGCTAGCCTTTACGAGACTCTGCGTTTGGATTCAGCCGGATTTTCATTTAGACAGCTCACATCTGATCTAACCATTACCGAGTCTGCTGAAGATGCTGAGCTTGATGGTCAAGCAAAGCCTCGGACATACCAACTTCGGAAGGGTGAGAATGTCGTCATTCCATATGGCGTTCACCACGCCGATACTCGGTATTTCTCAAACCCAGGCCAATATGATCCACTGAGGTTTATTCTCACGGACAATGAAACCGAGGCAAAAAGAGCAGACACACAGACTATTAAGCCTTTTGGTGGTGGCATGTCTGGCTGCAAAGGACATATCTTTGCGGAGAGACAGTCTTTGGCCTTGATTGCTGCAATCCTTTCTGTGTGGGACATTCAGCCATCGCATGGAAAGGAATTCAAGACCCCGGGCAAGAAAGCTTCGAGTGGTGCATTTTTGCCCAAGAAAGACATCAGGGTGAAGTTGAGAATGAATGTATAATTGTTATTAGAGAATACCTGATGCATCGATGGAGTAATTTGGTATCATTTGGGGTTTTTTTTCTTGTTTATTTTTAGTCAATCGTGCCGTTAACATATATCATGGCGTGTATCTTTGCACGTCTTGTTTATTCCCTCACATTGATCTCTCTATATACCATTATGCACTACTATTCTGTGCATCTTTTATTAATTTTGGAGGTGATTTGGGACTCATGAACTTGTTGTAGGGTGACCTTATCTTTGATTCAAGAACAGAATTTTATTAGCGCTTCATGATCAAGGATCAATTGTTTTTACCGAGAATATCATCCTCCTTTGACCCACCAGGACTCAATTTTATGCGATGTTACCAAGCGACTAAAGGGGTTGGTTGGTGAGGAGAACAACGTATCGAATGCTCGCGCGGAGAAATATCCGTGTTACGGACTTGTACCGATAATGGAACCTAATTGTTAATCACCTCATCATGAGAGGTGGGATATAAATATGAGCTCTGAGAAGCTGCTGTGACTAGGTCAAGCATTGTGAACAGCCCTGAATAAAATACCATTTTCGAAAGAAACAACAATGACCCAGGCCGATCAAGTAGAATACCCTCCCAGCAAAGATTATGATATATCGACACCGATATCCTCAGTCTCAGGCCTTCGACAAGGACTGACTTCGTACGGCGATGCACACTTTTCCTTATTCCTAAGGAAAGTATTCATCAAAGCACTGGGATACTCTGAAGATGCACTCTCTCGGCCTATTGTCGGCATCATCAACACCAATTCTGGGTTTAATCCCTGTCATGCAAACGTACCACAGCTCATCGAGGCGGCCAAGCGCGGCGTCCAGCTCAATGGAGGATTGGCAATAGAATTTCCAACTATCAGTGTCCATGAGGGGTTTTCGCATCCGACCAGTATGTTTTTGCGGAATCTCATGAGCATGGATACAGAGGAAATGATTCGTGCCCAACCACTCGATGCATGCATTATGATTGGAGGTTTGTCTCGCCCCGTTGTCTTTGTCCAGTGTATACTATATATCCAGGGATATAGGATTGGTAGATTTCTGTACAGCTAACTGTACCTAGGCTGTGACAAGACTGTTCCTGCACAGTTGATGGGCGGTATATCTGCAAATAAGCCGGTTCTACCATTGATCACAGGCCCAATGTTGCCTGGAAGCCATCGTGGACAGAGAATAGGTGCTTGTACTGACTGCCGGAATAACTGGGCAGCCTTTCGCGCGAAAGAGATCGATATTGAGGAAATTTCAGCTATCAATGAAGAGCTGGCTCCAACGGTCCGTGGTAACTTCTTTTGTCTTTTCCCACCGTCCCTGGTTTACTCATGCAGTGCTTTTGAATAGATATGCTGATTTACCGCTAGATTGGTACATGCGGTGTCATGGGAACTGCTAGCACGATGGCGTGTATGACTGCTGCCCTGGGAATGATGCCGCTCCGGGGTGCGTCTGCGCCAGCGGTTTCATCTGCGAGACTTAGAATTGCCGAAGAAACTGGAGCAAATGCCGTGGCAGTTGCACGGAATGGACGAAAGCCACAAGAATTTCTGTCCAAGGAATCTTTTCTGAATGCCATTACAGTGTTGCAGGCAATTGGAGGTTCAACAAACGCCGTTGTTCATTTGATGGCGATTGCGAACCGACACCCCAGACTCCAAGGCGTGATAACCCTTCAAACTGTCGAAGATATTGGCCGCAACACACCTTTATTGATCGATCTCAAACCAAGTGGTGATAATTACATGGATAACTTCCATAATGCTGGCGGCATGCTGGCGCTGCTACATACCCTCCGCCCACTTCTTCAGTTATCGGCCGTGACGATAACCGGCCAAACACTGGGTGAGATTATAGAAGGCTCACCATTTAAAACTTTCCCACTTTCTCAGCAGATTATCCGGCCATTATCAAACCCATTATACCCTTCATCATCTCTAGTGGTTCTTCGGGGGAATATCGCACCTGGTGGGGCTGTTATGAAAGCATCGGCATCAAAGTACCGAAATCTGCTTTCCCATTCAGGCCCAGCTGTTGTTTTCGAAAACACAGCTGATTTAGCCATGCGGATTGATGACCCAGGCCTTCCAGTAACCAAAGATTCAGTTCTTGTTCTCAAAGGCATCGGCCCAATAGGAAATCCTGGAATGCCCGAAGCAGGTCTTATCCCAATCCCGCGCAAGCTGGCTGCCGCAGGCGTAAAGGATATGCTTCGTCTTTCGGACGGTCGAATGTCAGGCACCGCAGGGGGCACTATAGTACTTCACATCTCGCCGGAGTCAGCCTTGCCCGAGTCGCCATTTGGAGTTGTTGAGACGGGGGATATAATCAACTGCGATATAGAGAGTAGGAAGTTGCAGCTTGAAATATCGGATGAGGAACTGAAGGCACGGATCAAACAGAGAAATCTGGCTCTTCTCAACGGGGATGGAGCTTGGCAGGAAAGACGGAACAGAAGAGGTTATCATGGATTGTACGAGCGGTCGGTAAACCAGGCTCAGGACGGAGCAGACTTTGATTTTCTCACAGCGGTTGGACCATCAGGTTAATAGCAGAGAATATTATTATCGCATGTATCAGTTCCACCGATGTTTGTAGTCATTGAAGAAGAACCCCAAGAAGAGTGTCAGCCCTGACCCTGTGCCCTAAGCCCTTTTCATTCCCAATTAGGTTAATAGTGCCCTTGCGCGACGCGTATCGGAGCGTCGGACGCGTCGGACGAGATGCTCCGCATGTCCAACTTTCGTTCTTTGGAGAAGCGATCATCTCGAAGACGGAGAGTCGAGAACAGCAGGAGTGGGTTGGCGCTTTCTTCGATCGTATCTTCATCCTCGTTCTGTGCATCATATCTTCTCAATGACCTCTGAAGCGATCCGTCCCAGGGGGCGACCAGCTCGTAAGTACTAGGACCCATCGACTTCTATCCAGGCGGAATGGTCTACTTATGATCAATTTTCTTCTAGATACCCCTGGGACTACTATATTGACATACACACCGAACGGTCGCCAAGTTATCACTGGTGGTTCTAACTCTGCGATCCGCATTTACACCGTCGGACAGGATGGCGAGCCGAAGACAATTGATAGAGGTGTGGATGGACATTTGGGAATCGGTGCCACTGTATGTGATATTTGGTATTCCGGGAATGCGATGCTAATGTTGCTCCTCAGAACGATTCATTCATCATGGGAGCGGAAGATGGAACAGTCTGGCAATATGAAATTGAGTCGGGCAAAACGGACAAATTGCTTGTACGATGCGCCTTGCCAGTGAGAGATATCGCAGTTTCAAAAGATGGAGAATGGGCTGCAGTGGCAAGCGAGTTAGTGACAATACCCTCGAGACGCTCTGGACTAAGAAATACTGACCACTCTGGATCAGTGAGCTTACCGTGAAAATCGTCAATATCGAAGACATGAGCAACGTGAAATACCTCCGAGAACAAGCCAAGGGAACGAAGCACGTCACTTTTGATCCGAGTGGGCGGTATGCCACCGTATCTTGTACGGACGGTATCCTTTACGTTTATTCCCTGCTCCCCGAAGAGCCAGAGTTGGTCCGAAAACTGGATGGGGTTATTCGCAGACTTGAGCCAGAGGACGAAGCAACATCGAGAGCAGTATGGCATCCTGACGGAACAGCTTTTGCATCGGCAGAAGCTACTAGGGACATTTCTATATACTCTACCGCGGAGTGGAAGAAGGAGAAAACGTTCACCGGTGGTCATAACGGAGAAGTAACCGCGATTAGCTGGTCTCCCAATGGGGCACTCCTTACCACAGCTGGCGGAGATGGCCAGATCCTGCTTTGGGAGACAAAATCCCAAAAGGTTATACAGCGTTATGACTTTGCGAACGTCATTAACCTTGCCTGGCACCCTACCAATAACTCGCTTTCTTTTACGACATCAGACGGAGAGCTTTTTATCCATGATGATTTCGTGCCAAAAGAACACCAACCCCTCCTTCAGAAGCCGCTACAGGCTGCTCCTATATTTTCGGGCCCCTTGACAGAGATCTCCGACAATGTGCGACGGCCACTGGCAAATAGGCCGAAGGAGACGGTAGAACGTAGAAGGGATGGCACACCGGACTCGCTTGATGACATCCTGGGCTCCGATGATGGTATGGCAGATTTTGTCGACGACGATGACGGTGCTGGCTACGCCGAGGGCCTCAATCCTTTCGGGAAAAGAACAAACGATCATTTAGGTGACCTGGACGGCCACGCTGACAAGCGGCTATTGACAACTAAATGGCAACCTAAAACTCATCCTCCTCTCCAGCCTGGTAGCACACCTTGGAGAGGCAATCGACGATACCTCTGTATGGCTGCTCATTTATTTGTTCCACTTTTGGCTATGATGTGCTGACTAGAAAAGGCTTGAATTTGACGGGCTGCGTTTGGACCGTCGACCAGGAGACGCACAATACGGTTACAGTAGAGTTTTATGATCGAGAACTTCACCGAGACTTTCACTTCACAGACCCATATCTATATGATCGGGCGTGTCTAAGTACGTCGAATGCGGATGTCGAGTTCTGATTGCCATATACTAACGAAGTGTAGATGATAATGGAACACTATTCTCCAACAACCCTACCGACGGTAGCCCAGCTACCATTTTCTATCGTCCACATGAGACATGGACTACGCGAGCAGACTGGCGGACACAACTGCCCCAGGGAGAGATGATTCGAGGTAAGGACAACCACTGATCAATCTGGAAATAGAAATTATTGAGCTGATATTCCATACAGCGCTGGCGCTGAGTGATTCATATATTGTCGCTGTAACGACCAAGGATTATGTTCGTGTGTATACACTCTTTGGAACACCATTCAAGGTGTATAGACAGAAAAGCCCGGCCGTGTCCTGTGCTGCTTGGCGGGACTATATTATGACCATCGGGAATGGTCCGCTAGGAAGCGATGGTACATCGACCCTACGATACACTGTGGAGAATGTCAAACGGGACGAGGTTTGCCAAAATGAGGACGTGGTTGCAGTTCCCGAAGGCACAGAGCTCCAGAGCGTGTTCTTTTCTGATACTGGGGTGAGCCGCATATGATTCTGCTCCTATCTGCTCACTATACTGACTATTGTATTAGGACCCTTGCATCTACGATTCAGAGGGTGTTTTACTTGTTCTGCAGCACTGGCGTAGTCAAGGTCAAGCTCGATGGGTTCCACTTTTGGACACCAAGCAGCTGGAGCGACTTGCTGGTGGACGCAAAGCAGAGACATACTGGCCGGTTGCTGTTGCACAGCAAAAATTCCACTGCATCATCTTGAAGGGAGGAGATAAGTATCCATACTTTCCTCGCCCACTGTTGAGTGAATTCGACTTTAGGATTCCCACCTCCGACGCGCCACAGAAGGACGCCAATGAAGATGAAGACGGTTCCGCCACCCGCAACGACGGGGCCCGATTTGAGGAATCCTTTGTCCGTGGTAGCCTACTTCTGTCTCTCTTCCGGGACCTCTTGTCATCAACCAATGCAACACCTAGTCAACAAGCAGAGCTGGCTCGGAAAGAAATCGAAGTAGACAAGGTCCTTCTGCAGATGCTGGCTGTGGAATGTAGGGAAGGAGAAGATCGGGGTATGAAGGCCCTTGAATTAGTCGGTATGATGAGAGACCGTAACGGCAAGATGGTCGAAGCAGCCGCGAAGGTGGCCGAGAGATACGGCCGTGGTGTCCTGGAGGACAAGATCCGGGATTTGGCAGAGAAACGGTTCATGGGGGTGGATGACGATGATGAGCTGGCGTGATCGAATAATGAGCTGGAAATCTCATTGATGTTTATGACCTTGGAAGCCTTAATTATATCTACTTTATCTATATGAGCTGAATCAACTGGCCGTTGGATTGGATGTGGTGATGGCTTGGGCCAATCATGCCGACTGTAATGTAAGAATGACAAAAGGTACAGTAATTGATCGATTTGAAGATGTTAGAATCCTTACTTTGAATCTCTATTTCAAAAAATGAAATTAATACCCCAAATATCGCCGTATTTGTTGTTTGGTTTTCCCGTCTTCGGCTGTCAACGTCATTGGCAAAAACACGTTAATTTCCCTTCATCATTGCAACTTTTCTTTTTTTCCTTTTGACTTCCCACTCTCGATCAACAACCTATGGCTTGACCAAGGCCCCTTTCTGTCGTCCTGCACGGCCTGAAACTACTTTTCATTCTCGATCTATCCTTCATGTATCCTTATAGCTGAAGACTCCCCCCCCACTTCGTAATGCCGAAACTTGCCGTCGTCCATTCGCCCCCATGCGCCATCCGAACTCTCCTACACACTTCGCCCTCACCTAAATGCCCGATTCCTCGTGCCAGCCATCGCCAGAGCTTCGTCTCTTCTCCCCGGCGGCCGTTGGCCCAGCCTCGTTATGAAGTACTCGGTGATACCTGGCTCCCACTAGCCACTCCCACTACGTTCTTCTCGCCGACGGGCTCTCATGCATCATTGAACGGGCTGAATGGAAACCCCAATAATGATCATAAGCCACCCGATGAACGGATCCTGAAGCTGGGGAAAAGTGAGAATCTGTCTCTGGATGTAACGATGATGATTGCTGACCCTGGACTCAACAGCTCTCCGAACTTTATCCCCGCTCCTCCCTACTCTTCTCGTTAATCCTCTGCCTCCAAACATCCTTTCACCAAGTGTGACTTTACATCTGTTCCCGGCAACACATCCGCATCTTCCTACGGTAAGAGGTCGAACGCTTTACCGTGCAGCGCTATGGACAGTCCCTGTGGCGTGGAGCAGCCTTCCGCTGGTCGGAAATGTCAAGTTGCAGATCCTGAGCGAGCGCATCGTCCGTGCAGGAACAGTCCTGGATCCGGATCGATGCAGTGACAGCGACTGTGGCGATGAACGGTTGGTTATCCGGTGGAAAACACAAGGGAGAAGCGAGAGCCACTCTGAGACCCCCGTGGCCGACACGACGCCAAACGGGGATGCTTCATCGGGGGCGCACGGGCATCTCTCGTCGTCGAGAAATGGCATCAACAAGGGTCTCAGTGTGCTTCTGGGCGGAGATGCTCCAATTTTCAAGTTGTCCAAGGAAGAGGAATTCACGGGACTCTTCATCTTCTCATTCGATGAGGAAGGTCGTATCTCGACTCACACCATCGAACATGCGGACGATGCAAACGGATGGGATCGCACGCCTAAGTTCGTCACTTTGACAGATTGGCTGATTGGAAAGGCAAGGGGCTCGCTGGATCCTTCCACAAACCCCGAGTTGGCCTTCCAGAGCTCCCAACATTTTGGACTACCCCAGGGCGAAAAATATCGCCATTCCCATCGCTGACCATAGCCCATTATGGCCATGGGTATAACGCTGCTTTGTCAGAGCAGGCTGTTAGATTATCTCACGAAGAACTCTCGATATAAAACCACATGGAACCTGGTCTACTGTACAAGCAGTGGCTTTGAAGTTCTGGGTGATATTAACATTAATATCCACGTCGACTGGATTTGTACCATATCAGAGTCTAGCTTGTCTCATCTATTTGCTAGTACCTCTCATACTTCAGCATCTCTCCCCCGTTTTAACCCTGGACTTTGTTTCCTTGGATGTATATTATACAACTTTGGGGAGTATCATGTAATAAATCAAACCTATTGCTTCATGACCCAGACAGTCGATTCCCTTGACAGATTGAGCCCAACCTCAGCTGCCCAGACCAAATACTGAGTATGAGAGGATGTGCTTCGCAAGATGATTGCTACAACACTTTGGCTCACCAACCCTTCTATACACTCAAAGTGGCAATGACGTATATACTCTGCTTTGAGTAAGCTGGTACCCTTGAGGAAATGGCATAAGAATGTACTATATAATCACTATATGCGCAGTCTTCCTGATATTAAAACATGATAGAAGCATGTGGTTCATCAGGAGAATGTCGTCTAACTTCAAAGAACCATCTTGTACTAGTATATTCCATGTTTTATGTGTCATTTTGATTATGCAGACTTACATATTTTCTACTCTGTACTGGGCTCCAAAAGAGTGTTGTCAAATCTATTGGTACATATATACAGTACAAAGTCCAACTTAGGACGAAGACATTTAAGATACATTCGACTTGAAAACACATTGCCAGCCACAGGCCCAAATGATTCAAAACATGATGTACAGACCAGACCGGATGTGAAAGTGTTTAGCTGTCCTTCTTGGCTTTGGGGGCCGTCTGGATAGGAGGCGACTTCAAAGTCGTAAAGACTCCCACACAGACAACCAGCATAGCAAAGCCACCAGTAGTATAGGCGATTTCGCGCCCAGCCCACCAGAAAAGCGAACAGAACAAAAGCGGGCCTGCCGCTCGTCCTACCTGGCCCCAGCTTCTCAAGCGGCCCAGAACGGCGCCACGCTCGCCTTCCTGTGCCTCAAAGCTACCCAGGCTGTTCAAGCCCGTCACCACTGTCGCGCTTGTGATGGCCAAAAGACCACCAGCACCATATAGTCCCGCGATAGACTGCACACGCGCCAGTAAGAAGAATGCGATTGCGCAGGCCACGACACCGGCGCGGACGGTCACGAGAGGTGGCAAGCGGCGGACGACAGTGCCCTGAAGCAAAGATGCGATTAAACCCATCATCGACAACAGACGACCATTCAATGCGGAAGGACTGGCCTTATTTCCGGCATAAAATGTCGCAGTGAGGAAGGGGAGGGAGAACTCCAGGCCCGAAAATGGAAGGAGGAAAAGCAGGTGGAGGAAGTTGAGCAAGCTCGGCTTGTTGGTATGTCTCCGTGGAGCGGGGGTCTTAGCAGTAGAAGAGGTGTTATTGATGTTTTCTGAAGCCGCAGCCTCGGTCGGCTTCGAATGTCTAAGCTTGGTGAGACGGGGGTGTGTCTCTGGAAGACAGAAATACAGGTACACTGTCTCCACGACGATAAGGAGGAGAGAAACCCCCGCAGCAGTCGCAAACGGATTCGCAGCAACGGTGGTGATGTTCGACAGCGCGGCTCCCAGCGCCGGCCCACAAGTAAAAGCAATGCTAAAACAAGCGCCTACAAGCGCCATGGTTGATCCTCGTTGGCTCTCATCGCTGATATCCGTGGCGATGGCATTGGCCAGCTGAACATTGCCCTCACTCAAGCCACCCACAATGCGACTGGCAAGGAAAGTGCGAAAGTCCGTTGCCGCAACCCAAAGAGCGACACTGAGGGTGTTGCCAGCCATCGAGCAGAGGAGAGCCGTTTTGCGACCATGTTTGTCAGAAAGACGGCCGATGAAGGGAGCGGCAATGGCCTGGAGAAAGGAAAATAGCGACCCCAACGCGCCCCCGAGGAGAACAATATCGTAGCGAGAATCGATTGATCCAGCAAAGGAATTCTTATATGCGTTCAGATAGTGGAAAACCCGGTTCAAAAGAGAGTTGGGGGCGGGATCTTGGTTTCGGTAGAAAGAAAGTAGAGAGGGAAACAACGGAAGAATGAAAGTGAAGGATATCTAGCAGCAAAAAAAGTCAGTAGAACAATGGAAAACAAACGCATTTGAGTTCCATACCAAATCCAAGAGAAGCGATGTCATAAGAACCTTGAGGATCTGCCTCCGCTGATCTCCAGCCAGCGCCATGATCTGTCAAGGTTGGGAGAGATGAAGCCAAATAAGAGGGTAAAGGAATGGAATTAGTCCAACATGTGGAATTGAAGACGAAGATGGACAAAAGGACAAGAAGCCAGACAGAAGAAAGATTACAAAAATCAGGTCATGGCGATTCTTCCGATGAGGACAGGCAGTTATTAATGCAATTTATTCCAGACCCCCAAAAGGGCCCCCTGGCACAGTCAGCGCGTTATGTCATAACCCTAAGCCCTATGGCCGTATTGGGAAATACATACTATCTGATTAGATTAGATCGAGTGCTCAGGTCTAAATATAAAATAGGCTTACGGCAGGTTTTGATATGGCCCCTGAGAAAATGTGGCTATTTTAAGAAGGGCTTTTGGATTGATAGCAGATGAAACGCGGTGGTGCTGAGGCATATATCCTGTGTCTGAGTGTGAAATTCTGAACCGCGAAGAATGCCTGACTGCCTCAATAACAGTCTTAGGTTAAAGGATTGTATCTACTACCAGGAATCGGTTCTAACAAACCCCTTGTTAGCTTCTGAGATATCGGCGATGGTCGTTTACGAAGGTTTTCTGGTCGTGTGTCCCTCAAATGCCGACGAATCTGGTGTACGAAATCGGCACAGTGGGCGTTGTCAGCTGCAAGGTTAAAAGAAAATGAGCACAGCTCAGGAAACCTATCATCCAATAGCTTTATTATTTGATCCCGTAAACTGGTGATGCTTTGGACAGATTCCAAAGGCGACGTGGTAATGGATCCCAGTCCAAATTCGGATAAACAAGGGAAATGTGCCTCGGGCTCATCAACAAGATCCATCAGTTCCAGGTCGGCCATAAAATCTAGCTCGTACATGTGAGGGCAATGGCGGGCAAAAGATATCAGTGACTTGGTGGTTAATTTCCCGGAGAATGAAACGCAAAAGACCTCTAGATGCTTCCATTTAGATGTAAGCGTCTCTATCAGTTCATCCGTAATGTTATCAGATCGACAACTGCCACCCAGCTCCAATCTGCGAATTAAAGGGCATCCGGAAGCTAGATTAAGAAGCTCCTCCTTTGAGACGGATGTTATACGTTCACTGTCAAAAGTAATTTCTTCAAGTCGCGTGCAGGAGGATAAGGTGCCTAGTATATGATGTAGACTCAAGGCAGTTTTGATCTGTGTTATTGAGACTCCTTGAAGAAATCGCAATGTAGATAGAAGTAGCCGCAAAGCTTTTTCTTCTGCATTTATTTCCAGGTACCGCAGCACAGGAAAGATATGGTCACTAGGGTATTCATCCTGCACTTGCATGATTATCCGCCAGTCCAGAGGCACATAGTAACCAAGATTCAGCACCTCGAGGTTTGGACGCAGCATTATGTGCTGCATGACCCTTTCGTCAAGTATCGGCTCCCATCCCAGGTTTAACTCTAGGTGCTTGATTGATGTCATGCTTGTGAGAAAATCCAAAAAGTCGTCGGCAGTCAGGGCATCAGATGATTCTTCTTCCTCTATCAAACGATTATCAACAAGCCAAAGTTGAAGCAGAGGAGATTTTATCTATCAAGAGCATGAGCAAACATGGAACTCAGATCCCATACGCTCTGGATTACCTTGACTTGTTCTAGAAACCATCGGGTATAATAGCCACCATAAAGTTCCAAACAGAGAAGACTGGGCGACAGAAACTGAACCATATCTTTCTCATTCATGTTCTCACTCCCAAGATCGACAATGACAGACCGAGCGTTTGCAAAAGCGAACTGCCTCTGCTTCAGCAAAAGAGGAATCGAGAGTAGATTTGATTCATCATATTCAATTTCAAGATCTAAACAACGAATCTTTTTCGTGTACCTGTTGGGACAGCGAAGGTTGGCAAGGAGATGACTCAACTATGGCCGATCAACCTACCAATCTCGTCGTTCTTGGGAGCAATCAGACAGTCTCTGGAGTGGAGTTGATAAAGAGTCGAATGATATGCGGTATCCTCCTCGCCAAATCCACTTAGATGAACATCCATCAGCTTTAGTATGTTTAAACCAAGAAAAGTCAAACCAGAACGTACGTTGGTTGCCTCGTTCGCCCACATGGAGTTGACTTGGGCGGCAGCGACTAAGGTCTTAGAGTCGACATATTGCAGCACGTTTGCGAGGATTTCAGGAACATTCAGAGGCGTTTCATCCATGGTTGATGATGATTGCGTAACTTCACAACGATGGTGAATGTAAAAAGATGTGGATTTGAAGCGGGGAGGTTGAAGGATGATAGATGAATCCCTCTGGTAACTGTACAATCCATAGAGGTAATTCTGACATCAGCATGCACAAGTGGTGCATAACTCCTGTGTTTTCTGAGAATCATAAATCTAATGAGGCGCTGTATGATTGTGCTCATATTACAATGTTGACATATGTGTATATACAGCTACGACATAGAAATGATGGGTTACAGATATCAACATCAGACGGCGTTCCATGCCATAATCTCATTAAACTAACCGCCTTGCATGCAATGAACAACGCCTTGACTTGCAAGCCATGCTTCCTCCCATTATCCCAGCATCATGAGTCCCAGTCCCCATTTCACCATGCTAAATGCCCCAATCCTTGCCCTCCCTTAGGCCAACAATATTAAGTTAGAAGAGAAGAAAACATCAAGTAGAATACAGGAGAATTGTAATAGAGGCCAGGTGAGCAAAAAAGATTAAGAAAAAAAAAGAAAGGGGGAAGATATTAGAAGATCCATAATATGCACGCTCAATAACCATAGGACATGTACAATCCGGAACTTTTTCTGGATGCCATCCAATAAAAAGATATGAAACAAAGAAAAAAGTGCAGATAGTGTGCTTCCACATATTTGCAGTCGCAGCTCGTGTCCCTTGTAAGCATTTCGAGATTCGTTGTATTCGTGAACCATAACACCGCCAACCCAATGAGCTGAACAATGGCAAGAGATGAAGACCAAGACGGCCGGGAAATGAAAAATGACAAGAAAAGGCCAAGAGGCAGTGTCAAGAAGTAGTTCGTTCAAGGCAACGCGAGGCGGAAAGCCTTAAGAGTTCGAAATCGGTCGACATCGACTTTCTGACAACGAACCATCCCCGACCCAAACAGTAGATCCACTACTGGGTTCCTGCAGCGGGGGTTGCAGCGGCTGGAGCACCATTGGGTCCACCACGGCCACGTCCGCCACGTCCGCCCCTGCCACGGCCTCTGAAGTCACCGCGTCCCCGACCACGGAACTCACCTCGTCCGCGTCCACGTCCACCACCGCCGCGTCCACGTCCACTGGGCTGTCTCTGGTGGTGCACCACAGGCTCGAAACCGTCAACACCTTCCTTGCGGACCTGTCCATTCTCGGAAGTCTGAGCTGGAATAGAGTTGTTCTTCAAGTCGGTCTCAACGGCTGCGGGGGTCGCCTGTAGGCCAGTATCCGTCTCAGCTGGGTCGCGGGGCACTTCCACCCAGCCTTCGGCAGTCGCAGAAGACGGGTGAGACGCATCCGCATTGGAGATCCAAGTCGCCTCTGCCACTGGGTTCGCGGCGTCAGATACGAGGGTTTGAGCGGGCGGAGGCACCTGCTCGGACTGGGTGGCCTCAGCAGCAGCTGTGGGCTGTTGGCTCGCAGCAGGGTCGGCAGCTGCTAAGGTGCTATCCTGAAGCTCGGTGTAACCCGCATTGGCCAAAGTAGGGTCCGATGCGGGAGCTGCTTCCGTAGTCACTTCCTCGGAGGTCGGGGCGTACCCTTCAGAGATCTGCTTCACCTTGCCATCTGTAGAAAGCTGTTAGCAACCCAAATATATAATTGTACTGCAGAGGTGGCTTCCTTACAGGTAATATCAAGCGCCTCACCCTCAACGCCGACGATCTTCTCATCCACTCCATCGATAAGCTTCGACATGAAGCCAACAGCTTCCAGGGAGCCACCGTAGACCTGGTATAAAACACCCTCGAAGCCGCGGCTCTCGTTGGAAGTCTCATCACCTGAGCGCCTCATAGCTGCGGCAGCGCAGAGAAACTTGCTCAAAGTGAGCAATCGCTTCTCGAATTCCTTCTTACTAGCCTCAGCAGCCTCAGCAACGGACTTCTCCCGCAAAGCATTCAACTCTTCCTTGTGGGCCTTCTCCAAATCGGTCTTCTGGCTGGCCAGGCGGTCCTCATAATGAGCGGCAAACTCCTTGAAGTGGGAGATCTGCTCCTCAATCTGAGTAACAGCGGCTTGCAGAGAAGGCTTCTTCAGTGCCTGAGCCTTTTGATCGTTGTTGATCTTCTTCTCCGCAACCAACTCATCCAGCGATTTTCCAGGATTCTCAGCGATGATGGCATCAACTTTAACGGTCGCGTTCTGTACAAGAGAAAGTTTTTTGTTAGCTGGAGAACGAGCAGATATCAGCATCCTTGATAATGATGACTTACCAGCTTCTTCAAAGCATTGCGCAAGCTCCTATGAGAACACAAAATCAGCCCCACGTCCAGAGCCCAACTAAATATCAAATAAGAGAAAGGAAAAAAAATCCAGAGCATTCCAATTTGTATGTCTATTTGATTGCCGTGGTTTTTTCTTCTGTTTTCTTACCTCTGGAGTTCCTTGAATTGGGGGTTGTCGAGGTTGTCCAAGCTGTTTGCTGTCACTTGAGCCGCATCTGCCTTTGAGGCATTGGAAGCATTAGAGGAATGCGCCTGCTTTTGCTTCTCTGGGGCGGACTCAGGTTGAGCCTGCGGCTTGCTGGTGACAGGAGCGGCAGCCATGATATGTTGTGATAATGCGAAGGTGGACGAAAAGATGGTTGGATCCTGTTCTCTTAGAGGGGAAAGGAAAGACTTTAACTGGGATACAGTACTGTCTGAATGAGAGGTTAAATAAAGAAGATGGGGGTTGATGGGGGAAAGGAAGAAGAAGGAAAATAGAGAGGAAAGTGTTGAGGAGAACAGAAGTTGAAGATGAGGCAGAGAGCTGGGGAAGAGAAGACAGTCGAAGATGCGGGTGGAACTCTCCCGAACCCCAAGCCCGCTTTGTCGCGTATTGCAGTCGATCAATCCAAACAAAGAACCCAGCCAGGCAGAAACTGCGTCCAAACAGTTGTCGCATTGGGGACTACAGCACTCAATTTCCATGCTAGCTGTCATTTACCAGCAGGGACAGTTTCAAGTATCAAATACTAACTAAATATGTATGTATTTGGAAGCATGATGCTTCGGCTTGGTATCATAAGACTCAAATAACGCCCTCAAACTATTTCCCCCCAACCAAGATAGATGGGACCTAACATCAAACAAGAACAATAATCGCACAGTAACAGTTTCTTCCAGTCAAACGCCCTTGTAGGTCCAGCGCACATCCCACAAACACGGCCAATATACGAATGAAGGCGGAGCGGAGGGTCTTTCGATTAACCCTTGAATTTTCGCAGTGTTCCCTAGAAGCCAAAGAAAGGCATTAGTCAAATCAATGCTAATTTTAAAGTATTGGAGTATAGACCGTCATACCTCAGTGACTTTTCGGACAGAATTCGCAGAGATATTCTTTTCGCCTGCCTTTCGCGAGCGGATTGACGATTCGCGCATTAATCTGCAAAATGATAGGTATCTCGTCAGATATTCTCCGTTCTCTCACTATTGTATCAAACTCGAATGGTCGGCATTGATCGATCCACCAAGACCAAGGTAGCTGGAAGGTGCGTCAAAACTCACTCCTGCATGAAAAGCATATAGTCAAGGAAAATCTATCAACACAAAAAATCACCATAAGTTAACAACCACAATTGGTCAAATTACCACATCGAGAAGGGGATAGCTCACCAGAATATCGGCGTTCTTGCTCACGTTTCGATTCGAGTGGGCTTTGACAATGCGCTTGACTGTTGCGCGAGGGTAGAGTTTCTGGGTAGCCACCATGATTGTCACTGAAGAAGCCAGGGATATCAGAATATCCTAGAAGATACAGGAGGGGAGAGGAAAGATGTTCTGGGCTGCCGAAGGTCTGTTGATCATCGACTGTTATTCCAAGCTTCCGGGGATAAGCTCCCGCCGTCCTGTTTGGAGTAAATTACATGTTTTACACCGCCCGGTATGGATGGATCCATTCTGTATGCCGAGGCGCTTGGCGTATTTGCATTACGTTACATAAACATGGCACTGGTCCGTTGATACCTAGGCGTCTCAGAGTTGATAGATCTAAATAATCTAAATTATATGTAAAAAGACGGTCACAACCTAATGATAGAATATAGGTTGTATTATAAATATTTACCAGATAGAATACGTAATTATCGAACAAATTTATACCACCTATCGACGTCGGAGAAATCTCCAGGCATACACTGCCGCCATCGACCCCAAACCGATTCGCCATGCAAGGAAAATGCATATGGCAACCCGAAGCCGATCATAGTATCCCCGGAGCATGATGCCAACTGCATATGAGCTTCCATCCGGACCTTCGTCCGAAGGCCCATAATATCTGCCAACCCCAAGTCCTCCGATGCCCACCTCGTTGTGATTATGCTTTGAATCCGCTGCCTCCGTAACAGGTAGTGCAGCGGTCTGGCTGTCCACTGCCGTATTGCTGGGTCGCCTTCCCGACTTGACATTGAGCATATTGCGTTTACGCAGTTGGTAGGTCAGGATGCTCACGATCAGTCGCAAATCTGGAGGGGTAAATGTAGGGTATTTCCACAGCTGCACAGCAGTGTGAGGGGGCAGCATATCTAAGAAGTCGGCTAAAATGCCAAGTGTAAGTCCCCAGAGCAGCAGAGGACGATTCTGATCACCCGAGTCTGCTTGATTTCCCAAGCACCACGTTTTACACCGCGATATAAAACCGTGCGATTGGTCATCCCCAGAGACGAATCCCGGGATTGTACTGCAATGTAAACTTTCGGTCGGTTTCAGCCGGATTGCACAGAATTGCATGAATCCCAGGATAGACCGACATGCAAGACGGGTGATGAAGCCTCCTCTTCTCGCGAAGCGCTGAGACATGTCGACATATTCTATTGTGCGGGACGATGACGATAAGAGAGCTCTGAGAGACACCCAATGGGTTGAAGCAACCTCAGTAGGTTGTAAGTTTAGAGTCGGAGAGTCGCTACTGGTCGACAGAAAAATAAAAGGACAAAGGACCATCAATCTTCAAACAAACCGGTTAGTATTTCCATCCTGAAGAGAAAGAATTGGCAGCCATCATACGGTACAGTGCCCCAGCTTGTAGTGACAACTCGCTCTGGCAAGTTTCCTACATAGATAAAGTCGTCCGTCGTCAGATCTAGTCCGATTTCCTCAGACGCCTCCCTAATCGCAGCAGCTTTGTCATCTGCATCCTCGGGGTCTCGCTTTCCTCCAGGAAGAGCGACATGGCCGTTCCAACGGTCCCCCACGCGCGAGGATCGTTTGATAAACAGAGTTTCCGGATCACCATGTTGAACCCATGACTGGGAGAAGAAATTATCCAACCGCTCCTTCGTGGAAGAGGCCTGGTCTCGGGGTGGGAGCGGAGAACTCGGCGAATGACCGTACGTCGGGCGAACTCGAAGGATCAGGGCCACAGAGGCACGTTTCTTGCAAGATGGTGGGTTTGGGACATGAGGATATGGGCGTTGGGAGAGGTCTATCAAGACATTATGCAGGGACTTGGACACTGGCAACTCTGGGTTTAATGACTCCATTCTGAGACAATTCATCAATGACCTCACTGACAACAAGATGTTAATTTTACAGATGGATCAAAGGCAATTGTCGCTAAAAGCAGTAGTATTCAATTTGTACAGAGCAGCTCTGGGGTAATAATGATAGGAAAGACAGTTTGGCGTGGTGTTTGGATTAGAATTCATGGCTTTGCATGCACCGCGGCGCTTTAGAACATCCTGAGCTATACTATATTAGTACTAGGTAGCCTAGCATTAGCGTCTATAACACACCCAATCTGTATATTTTGATACAATACCGTTGTATTATATATATTGTCCGTAATACTGCGACAGTCGAGCTAAAAAGTGGATAGTTACTCCGCTCCGAATATGTATGTCTTCGGCGGCTTCCGATTGGACGATAGCCAGTGAGCTCAGCACGTGCGTCTAACCGACCTCATGATAACATAAGAGGATTGGGCAACGGCAGGGTTCTTAGATAGAGCGTAAATTTAAAAATTAATATTTCTGTCCTGCCCCTCCATCCTAAAAAGTCCTCGGATTATTTCGTGGGAACGATGTTCGTTTTGTTCTCGTTCTCTGTCGTGTGCAATTGAACCCCTTCCTTTGCTCCGCTTTTCCCGCCTACCTTCTACAAACTACCTACAGACCTCTATTAACCTGGACGATCTCATCCACCAATATCATCAAGTCCGGTGAGCCACCATCGATCGAGCAATCATGCGTTTCGGCAAAACTTTACGAAATTCAATCTATTCTCCTTGGAGCGGGAAATATATCGATTATCATAAGCTCAAGGTCCTGCTACGGGAGGACGACGTCACCAAAGATGCTAGCGATTCGGAGGACTCACAATGGACCGATCAGGATGAGGAGGCGTTTGTGCAGGAGCTGCTCAACGTTCAGCTAGACAACGTCAATGCTTTTCAGGTCGAAACCTCTCGACAGCTCCGAGAACGTACCTCGACTTGTGAGGCGAAGTTGCGGTCATTGGCGCCTGCTGAGCAGCAGCAACAGACACCTACAACGGATGATGAAGAGAAGAAGGCTATTGCTTCAGAAGTCCTTCAGGAACTAGATAGTATTACAAAGGAAGTCAGCGAGCTGGAGAAATATAGCCGTATAAACTTCACCGGCTTTCTCAAGGCTGCGAAGAAACATGACCGCAAGCGTGGCACCCGGTACCGTGTCAGGCCACTTCTCCAAGTGCGTCTGTCGCAACTGCCATTCAACTCGGAGGACTACTCGCCTCTGGTACGCCGACTTTCGGTGATGTATTCGTTTGTTCGCGAAATCCTTAGCCGTGGCGTTGTCGAGCCCAAAAATGACGGAGAGCCTCGATTCGGTGAAGATGTATACTCCTCGTTTAAGTTCTGGGTCCATTCCGACAATGTTCTCGAAGTCAAGACTTACATTCTGCGACAACTGCCCGTGCTCATCTATAATCCTGGGACTTCAAAGGAATTGCAGACCCTTCTTGAGGACCCCGCTATCACCTCTCTATATTTTGACAACCCTAAATTCGAACTTTACAATCAGAAGGTAGCCAAGGCTCCCGAGGCTGGATCTCTGCGATTACGTTGGACCGGAAATCTAAAGGACAAGCCCGCAATCTTCTTAGAGAAGAAGGTCGTGACTGATGATGATCGAAGCAGAGAGGTCAAGGTGCAACTCAAACAGAAGCACGTCCAAGAGTTTCTCAAGGGAGAATATCGACTTGACAAACAGGTCCATCGAATGGAAGGCATGGGAAATGGTGAGTCGGAGCAGGCAGAGTCTCTGAAAAAAGACGTGGAAGAGCTCCAGTCATTTATCAAGGAGCACAATTTGCAGCCGATGGTTCGGGCCAACTACACCCGCACTGCATTCCAGATTCCTGGCGATGATCGCATCCGGATTTCCCTTGACACCAATCTCGCATTGATTAGAGAAGACTCGCTTGATCAGGAACGCCCTTGCCGCGACCCAAATGAATGGCATCGCACCGAGCTTGATGAGGCCGGCATGGTGTATCCATTCAACGCCATCAGAACCGGAGAGATCTCCCGCTTCCCTCATGCTTTACTTGAAGTCAAACTCAGGGGAAGTGCGCACAACGCCGAGTGGGTAAATGACCTTATGTTTTCTCACCTGGTTAAAGAGGCTCCTCGCTTTTCCAAATTTGTCCATGGAATCGCGCAACTTTTCGAAGACAATGTCAATTCGTTTCCTTTCTGGCTTGGTGAGCTCGACAGTGACATTCGGCGGGATCCTGAGACTGCATTCCACGAGGAGCAAGAAAGATTGGCCAAGCGAGCAGAAGATGACATTGCAGTTGGAAGCTTCCTGGGCGGAAAAGGTAGCCCAAGTAGAAAGCCCCTGGCAGAATCTCGAATCGCCAGGTACTCCGATGTAGGCTCTCCGTCACGGGTGCGGAGAGCCTCCCACGTCGTACAACAACGGCCTCCTCGATTGTCGGTTACCGGCCCTGAGCCTGAACCCCAGCCCCAGCCCCAGCCCCAGGAGGAAGCCGAATTGCCTGCCGAGCAAGAGCAAACGCCGGCCATGTCTCGTCTAGGAGCTCTTTTCCCATCATTTTCCACCTCAAAGCGCAGTCGCACACACCGTGGGGCGATGGTGTTACCGCCGGGTGTGCGAGACCCGGGAACATGGATCAAGGACTCTGGCCCTGTGCGTGTTGAAAGCAAGGTATGGCTCGCCAACCAGCGAACCTTGATCAAATGGATGCATGTCACTGTTCTGCTCTCGTCTCTGTCCCTGGCTCTCTATAATGCAGCGGGGAAGCACAACGGCATAGCTCGTGCCCTTTCCGTCGTCTACACTTTCTTTGCCGTCTTTTCTGCTGGATGGGGATGGTACATGTATGAGAAGCGGGCCAACCTTATCCGACAGAGAAGCGGGCGTGATCTCGACAACATGTTCGGACCCATGGTCGTGTGCATTGGTTTGGCTGTAGCTCTCGTGCTGAACTTTGCATTTAAAGTGAGTACTAGGAATTTTGAACCGATTTCTATTGGCAGCTAGCTAACTCCATCCAGTACTCTTCTACTCTTGAAAAGATCCGCCAGAATCACCCCTACCCATATTCATCTGACAGCTCCATCTATTCGGCTGCGCCTGTTGAGAACCAAACCTCGTGGCAGTTGGTGAAACAGGCTCCATAAGATTTTCAATGAACCAACTGCAATGATGACAATCTTGCAAGAAAGAAAAATAATGAAAGCCTAAATTACGAGTAGCTTTTCTCATTCATTTCCTGGATTTTCCCAAACATACTTCAAGGCGTTCGCGGGCTTTTACCTGCTGACTTTTTTTGGCTGACAATACCCAACCAGCACCTACTCTCATTATGATGGATGTATGATGCTTTGGTGCATACTTGTGTTTATGTTTCTATTTCCGTCTAACAGTGTAACGTATCAATCATTGTTGCTGTGCCTTTGCAAGGGAAAAGATGTGTCGAAATTTCCAAGCTGAGAATGTCTCATACGCATTGCAGACCATGAGTGGTAATCAAGTTCTTGAAATATCCCACAAAACTACGCTGTGCAACCTGGAAACCATAACATAAATCTAAACTGCATGTAGATCTTTCCTAGCTGTGGTATTTTGGAGTAACGGCGTGCGCTCAGGATCTGTACCCATTTCATCTGAGGGTTGCGATGGGTTTTCAGAGACGATTCTGGCAATATAGCCATCAAAACTAGTTCTGTGGAGGTATCAGATGGTGTTTGATGGAGCGAGTGAACAAGAGAATCACAGTATATACGGTCAGCTTACCTATCAAAAAATCCGCAAAATAGCCATAGATACCCAGTCCCTAGAAAAGCAATGATCCATTCGAGGATACCAGCAGTCCGGTACGAGCGGTCCTCTTCAAGGGCGATGAAAGCCGCACCAAGGAATACCTCCAAGAGGATCAGGCCTGTTGATAACGAGGCACTAATTGAAGAATCAATACAGCTGTACTGTACTTTGAATGGAATAAAGGGAAAATGATGACTTACAAGACTCTTACTCTTAAACTCCTATTCCCCCAATTGTGTTGCCAACGTCCCCCGTTATACAGAAAGTACACAAACCCGACGACCTCGTTTGCATACACTATTGCAGTGCCTGCTGCCTGTAAAGCCAGTCCGGCAAAACAGATTCGAAGAAAGAATTTGTGGGCGTGATGATACCGAAATGTATCCATGATAGCCAGTAAGATGAGAGCTGTGCTGGCCACGCCTGCAGCAAATATGGATAAGAGGGAGATCACCCGAAGGGTTTTGGCGATGTTATCATCCTCTTCATCGATGTCATCATCATCATTGCTGTTGTTAGTTTCGTTTATACCATTATCATTATTGTCAATCATATCGTCTTCGTTATACCCAGGACATCTAACCAAAGCGAACCCAGGCTCATAGCGGACAACATGGACCGCAGCTACGGTGATGACAAAACAGACGGCGGTTATGGACGTTCCAATAAGAAAGAGTGGCTTTAGTTGGAAGGATGCGATGTCTGAGATGAATCTGTGATCAGACTGTATTAATGACGCCGTATTTTCTGCTATATTCGAGAGAAGCAGTACTCACGCAACATCGGGGTTACTCTGTCCTGGATATTGAGGCGTCCCATGGGCGATCCATGTTAGAATCAGTCCTGCCAGAGTCACAAACCATGCTGCACCAGCTAAAGAGGGGAAGAGAGGAAGCCTCGATGGTGGGATATTGAGAATGACGGCATGGAGAGGAGGCCAGAGAGAATCATAAAAACGAAGCAGAGATATCATCTGGGGGTAGAATGCATAGAATGCAATATGGAAAATGGGGTGCCATCAAGAAATATGAGAGACAAATATCTAAGGGCGAAGAGAAAACAAGGCAATTATCGAGTAGGTCACCTGATGATGTCGGTAAGGTGCTTAACGTGACGACATAAAATGCAGTTAAAAACATTCACTTCAATGCGGATGGGATATCAAATCCTTTCAATTGACTTGCTGAATTAACCCTCATAATAAAAAAAAGCCTTCAATATCGCCATTGGGGTGAACCACAGATTCAACGTGGAAAATCCTTGGTTTCCCTCAGATTTCCAATTTGGGTGCCAGAGGGGCACATGATGTCATGGCGATGATCACCGTGATGGTGTCGACATCAGCATCAGTTTTTCTTTCTTCATCACCCCAGATTCTCCGGATATCTCATGAAACTATGAGAGCAAATGAAACGATTGAATTGGGATTTTCGATTTGATTCTGCTACAACTACGCTGACAAATCAACCTCTGCAATCACGTAATGAACTCAGGACTTTAAGATCAGCAGTGACATCCAGTCCCCTTCTCTCATCTATCATCTTCTCACAGAATACAAGTGGCTTGTCTAAGGCAATATTCACCATGACCAATTTTACCATCCAGATCATCTCCGACACAATCTGTCCGGTAAGGATACCCCCATCTCTCTATACTACCAATCTAACAGATCAGTGGTGCTACGTTGGCTACCGTCGGCTTTCCCGTGCCATCACAGCCTACAAAGCTGCCAATCCCGCCGATACCTTCACCCTCTCCTGGCACGCCTTCTACCTGAACCCCGCAGCATCCGCCTTCCCAGGAATTGAGAAGCAGGAGTATTACGCGCGCAAGTTCGGCCCGGAGCGCACGGCTGCTATCTTCTCGCGACTAGCTTACGTTGGGGAGGGAGAAGGCATTGCCTTCAAGTTTGGCGGGAGATCGGGCGAAACGAGAGACTCACATCGGCTGCTGTGGTATGCGGGGCAGAAGGAGAGGGAGGAGGGTGCTTCGAGGACACCCATTGAAACGGGCGGAGTGGGTGGTATACAGACAAGGGTCGTCGAGAAATTGTTCCAGGCCTACTTTGAGGAGGAAAAAAATATCACTGATCCCAAAGTGTTGTTAGAGGCAGCAGTGGCGGGAGGTTTGGAGCGTGGAGAGGTAGAGAAGCTGCTCGAGTCTGAAATCGGCCAGGAGGTCGATGAGGAGGCAGAGCGTGCTCGACGAAGGACGGTGACAGGAGTGCCTCACTTCACGATACAAGGCCAGTATGTCATTGGAGGAGCGGAGGCACCAGAGGTCTTCCTGGAGGTCTTTGAGAAGGTGAAGCAGAATAACTAGAGCATTTGAATTGGCAGTAACCCATTCATTCGGGATCAATGAAAATAATAATCACGTGTCTTTTTATTCTTCTCGTCACAATCTATTGAGACTTGACAGATACAAATGTACGAATAACAGAAGAACAATAGGTACACACCACAGTAATCAAGACAAATTTTTCTTCCCCACAGCAGAAGTTTTGGTTGTCTGTTTCAATGAAAAAAGGATCCATGACCCAACTTAGCAATGTCACCAAACGCCTGTACCATGCGAACACAAGCAACGAAAATAGAAATAGAAGGACTTCTGTCGACCAACAATTGAAGGTATCATGCAAGCCAATTGTAAATACAAGCCGCAACAGGTAGACGAGAAGCCTCATGGTAGTAATTAATACATGAGTAAGAATAAAACGGCACAGCACAGCCATACAAGGATACCTCAAAAATATGCAAAGTCGTAAAAATAGGCGGAAATAACAGTTGATCAGAGAATGTCCATAAAGTAAATTATGATCATTCACATGCTGCAAGAATCAAGTCGTCGAGGAAGGAGGGTAAAAAGTCATAATCAAGTCGTAATCAAGCAAGCACAAGCGGTTGTGAACTTTTCCTCAACAGGAATACTTCAAGTATGCACCTAATAGGTCGCCTGGCGCATTTCATAATCGGGAATATAGTCGAACCAGTCGCTGGTCGGGTTGTAGCGGTAGGCTTTGAATTCAACACCATAAGGTTTGGGCTCAAGCATGTACAACATTCCCAGTGGAACATCCAAATCAGCGACCTCGTCTCGCTTCAGACCCCGGAAGTATGCCAACAGCACACGCGCGACTGATCGGTGACTGACCAGGAGGACATGGTCAGTCATCCGCTCAACCTCAATGATCACGGCTCGAAGACGGTTGATGATGTCAAGGTACCCTTCACCTCCAGGGCCAGGATAGCGGTAGAACAACTTATTCTTCTTGCGGATAGAGTATTCCTCTGGGTACTGCTGGCGGATCTCGTCATAAGTCATACCCTCCATTTTTCCTGCGTGTAGCTCATCCAGCATCTTCATTTGCTTCACATCGTACTCGTCTTCATTAAACTGCTCGACGGTCTGCACGGAGCGTTGCATCATCGAGGACCAAACACAGAAATTGCGGGGGCGGTCCCTGGGAACGTACGATGGGTTCGGAGGGGTGCTGTCACCGGGACGGGGTGGGAAGTGTCGCAAAAGATCCTTTTGTCTCTGGTACAACTCCCACTGGCGACGTTGGTGATCGATAAACCGATTAAGAGCCTTACCATATCGGCGGCCATTCTCGCTCAGTTCCGAATCGCCTCCGATGCGGCCGAGTTGGTTATCCTTGCTCTCGCCGTGTCTCGTGATCCAGATTTGGCGTGGCGAGAGGTTGAAGTTAAGGAGATAGTAGACGACCTGCGAAGATAGGAATCCGTTTGTTTGGTGTGAAACCATCTTACGCCCCACGTCAATCATTTGAATGTATGCCATGCCATTTCTTTCCTCATACTCGCCAAGTGGCACGTAGGACTTTTCGTAAAGAGACACTCGCTTCTTGAAATCTTCCAGCGCCGTGACAGGATCTTGGCCCTTGTAATCGGGACCAGAGAGCTTCAAGCGCATGTTGGCTTCCAGTAGATCTTGATCCACACAGCTGCTCTCAAGGAACAAGATTCCCAGCTCTGGTCCAGCACGCTTGCGGATGTGGTCGACAATGGACTTCCGACGTTCCATCGTACTATTGGTCGCATCCAGGATGCCCACACTGCCGCCCTCGTCGAGAATATAATCCAAGAGTTCGTCAAGGGTGTCCAAAGCCACCTGTTCTCTCATCTTTACAGCACGCTGGTTTTGGGGATCGAAGAAGTTTGCGGTCTGGTCCATGGGCTCCGGAGACGCCTCGCGAATGGCTTCTTCATCCTGAGGACCGGCATCAATAGAAGGCACAACGGTGCTTCCATTCTGCAGACCTGATGGAGGCTCTTCTTCCTTTCCATTGACCAGAATCTTGGCGGGCACAACCGGCGGTGGAAGGGACGAGTCTGTCTCGGGAGGCGAAATGTTGTCAGCAGGCGGGTTCATGGTGCCAACGCTGACGCTCAGGCGCCGCACAGAGTCAACAAGGTCGTTATGGACCGAGCTAGTTCTCTTATCCTGAGGGAACTTGGCCGGGGACGGAGATTTGCCCGCTGCCACGCGACGGCGCTCTCCAACATTGAAGATATGTGTATCATGCTGCAACCAATTGAGGTATCGGGACAGCTTCTTGGTCACGTAACTCTTACCCCGAGCGGGGAGACCGACCATGACAATGACCAACTTGGAACCGACATCCCGCTGGGAGATACGGCCATCGGGAGAGACCTTGGACTTGGTGAGACCGGGGATGTCGAGAGTAGTTGCACGAACCCGACTGGGAGTGGCTGGCTGAGTACTGGCCGAACTATGGAGATGTCAGAAAGGAACTGGCCAATAAACCGCAAAACATAGCAAATTAAGAATAAGAATAAGATTAATCCGGGGTAGGACTTAACCCGAGACGAAAACCGCCGATCGAGTCGATCAACCCCAGAGAAATGCAGGAATCTAGATCTCGACAGGAGTCATAGGACCCAGGTTTCGGGTGAAATAGGAGAAACAGAAGCATAAGAGACGGTGATGGACATACATCTGTGGAGACGGCGGTGCGGTAGAAATCGGAGTGTCTGTTAGGGCAAACCCGACACCATCCTTGGACACCTGCGATCCCTTGTGGGCATCGGAATGCAGGTCGTTCCCTAGCGCTCTTCCGACAACAGTCTTTGGGGGAGGCTTAAGGCTGGCATCTTTCCCGGGATTATCATTATGTTTATTATTCACCCCATTGGAAGTGACGCCGTTGCTGGCGTTGGCCGAGGCGCGCGAGGACTCGGGGGTCGACGCACACGTCATGATGGCCGACCGTGCGATATCAGAATGCTGAGCCATCCCCGCCAAACACCAGCAGGGATGCAGCCAGAAGGAAAGAGATTGATAGGATAGAAATATGTGCCGGTGGGCGATAATCCTCGCAGGATATCAGAGACCGTTTTGTTTTTGTTTTTTTTTTTTTGAAAAATGGGATTATAATTCCGTCTCTTCTTTTTCTGCCTGTCCCAGAAGAGGTGAGGGGAAGGAAAAAAGGGAGGCGAAAGTGGGCAGAAGCAGAGGCGGATGAGTCAAGCACGGTAATAAAACGTCACTTTTTCACAGTTGGGGATTCGGATTCCACACCACAACAATATCTTAAAACAGGATTGAAGTAGTAGCTGGAGGCAAGAGACGATGCTGAGAAGGTATAGAACAAATATTTCGTTTGTTCTCTTTCTCTCTCTCTTCTTGATCCTTTTTTTTTTTTTGGCAGTCTGGGACTGGTACAGTAATTTACACCTGCCCAATGCACGTGGGGAATTCAACAACCTCCTTTGGCTTGCAGCTCAACCAGTTGGATGAAGAAAGTCAAGCTGTCGAAGAGAAGACGTTGATGATGCAGAATATAAAGAGGAAAAAAGTGGTGGTATTCAGGGTCTCCGTTGGATTCTTGTTATAACTTGATGGTGGATCTAGGAGGGGTGATCAATGATGTCAAAACGAGCCCACCGTCGAGAACAGACAGGGGATTCCGACATCCACCACGGATGAGGCCGGCGGTTTATAAGTTCGTATCCATCGAACGGACGGTGGTGCTCCGTTCAGGCCAGGCGTTGTTTAGTTGAAAGGATCATCCTGGGTGGTGGTTTTTTTTGTCTCTGATGGATTCAACATCGTCAAAGCTTAGCTTGGGTCCTCAATGGAGACACGAAAGATGATCCAGAATGCTTGGCTCAGGTAAGGGTGTGTATGTACATAGGGTTCAGATCTATGATAGTACCTACGGAGTACATCGAATGAAACTATGGAATACAGCCATGTGTTCTACGACTGCTGGATGGAAATGCATCTCAACAAGCCACCCCCGCCAAGCGTTTCACTACCAGCTTATATCACAGACTATTGCAGGTCTATCAATAATGTCTTTGGGCTACCCCATTGCTCCACGCTGCCCCTTGCTGCTTATCCTGACTGCGACCAATGCCTTGCGTCCCGCTGATCAGTCGTGCTGAAAATTTGGGTTGTCAGCCTCAACAAAGCAAATGAGATCGTGTACAAATAGTCGTGCGGGATGTCGCACAGATGGTGCCAACATGTGTCCCGTGCACCAGTGGTACAGCCTCTTCCCGCTGAAAGGTAGTCTGTACAACCTATCCGTTGGGAGCAGCTTGGCGCTGTTGGCATCGCTGCTCCAGCATCGAACGCCGGCCTTCCACTATTTCCGCAGGCACCCGGTGTCACCTTTCCCCCGCCCCGACTCTTTTTATCATATATGGCTGCTGAAGGAGGAAAAGAGGGATGGAACTGGTCACCTTCTGCGGAATCCTTGGCACTTGGCAGTTACGCAGGGAGACAGCAGGACGTCCCGAATATTCCAGGCATCTCTTCGTACTGCCCGAAGATAAGCTGTACCCCGCCGTGTTCATCTTCTGTTCGCATGGCTGGGATCTAGTGTGACAGTCTCCAAGTCAACCCGATCAGAGTCGCGTAGGCGGCAACACTCAGGGCTGTCAAAACCAATACGGCATTTCCACTTGTTCGGAACTTGTGACGATGGACACCATCCTCTCCCACCTCGGAGAAAAATTGTCGATTGCCTTGTTGACGGCGGAAGAGACCGATTATGAGCACACCTGTGCCGTAGATGGCGAACAGGGCGCCTGTACTGTAGAACTCGGTGGTGAAGATTCGGAGCACGACGAGAGCAAAGGAAAACTGCGAGAGCGCCGTTCGGACATAGGCACCTTCAAAGGTGCGCTGTGCGGCTCGTACTTCAACAATTTCATCTGTAGTCAGTGCCACCGTTCGGGCACGGTGCATGCGAAGACGATATCGATCAGCCGCACGACGCTGAGGTCAGTTAGAGCGATTATTGCTATGAGGAGAGCAGCAGTACATAGTACATGAGGTAGCATTATTAATAGAGACATGACGAGAGAAAGGAACAAAAGAACGAGCTGGCTATTGCTCCAAAATCACCCAACGCACCTCGAACATGGCGATGTGTCGCGTAGATTGACAATCCAACTACTCTAGGTAACACGCGCGGTACGACGGTTGGAGAAACAGTTGAGTTTGATGGTATATGGACGGTAGATTAAAAGACTTTCAATAACCTTCCGTGGTCAGTGAATCTGGATCTGGCTGAGTATGATGGAAGTTGACTTCCGAGAGAGCAAGAGAGGCATTTGGAGGAGAGAAAAGAATACGCATTGACGTCGGGGATCACGACTGGCGCTCACGTGAAGTTCTGCGGTCGGAAGATACTCTATCACGGTGATATTGATGCAGAGAATAGATATAATTCAGATACGATTGAATCTCTCTGCTTCTACAGGGCATCCTCTAATAATATCTCGTCCCCAGATTTCCCCTTCCTCTTCTCTCTTCCTCTTCTCTTTCTCTCGCCCTGAGATCGTCCGAACGTCAGAGGGGAATCATTTCTCCACCAATCACCTCGTGGCTTTCTCAAATCTCCCGCCCAAGAGCGATCGTCGGCTTTCGAAATTACTCGACCGAGCAGTCAGCAAGGCGTTCAATCGCCGCCGTCATGGCCGTTTTCCCCACAGTTAGTCTGGATGTTGGAGAAGCAGAAGGGCTCTGTCGGTCGGGTTCCTGGTTCTCATTCCGAAGCTCACCTTCTCTTCCTTCTTATCCCCTGATAGTTCCTTTGTCTCTTCTTTTGCCTTGTTTCTCTATCTCCCGTTCATTGTTTTCTTCATCAATCGCTCCAGTCTTATCTCCGCACCGTGAAGATGGGGAAAGTGTTCGATGCGGCAGAAGGTAACTCTTCCCCCTCATCTTTCTAATCCATCCCTTTCGTCAATCAGGTAGCTAATGAACATGGTATAGTCGCAAGCCATAAAACCAGAGAAAGCTGCTGGGTACTTCTATATGGAAAAGTGTACGATGTAAGATTGCCCGGTTACGTCTTGTTCTTATCTTGCCTCCCCGCATGACTGAAGCATGACTCCAATTTATCCAATAGGTTACCGATTTTCTCTCAGAGCACCCTGGTGGTGCCAAAATTATCCTCAAGCTAGCAGGAAAGGATGCCACTGAGGAATATGACCCCGTTCACCCTCCGGGTACGTTGGAAGAGAATCTCAAGCCGGAAGCATGCCTAGGGACCGTCAACCCAGACACGTTACCCAAAGAAGAGGAACCTTCTCCATCGGCAGAGGAGAAGGAGGGACCACCTCCGATGGAGTCGCTCCTCAACATGGAAGATATCGAACAAGTGGCCACCAAGAATATCAGCAAGAAAGCGTGGGCCTATTACTACTCAGCGTCCGATGACAAGTTTTCAAAACATTTCAACAGTGAGGTCTATCGGTCCATAATCCTGCGTCCGAGGGTGTTCGTCGATTGTACAACATGTGACTTGGATACTACAATTCTGGGGAATAAATTAGGAATGCCCATTTTCGTTTCCCCAGCTGCCATGGCTCGTCTGGGCCATCCATCGGGTGAGGCTGGTATCGCGGAAGCTTGTCGCAGTTTTGGGGCTATGCAGGTCATCTCCAACAATGCGTCCATGACACCAGAGCAAATCGTCCAAGATGCTGCCCCGGGCCAGACGTTTGGGTGGCAACTGTATGTCCAAATCGATCGCAAGAAGAGCGAGGCCATGTTGGCCCGTATCAACAAGCTCAAAGCGATCAAGTTTATCGTCCTCACTCTCGATGCCCCAGTCCCTGGAAAGAGAGAGGATGACGAACGGGGCAGCGACGTGGGCCCGTCCAACCCAGTTCCAAGTGCAGCAAAGGCAGCAGATCGGGCTGCCAACGACACGCCCGATGTCAGTCAGGCATCTGGCGGTGTTGGAAAGCAACTCTTTGCAGGCACCGATCCTTCACTGACCTGGAAAGATACCCTGCCATGGCTGACCAAGCATACGAATCTGCCAATTGTCCTCAAGGGTTTGCAAACCCACGAGGATGCGTACATTGCATCTCTTCACACACCACAGGTCAAGGGTATTATCCTCTCCAACCATGGCGGACGTGCCCTCGACACGGCCCCTCCAGCAGTTCACACATTGATGGAAATTCGAAAGTACTGCCCTGAAGTCTTTGACAAGATTGATGTCTGGGTTGACGGCGGTATCCGACGTGGTACGGATGTGGTGAAGGCTCTCTGCCTCGGTGCTAAGGCTGTAGGAATTGGACGTCCTGCACTCTGGGGTCTGGGTGCTGGTGGTGTTGATGGTGTAAAACGCACACTACAGAGTATGGTTTTTCCTCGGCTTTGGAGGACATGATCGCTGACAATCTTTAGTTTTGGCCGATGAAACCAAGACTTGCATGCGCTTACTCGGTGTCGAGAAGGTTGAAGATTTAGGACTTCAGCACGTATGCTTGACCTTTTTTGTTCTTTTTTATTAAATAACTTTACTAACGTATGGATAGATCAACACTCGTCTTGTTGAACAGCAAATATACGACGGTCCCTCGGGCCTTGGTCCTCTTCGCAACATTTTCCGAGCAAAACTATAGACAACACTGATATATGGTTTGGTTTAATTTTGGTTGTTTTCTCTTGAGTTTCCACATATATTCAGCGAACTTGTATATTTGAAAATGAATGTTCTCGATTTCAGACTATTTATATTTTGGATGTCCCACTACACTGATGGCCTGATTTTCTTCAGGGGAATAAGCGTGAAGGGTAACACCGCATTCTGTCATCAGAAAGGTAACAAGCAGAGTGGCATAAATGAATTCAGGCAGATCGAACCTTTATCTCCTGGAAGCAGTACGGTGAGAAAGTCCTGATACCAAAGAGCGGTGATGGAATGATGTATCTCAACGGCTGCCAATGTGGAAGTCAATGACCAAAATTCGATTGGAGCCTCTAGATCATGGCTCTAGTACGCCCGGAAATGCATAAATATCTTAATAAAACTTAATACAGCTCGGTTAGGTCGAATGTCAGCCACGCCACAGCACCTAATTCGTGGGCCTTGCAGCAATTATGAAGCTGAACAGATTTATCCCCATGGCCAGTTGGACATAACATGCACAATTCAGGGGGGTCGTGTCAATGACAGCTCTATCAGTTTTGTTCTAGTTTCTACAGCTCCAATGGCACTAACGCGAAGACACATATCCAAGCTTTACAGGCCAAATTTTATCTCTCGAACTCGAGAAAAAGAAAAAAAAAAAAATGTGAAAGAACATGCAGGCTTATGACAACTCGAAAGAAGATGCAAATTGCTCCACTGATTAAAAATGGAACTCTTCAAGTGATCAATCAGATCTAATTTGAGATATATCAGAGGAAAAACATGTGGCTCAGAATCTTCAGAATCTATTCTGATGATAAATGGCCCTCCCAATCCCTGGTCAATTCTTTTGAGTTCAGCTATTCAATTGATCAATTCTTATTGTTGCCATCAAAGCACTACCCTTATCGACTCCCAAATAACTCGAAAAAAACAATCATGGGTATTCCATCACACCTGCCAGACACTCGTGCCAATCTTTTTGGCAAAACTGCCATTGTTACTGGCGGTTCTCGTGGTATTGGGGCTGGGATCGCACTGGAACTTGCGAATCGAGGCGCAAAGGTAAGGCTTGCTATAATGTCAGCAGAGTTCCTCGTCTAAAGCAGATTCCAATCCAGGTTGTTATCATATACACATCGTCCAAGAGCGAAGATACTGCCAATTCGTTGATAAAACGCATAAATACCCTTGGAAATGGCGCAGCAGCAATGAAAATCAAAGCTGACCTCTGCGAGGCATCTGCTCCAAGACATATCGTCCAGGAGGCTCTTCCATTCGTCAATGGCAAGATCGACATCGTGGTGAACAACGCGGGCGTTAATTGTATGAAGTCGATTACGGAAATCACGCCAGAAGTCTATGCTTCGGTTTTCGACTTGCATGTGCGCGCTCCGATTCTCATGATGACAGAGGTGCTTCCATATCTAAGATCACCCGGGCGAATCGTCAATATGAGCTCTATAGCTGGACGGGGTATTTTTCAAGAGCTATCATTGTACTGTTCGTCCAAAGCAGCATTGGAAGGGTTAACACGGGCTTGGGCCACGGAACTGGGGCCGAAAGGCCATACCGTCAACGCAGTCAGTCCGGGTCTCATCCAGACGGATATGTTGAGCGGTCTCGCCGAAGATTATTTTGATGCAGCCAAGGCTCAAACACCGATGGGGAACCGTATTGGCACAGTGGATGATGTCGCTCAGATAGTCGCGTGGCTGGCAAGTGAGGAAAGCAGATGGGTGACAGGACAGGTTCTCAGTGCCAGTGGTGGATGTGCAATGTATTAGATGTTATTTTCTTTTTCTTCACGCGAGTGTATTTAATAATTATAGAATAGATCAACTTTTGTTGTTATGAAAATAAGCACCCCAACGGACCACCCTCGAACCACGCCTTCTCCTTCTCCCAGCCTTTGACAACAAAGTCTCGTCCAATCTTTACAACCTCTTCGACCTGCTCTTCAGTGCCCCATCCAGGGATCGTACTACCCCAAAACACAAGGTGAACGCCTACATGGATGACAATTCTGAACGCCAAATCCTCATTCAGCTGTTCATGATACCCTTGCGCAAATCCCTGTATCACCCATAAGCCAGGATCGATGTCCTTGAAATGTTTCAACATGTACAGCTCGGCTATCATTTGTCCTAGATCCAAAGCCCGCGCGCCACAGTGGCATAATTCCCAATCGATGATGAAGAGAGTAGTATTTGGTGCATTCGCCACGTTCTTCGGGATTAAGACGCTGGTTAACGTTAGTTGGGATTGAACAGAAAACAGGAGAGAGGAATATAACTCACTTTCCAGACCAGAAATCACCATGGATGATTCCAAACCCATCTCCATCTTTCCTGCCAACCTCCTTCGCTGCACTGTCGCGTACCTTTTCGAAAACATCTTTGCTTTCCTTCAACAGTGCGGGATATTTATCAACCATCTGGACCAAACTCTCATAGTTGATACTGAATTTCAAATCCTGCATGAGTTTATTCTTCTCCATCTCAACAGCTAGATTCGATTGCTTCTCTTCTGCCGTCCATGAGTGGAAAGATGATAACCAGCCCCCAAGAGCTTGACCAATAGATCCAGCATGGGACTCGGAGATGCCGGTGGGGGAAGCGCTAAAGAATGACTTTAGATCCATGGCATCAGGCAAATCCTCGAGGATTTGTGTGTTTGTTTCCCGATTGAAGTGAAAGAGATGGGGTGTTTTGACCGAGACGTGTTCGGCGTATTCATTATTCTGAGGGGCGGGGTAGTCACCCATGGCGTTGAGGATGGTTTCCTCGATTACCTAGATCCCATTATTAGATGATACTATGAATATGAGTAGATTGGTAAGTATACCTACACATCGTTCGGTGGGTAATTTGAAATCCTGATTCGAAGCAATGTAATCCTTGCCATGTTTGATGATGACAGTCGTCGTGCCATCTTGTAGTGGATGGGTGAGAATCCCTCGATAGACAAAGTTGGCTGTTCCGCCACTTAAGTGGGTCAGAGATGAGCAGGCATATGGTGTTTGAGAAATTTCTTGAGAGATTTCTGTAGAAATGTTATTGCTGGACATGGTGGAGTTTGTTGTGGTCGAGACGGTTTGAGATGAGGTTGAAGAATGCAGGTGGAACATATATCACCGATTATAAAGATAATCGAATACGAGGTTCTGTTTTTGAATTAGAGCACTTCTTCGACAGGCCAATGATATATATTAAATGAATAAAAGTGAGTCATGAATGCATGAATGATTCATGGGTTTTCGTATTCGAGTTGATGAAGATCGGATGGAGTTGCATTTGACGCCACTCATTCCAAGCACGTTTTACCTATGGATAATTACCAGCCAATGAAATAGAATAAAGCATAATAATTGAAAACAACGATAATAAAAGAAGAATAAGCACCCTTATGAAGGGTGTGAAAAAAAGAAAAAGAATGACCAGACTGGGGTTCGATCCCAGGACCTTATCGGGTTCAGTTTGAACTGTTAACGATACGTGATAACCAACTACACCATCCGGCCAATTGATGACACTTGGGCTTCAGTTGTGTTAGGAGAAAGTAAACTCTATCATTGCGCATTCGTCTATTCGTATATCATAATCATCATCAGGTAGTGGTAGTCCTCGGCGTCAGATACACATTCAGTGGCTTCTTCTCCCACATCATGTATATCTTCTGCTGCCCAATCCAATCCTTACTATCGTCCGCAAGCTTCATGTCAAAGTTGTAGATTACCCGAGCCAGGATCAATCGCATCTCGGTATACGCAAGGCTGTTCTCGTCAGAGATGGCCAGATGAACTGAAGAGAAAGACAGATACGTACTTTCGTCCCAGGCAGTTCCGAGGCCCAACATGGAATGGCTGCAATACCTCAAACCGGTCATTGGCAAATCCAGCATCGCCCAAGAAGCGCTCGGGGTGGTAGCCAAAGGGGTCGGTGAAATAATCTTCTCTATGGTAAGTGGCCCAATGGTGTGCAGCCACGATGGTCTGGCTATTGTTAGTTGACTGGCCTCACATAATAGGTCTCTCACACTTACATTCTCAGGAACAAAGTTCCCAAGGATTTGGCACCCATTTTTTGACACCGTCCGTGGCATCCCAGTGGGCACCGGAGGATAAAAACGCATGGCTTCATTGAGGCAAGCCAGCATGTAGGTTAGTTTGTTGACTGATTGAATATTGATCTCATCCTCGCTCTTGAACATCCCACGGACTTCCTCGACCAGTCTCTCCATTATTGCTGGGTGGGTCGTAAGCAGATAGGTAACCCCGGCCAAGAGCGTGGCCGTTGTCTCCGAGCCACCGATAACGATGATGTTGCAGGTTGCTTCGAGGCTTTCCCAGCTGATATTCTGGCTTGCTTGTCAGTTTTGAGTAAAGCGACGACCTGCGCATCAACTGGTAACTAACCAGTTCATTTTTCTTCTGCAAAAGTCCCTCAATCAGATCATATCGTTGCTGAACTTGCGTTCGTCTGCGCAATTTGGCGATTGATAGCTCACGCTGTACCTCGCCGAACTCCTTGATTTTTGACCTTGACATGGCGGCCAGGAGAATTTTCTTCAGCAAGGGGAAGAACCCCACGCTCATAAACACAACACCAGCCCGGGCAGAGCTAAGAATTAATGACACAAACGGGTGGTAATTCGAATCTTGCAGGCAATTAAATGGCTCGCCGAATGTTAAATCCCCAATGATATCAAACGTGGTGAAGTTGTACCAAGCGGCCAGGTCAACCGTCTTGGAACCACCACCGCAGTTCTCGTTCAGTCGCTGAATGAGCAGATCAATATACTGTTTGATGAGTGGTTCCTGCTCTCGCATTGACTTTTCCGAAAAGCCATGGTTCAGCTGGCGACGCAGAGCAGTGTGCTCTTCGCGTTCTGCATTCAAAATGCTGGTAGGTGTATTGGGAACAGCACGGTAAAAGTGGCTCGATTTGACCAGCTCTTCGCTGCCAGGTCGACGGGCCATGATGTCTCTCCAGGCATCAGGATGCGAGGCGGCCAGTTCATCTGGCGCCACGCGCACGATATCCCCATACTTCTCGTGAAGCGCTAGCATGTCATATTCAAAAGTGCCTTTCATCAACTTGTAGGCATAAGGAACTCGCCAGATAGCATGAGAGACAGGGCCTGGAAAGGCCCGCAGGGGATGGAAGAAAACATTGTAGACAACCTTTGCCAAAACGCGGAGAATAGCCTAGGAATGCCTCAGTAACGATGACGCGGTTGATGCCTATTCCGTGAGGCAGCAAGAATCACTCACAAGCGCAACAAAGAGCGCAACCAACTGGCTGGTCTGATATCCCACCAAGACAGCCATTTGTCCCCCTCACACGAAAGAGATGCGGCCTGAGATAAATCCAAAGAGCGGAAAATAAAAAGATGAGATGACGTTGCTAGTCGAAACGATTTGGGGGCCGATTTTGTTGTGTGGGATTTTTCGACTTGTTATTCAGGGGAATTGAGAAGGAGAGGAGAGCGATAAATAAGAACTTTTTGGTCTGGGGCCTGAAGATATAGAAATAGTAATAATGCAGTTCATAGTAGAATAATTCAGTGTTGTCGCAATCCAGCCCCAGAAGCAAGGCATAGCCTCGTTTGGTATAAAAGGTATGCAATGCGACGGAAGACGAATATGCAATGGAGATGATAAACCCAGGGGCTCCGACAGGCTTAAATAAAAGGGAAAAAGAACCATTCCGCTAAATACCGGCGAGGGCAGAGCACATGCATACGATATACAATAGTGTGGGAGTTGCAATTTCCTGCTTGGTTAATGATGGGCCTCTGGATCTGAAGATCGTCTTTATCTGTGGGGCTTCTCTGTCTGCTTTGGTGTTGGAGGACAGAAATAGCATACGGCTGCAGATTAGGCATATAAAGACGGTGAGAGATCGCCAGAGTATCTATCCAGTGGGAATACGGTGGATTTTTGATGACATTCATTCCAACTCGCAAGGCTGGCGTTATCTGCTTGTCCTACTTGATCGGCTGATTGTGACGCGATAGCTGAAACTTGAAGGAAACTCGGCCACGAAGCTTGAACACATGTACTCCATATCTCACGTCAGATCTTCGATCTGGCGATATTGAGTACAGATAAAATTGGCTTCAAGTCGGTGAACAAACCGATCATTTGGAGCAGGGTTTGTCGTCGAGCCAGGGTGCGATGATGCAACTAGGTCAGTTTTATATATCCCTAGCACATTCAAAATCCAACGCAAAATCCAAGTCTATCACCCGGATTTACACAGAAACATCGGGAACGAACAGGTGCCACCGTGTAATGTTTCATACCATAGTCATTATTCTAAAGTAGTCGAGTCCGAATGGAAAATGGACCAGCTCAGCGTTTTGACGATGGCGCCTGTGCATCGACTGACGTAGGCTCCGATGAATTCGAAACGTCGTCAGGGCCTTCTTCCGATTGAAGCATTTTGGTCCTTTATCAGAAGTTAGTAAATTACTGTCGGACGACTACATATGCACGTAAACAATCGACTCACTTCCAAACATTTTCCCTGTGGTGTAGGGCCCGGATGGAAAATGTAGTGATAATCAGAATCACTGACATTATTGTTACAGTTATGAAGCCTTTCCGGTACTGAGGCGCATCGATTTGCTGCCATACAACCAGTGGCAGCCATGCCTGGAAGACATAGGCCATTTCATTCATGCTCCCAATGACGAGAGACCGTTCCTCATTGTCTTCAGAGCATATTTCATGGGCCCATCTGTAAACATCCTATTAGCTATCATTGGACTTTTTGTTTCACGAAGAACATACGCCATCAAGAGACCACTTAGTCCATAGCCAGCCCCGGAGATAATATAGCAGGTCCACTTCCACCCAGTCGGAATGTCCCAAATAGCCAAGGAAACGTAGGAGATAATGTTCACAACCTGGATAATCAGCTAAGCATGATATTTGCCCCCACGAGGATGCTACACTTACAGCACCGAAGATGATTGGTGGCCAGCGTCTTCCGTCCAAAATTGAATCAGATGTCCCTGGGTGATTGTCAGTGGCCAGAATTGGCATTAAGGCACAATATGGAAGAAACTAACAGGCATAAATTAATGTCGTTACCACTTGGACTGCGTTGGTGGTTGTTGGGTAAGAGTTGATCTGCGATATCGAGTATTTAGGATGTGTGGAGTCTTTGAGATATCTGCGACCATATTAGATTTAGTTCTCAATGCCAATAAGCTTGGGTAACGGACTGCTGAAAGACTGGCTGACCGCCGGTGGCACCGTTGTTGAACGCTCTGACGTATGTTAGTCGAGTTTCTATACATAATATACATAACACACTGTCACTCACATATAAAGAATAGTCAGAAGCCAAATATGCCATGATGAAAAGATCTTTTTGAGCTTCGCTTTCGTATATGGTCCTCGATTCTTCCTTCCTTCCATCTCCATTCGTTTCTGCGATAACTCAACCTCCTGTGATTCAAAATGTTAACAGAGTAAGTCCTGAATAAATCAAATCCAACATACCTTTTGGCTCAGATACCATGGGTTAGATATCTCGGGCACATCAGGTAGCACGAGGAAACCGAGCAAGGCAACTGGCAGTGAGATGACGCCGTCGATCACAAAAAGCCTGCTTAATGTAAGTTTCTCGAAGCCAACTTAAGGATTATTTCTTTGCTATTACCATTGCCATCCTTTGAACCCTCCTCGTCCACCAAGTCGATAAACGGCATCCATGAGATACCCCGAAAACATGCTAGCGATTCCACTGCTGGTGTGGAATATGCAGGATCGTTTCGCTAGTTCGTCTTTTCGATACCACGAACCGATGATATATTGCATTCCGGGATAAAATGTACTTTCTGCCAGGCCTGCCACAGTGTCAAAAAACAGTCAAAGATAGATTGACGAAAAGATTCATGACATACCTACAAAAAATCTCAGTACGTAGAATTGGGTCGGAGTATTACATCTCGATAGCGAAAACGTAAGAACGGTCCACAGAAGCTGGTCCGATGTCAGAAAAATATAGCGATAGAATGTTTACAATTGCGAAAATTTACCTCCATTGCAGGAATCCAGTATCTGGGTCGGATTCGGGTTAAGAGTATATTGCTGGGAATTTCGCCAATAACGTATCCAACAGTCCAACAGGCCTGCATATAATTGAGCTCATTCGAATAAAGACCTAAATCCTCTTTCCTTTGATGACTATAAATACCGAGAAAATTATCCTAACAGAAGATAACTTACATCCCAGAAACAAAGGCATTGTTGATGTTGACCTGGTCGAGATACTTGATAAAATAACCTGAACATGTCTTAGTGTCATGTACTAAAAAGAGACAGACCAAACTCACCAAGAGATGCAAATGTAAGAATGGCCGAATCAAGCTTGAAGAGCAGCCTGCGTTCTTCAGGCGACTTGTCGAAGGTATCCCAGATGTAGCTCACCCATCGCCGCTTCGGCTTTTGCTGCACGACTCCAGTAGAACTCTCTACGGCCCTTTCGTCAACCGACGTCGATGACGGAGCCATTTTGATCCTATGTCAAATGGAGCGTTTGGCACTTGAGTTTTATCAAAGGATTTTTTTTTTTCTTTCCCCAGGATTTGGTCTCGTGTTATATGCAGTCCACAGCCTGGCCGTCCCTGCTTCGATTGTCCACATTTCCCAAGATATCTTTATGCTAAGTGGATACTGAGACAGCTTGACACGCTCCATCAACTCCCTAGCGCTCGAAAGACATCGGAGATAGCACGGAAAGGCAGTGAACATCCTCTCGTACTGCCGACCTCGAGCGGGGATGGTGTTGGTGCAATAGATCGAGTCTGCGATTCCTCATTATCGATGGCGTTCACGCAATACCTGCGCCGATCTCGACACCACCATGTCAAATCTGTGGCCAATAACCGATATCATTATCTCGTGTGTCTGTGCGTGGATGCGTCGATGGAAGTTCTTTGCTGGGGTTAGTTTGATGATTGTTGGCCAGCACTAAACCACCATCAGCGCCCCGAAGCTCGTCATACAGCTGATGGATGATGTGCCAATGATAGTCAGTATCGTCAACACTTTCATGATCGTACAAGGAAAAAGAATTTATTTGAAAAAAGCTCCCTGACTAATAAGTCAAATTAAAAGATGAATGAATCGTGTTTTAGAACTTAGACGTAGAAATTCGCCGTGCTGATCATGAGATGAAATGCCAGTCACATCAGGGCTATAATGAAGCGTTGTTCTGACATGAAGATAAAGGTAGACTCGACTTCAAAACCAAAATATTCCGATGTTTCAAATTCAACTGCAAATCTCTAGGACTGGAAGCTCGCGGTTGGTGTTTTCTGCAAAGATTGCTCTCACCCTCTCCCTTTGAGCTGCCTTCGCCTGTATCCAAGTATCTGTATGGCCTTCTATCGGGGGAAGTCCTTGGTCTGCTCTACTAGCGTTGATCCATCCTAGTATGTCTCGAACGTAATATTCCTCTATATCTTTCAGGGAGTGAAACCCTCTCCCGCTTCCATTTTTCTTAATTCGCTCGCTGTATTCTTCCTTCATCTGAGCTTCTGAAGGCAATTTGGCAACCCCTGAAAAAACTGCTGCCACAGCAATAGCTTGAAACTCGAAGAGGGTAAACGTGGCAGTGTAGTATGGCACTCCGACAAAAGCTAAGGTTGGGTCGGGAATATAGAAGATATCATTGTGTAAGTTATGGACCTGAGTGCCGTCAGTCACAAGAACCGTCTCACTCGCTTCTGCTGGCAACGTTTCATCGTCATGATATCTGTGAAGAAAGGGCAGCGTAATGTGGTATCCTGTACAGATTACGATCCCATCAATCCCGCATAGTTTTTGACCTGATTTGAGATGAACCACCAGAGGCAAGTGTTCGTCTTGGGATGGATCTTTTGCGCCCTTTTGCAATTCAAAGGAAGCCACTTCACTGATTCTCACGCCTCTCTCTGGAAGAAGACTAGATGATAGATCGAAAACCCCATTTCGTGTACTTTGGTATATGTTTTGTGCAACAGGACCGATCTCTCGAGCTATGTCTGTTGAGGACACGCCTCCCCCGATGAGAAGTATGTTCTGATCAAGAATTAAAGTCGTTAGACTATAAGAGTGGCTATGAAGACGTTTTAAAGATTAAATACTAACCTTGCCCTCGAAATCTTTGGGTTTCCTGTATGCCTTGGAATGTATAATTCTTGAAGGCCATTGCGCCTTAGACTCTGATAAACCAGGTATGTCCGGGACGCGAGGTGCATGGTAGTGGCCTGAAGCAACTATAACCGCATCAAAGATCTATATCGATTAGTGTCTATAGCAGTATGGTATCCAGCAGCAAGCCTTACCGAAGATTCTTCTCTCTCCACATTTCTTCCTGCCACATCTTCAGAAAACGTCGACCAAGTGACATGCCATGTCGCTCCTTCTTTGTAGACATTTTTTACTCGAGCACCGTAGATAGTGGCCTCGTCAACCCCAGCTTTTTTCGACGTATCCTGGATATATTCCTGCATAATTCGATGGTTGACAAAGTCCGGCGTTCCCTCGGGCCAAGCATTGAGCTTGACACGCAGCAAAGGTGTTGATACGTTATTGGAGAGGCCCCAGTAGCAAGGTCTGAAATCTCATTAGCATAGAGAAAATAGATTTCTAAGCCTGGCAACCTACCCTGGTGGTGCGTGTTCAAGGAGGCGCCTCTCCTTGTCTTCTCGATAATCCTCTCCAGTTTTTTCTGCTTCAGAAGGCTTCGTGGAAGGGTAGGCAGGTTCAATTGGCTTTCGGTCATCATAGAGCCTGGTTGGCTGTTAGCGAATGCTTGCTCTGGACTGAGAAATTGGGTGGTTGCGAAGGACGCACCAGACTCCCCCTGCAGCTTGGTTCCTCTCAAAGACCGTCACGCTCACCCCAGCTGCGAGAAGATGGCCAGCGGACACAACACCACTGATACCAGCGCCGATGACGGCCACGCGACGAACTGACTGTCGGCTCATTATGCTTTATACTCTCAAGGCTGATCCGAATATCTACGGCGTCACTACATAGCGCCCATGGATGCGCTTCTGCTTTATCTTCCTCGGAGCCTTCATATCATTGAGATTACACCACCATCGTCAGATATAACGTTACACCTAGTGAGCAATATGTTCACATCATTTTAATCACTTATTGCGGTTTGGAAGACGTCTTAAAGCGGCCACATGCAAAAGGTACCTTTTCGAACTCGGAACTATGTGCCGGGGAAACAAGACTCATCCTGGCAACCGTTGTATTGACACGATGAAATATGCTAACTCATTGAGTGGAGATATCCGACAGGCTTTAAACGCAATGGAATGCTTGCATGATGATATCCGGAAATTCTCCGCAGGATGTGGGTGCACCGTCTCAAGGGCTTTAGAATGGATGGAGATAAAGCATGATCGATGATCAACTCTGCAAGTGGGAGCACAGACAGTGAGGGGTAAATATGGAGATGGAATTCTTTGCTTGATTTCAAATCGACGGTATGGTGGTTGTTGAAGGTGTAATGACGGATGGTGATGATGTGATTGAATCCTTGATATCGTGCCGATGGATGGAGGGGCAAGAACCACTCGACTATGGTATATATTATCATACGAGAAGGAAGCACATCATCGGTTGCAGAGTCCAAGAATTGAATCTGAAACAAACGTCTGAAGAAACCATGACTCCCGCTCCTATTGATTCTCGAATCGTCGACGTCGCTCCGCCCCGGAAGGATACCCTCGGCCTCCCAACAGCAGCCCGCGAACGCCTGGAAAAGGATGGAATTGACCTGGCTGATGGCTATCCGTATAGACCCTCTCGGCCTCTCTATCTAGACGATGTTTATAAGATTCGTGACTACGATCGTGCGCATGTAGACCCGGGGTCCCGTGCGGATCCAGAGAAAAAGGCTCTTCTTTCTGCAGCAAAAGAAGTCATCCACCTGACCAAGCATATTGGGACTGAGATTGTTGGTCTTCAGTTAAAAGATCTAACGGATCAGCAGAAAGATGAGCTAGGCTTGCTGATCGCTGAGCGAAGCGTTGTCTTCTTCCGTGACCAAGACATTACTCCTCAGCAGCAAAAGAGCCTGGGAGAGTGGTATGGTGAGATCGAAGTTCATGTGCGTGCAGTTTCTCGGGCTCAATTAAAAATGCCATTTACTAACTATTTATTCTTTTCAATATAGCCTCAAGTCCCTCAAGTTCCTGGAGTCCCCGGGGTGACTGTCATCTGGCCCGCTTTGCAGGCTACCGAATCGAGACCTAACTATCGTCGACCTGGAGGAAATTCACGCTGGCATACAGACCTCGTTCATGAAAGACAACCAGCTGGTGTGACACACCTGCATAATGACACCGTGCCAACTATTGGCGGTGACACCCTTTGGGCAAGTGGATATGCAGCATACGAGAAGTTGTCACCTGGATTCCGTAAGATCATCGACGGGAAAACCGCCATATACAGATCTGCTCATCCCTACCTGGATCGTGAGAATCCAGAAGAGGGCCCTAAGTATATCGAGCGCGAGCATCCCCTGGTTCGTGTTCATCCGGCAACGGGATGGAAGGCACTGTGGGTGAACCGGGCCATGACAGATCGAATTGTGGGTCTGGACAAAGCAGAAAGTGATTTGATTCTTGGATACCTGTTTGATGTCTACGAGAAGAATGTTGACATCCAAGTCCGCTTTAAGTGGACACCCAGGGCAAGCGCCCTATGGGATAACAGGTCAGTCGGAAAATTTTCCTCGGTATGCCCAAAAGCTAACAAGCCCTTATAGAATCACAATGCACAATGTCAGCTGGGATTATGAAGGCTCAGAGCCAAGACATGGAACCAGGGTGACAGCGCTCGCAGAAAAGCCATTCTTTGATCCAAATGCTCCCACGAGAAGAGAAGGACTGGGTATACTTGGACCAGATGAGATCCAAGAACTGGCAGAACAGTAAATTTTCTAACGGTAAAAAATATGACGATAATGATTTTAAGAGAACAAACAAAAAAAAAATCGCTTGTGCCATTTTAAGTTGGTATTCGTTGAACCTTGCTCTGCACACGCAGTGAGCTCGCACAGTACAATTCCAAAGAGCTATCATCACGCTGCGAAATGCCAAATCCACCAGCAACATATATCCTAGGGCAAATTTATTATCAATTGAAAAAACCATTGTCAATCCTCTGAGACCTTGACGGAAACATCTCATTCAAAAACCGGATCCCAGCCTTGCACATACTCGGGAAAGGAATAGTTGGCATGTTCTTCCATCATGGGAGTCTGGGGAATTAGTATGTGATTCTGTGGCGCCATGAAATCTTCTGATGGAATATAGTTTCCCGATGTGAAGTAATTCCCTGGCATGAAGAAGTTCTGCGGTAAAGTCAGTTCCAGCTTTACTATCGAAACTAGAGCATTTACAGACCTCATTTCCCGCATTGATTGAAATAAGAATGCGCCTCTCATCCGTAGCAATCTTTTGAATAGCCTGAACGATGTCCATGTTTCCGGAAACGGTGGCAGCCTGAACAAACAGATGCTCATGGGTAGATATGCAAATCACCGGACCATATTTGACGAGCGTATTGACAACCACGGCAGTACTAATACAGCAAGCCATAAGCAAGACACCTCGGAAGAAGTTATCGTCCTGGAGCTGATGTTTGACCCCCATTTCCAGCAACGCTCGCACGATAGTGGCATGGCCCATACGAATTGCTTTCAGGAGCTCGTTTCCCCCGCTCTGGGCGATATTAATGTTACTCATAAGGCCTTTGGCCGAATCAAGATGATCAAGGAAATCCGCTATGTCGAGAGCACTCGTGCCAGTCGCACTCAGGGCATCTCGATCGGCTCCCTGGGCAAGCAGCTCGACAACACGTTGAGAGTCATCTAGTAGACATGCAACGTGCAGTTCGAGGGTAAGCCGATTAGGATGTTGCGCGAGCTCATCTATTTCGGCCATCTTTGAGATATTTCTATCGCGAAGTCGGTTTTCTAGCCTAGTCTGTTCGATATTGCCAACGTATATCACCGTCTACTTGAAACCAGCGTTTGTTAGACATGCATATACCGCTCGAAAAGATATAGTGGAGCGAAAAGAACAAGAGGGAACTTACCTGAAGATTCACGACTGGGTCTCGATGTATTGGCAATCGTCAGAGCTTGTGGCAGTTGGATGCTTTGAAAAGCTAGCAGTTCAACAGACCCTAGACAATGCTGATGACAGGAAACAAGAAACTTAGGTAGTTACTGAAGCCTCGAGAACGAGATTTGATTGAGCCCAACAGGATATACGAAAGAGTCTCCAAGGTGAGATGACTGGTGAGTGGGAGGAGTAATATAAGGGCTGCTACCTTCTCTGCTTCCGACAGTAAGTGGCAAAATAAAGATGAATGGGAATGTCCAGAGTGAATCAAGATGTTTTGAGTCCGGACCCTGAGTCCATTTTCTCTTGGTCTCACAGGGCATAACATCAATGGTATCATAATAAGATATTGACTGCCTTCTTGGCTGAATAGTATAGCAAGTATAGCTAGATAGAATGACATAAAGTGAAATATACCTAATAGCATAAGTCAGTAAGATTTCTATTAAACCATCTGTTTGAAGGAGATACCAACTTTTCTTAAAAGGGGATCGATGATGTTCTGTGCTTGTATGTGATCGGTTGATATGGATAGAGATCAAGCTAAATAGCATAGACTCATCACATCTAAACACTGCCAATTTTCCTTTGATTTCTTTACTGCTCATTGCAATATTTTACTCCACTGGTACCCCATGGGATACTCTGTACAATGATGCCATTGCCAACACTGATATAGACAGCTTCAGGGTGCATCTCATTTCTCAATCGTGGAATATCAATATGGCAGCTCTCGACCTTTTAGCAGATATCAAGCCAAGATTACTTTTCATATTTCATAATCCATAATGGAATTCCATTGTGAAGATGAGGCAATATGATAGAACTTGTCAAACGCTGCTTCCTTGTCGTTCGAACTTCTGGGGGTCCCCTTCTGGCTGCTAAGTCCAATGACTTGGAGTAGGACTTGGAGTAGGCTGAATCAGTGTTATAATAAAAGCATGGACAATATTAGATTCTTGATAGACAATCAAATGCCTCTATTGTAGAATCAAAGTTGCGAGGGTCTCAGTGCAACAACAATTGAAGTCGTGTCTTTGTCTTCAGTGAACATTTATATTCACGTGATGGATCGAATTCCCTGTATGTACAATACTGTATGTAATTTATCTGTCAACAAAGCATCGTTTATTTGTTATTGAATTGAAATGAATTCTAGTCATCGAGTACTAATTATGGAATACAACTTCATCAAAATTATCAACAAGTTGCAGGGATTGACGCCATAAACCATTTGGTGTGTCTGTCAGCATAAAAAGTTGAGCCTTACAGCCTCCGGCATCAATTACTCCCTCATTCTCTGGCAACTCCGAATTTTAGCGGAGTATTAATTATTCCAACAGACCACTGGAGCAGAAGATATCTCCTTTGATTTTGACACTGCTACCAGAATCATAACTTACTGCTCTCCTGTTTCAAGGCGAGGGAAACGGAGAAAATACGCATTAAACTCCACCTCAAACACCCCCTCTCCCCTTCGATTTCCCCCTCATTCGACGATCACACCTCGAACACGCCTCACGCCTCTACCAACTGCCAATTATCATATACTCAAAGACATCGAACATCAATCAGATCCTTGTCTCACCATCTTCCACGACGAGTTCTAGTTGGGTTTGGCTATCAGCCTCGAAGCTGGGACTCCGGTGTTCCCATTCGAGCTGCTGGCCGGGACTTATCCCTCGATACCTGACAGCTCCGGGAAGCTTGACCACATCGCCAAGCCGAGTTTACTCAAACCTGATTCCTTCTACTAGACCATACCTTCCATCGCCCACCTCGAACGCCCAATACTCGACTCTCCCCGACTTCCCGCGTGACGTTATGAATGAAACAACGCCCTCCCCCAGCCCAGGCCCTGCGAAGGAAGCCTTCACCTCAAAATCTCCTGCGACAATTTCCGGAGTCAAGCGCAAGCGAAATACAGCCGGGAAATACTATGCGGTTAAAGTGGGATATCAACCTGGCGTTTATTACACATGGAACGATTGCTTGACCCAGGTGACGGGATACAAGGGCGCAGTTTGTAAGTGAAGCACAGGGTTGGCGCAATTTTGTGTCTTCATCTGAGATGCTCATTACTAACAAAGCCGTTTAGTTCAAGCATTTCCGACTCAGGAAGAGGCAAATGCGTTTCTGACGGGTTCCAAACTTTCATCAACTCCTGGTGCAACTACCGCGGATACAGAAGCCACGAGATTTTATGGCATTCAGCGTGGGCGGATACCGGGGGTATACACTGATTGGGCCAAGGCTCAAGAGCAAATTCGAGGCTTTACACGGCCGCGATATAAGAAGTTTTCGACGAGAGAAGAAGCCGCGGAGTTTGTGAAACAGGGCCAGGGCCAAATGGCTACCTTTGCCTCGGACAGTTCCGAGTTACAGAAACTGCCTGGGGCTCCAGGAATGATGGATGAGATACCAAAGGATGAACAGGGTGTACCATTCGAAGCAGGTGATAGCGCTTTACCACCTGGGGCAGAAGATGGGTTCGATCCTAACATAATTTTGGATCCCGCTACAGGCAAAGCGGTATACAAAACAAAAGACCAGAAAGCTGCTACCAAAGCAAAGTCCACCGGTCCACCGGGGATGCTACGAATTTACACCGATGGTAGCTCGCTGAAGAATGGCAGAGAGCTTGCATCGGCAGGCGTTGGGGTATATTTTGGGCCCGAAGATACAAGGTTTGTCCTCTTAGCATCAACTTGATCTTTCTTTTTACCCGGCTGCTCTGTGTTTACTAACACCCTCTGCCCTAGCAGGAATGTTTCAGAGCCCCTGAAGGGCAGTCGCCAAACGAATCAACGTGCTGAATTGACCGCAATTCTGCGAGCCCTTGACATTGCTCCCCGCCATCGAGATGTGACCGTATTCACAGACAGTCAGTATGCGATTAAGTGTGTAACAGTATGGTTCACAAAATGGCGGCGAAATGAATGGATGACGGCGGGCAACAAGCCAGTCGAGAACAAGGATCTGGTCGAGTCTATCTTGGTGAAGATTGAGGAACGAAATGAGCTAAAGGTGAAGACACTTTTTGAATGGATCAAGGGTCACAACCGCGATCCTGGAAACGAAGCAGCCGACCAGCTAGCGGTCAATGGGGCTCGAAAGGGGGCTTCGGAGAAGAAAGCAGCCCTGGAAATAGCGCAGGATATACCAGACGATGACGAAGAATTCTAAGGGGACATCTTCGATCTAAATTCCATGAGTCCCCCACCAGTGACGATTAATGAAATTGAAGGACTTGGGTTCAAGGGTTACATTTGTCTGCATCTTCCCATGGTTTGTACTGCTATCTGGACACGACATGTACTTTCAGAGCTATTTATCATCCAACAATAATAATTATAACCCTCTACCAACTAGGACATCTCTGGCTTATAGGATCTGAAATGAAGAGTCTTCGCACAAAAGTGAATATGACATAGAAATCCAATATTGATATCGCCTAAATTGCAGGCGGAACTTTATATTGCGGATTGCACGTGAACCAAACCATTCTCCTTTATTTTTCCTCCTCTTCTTTCTTCCCACATCCTTTTCCCATCCTCAACGCTTGCATTTTGCTCTGTGCATATTGAACCAGCTTTCTTGTAGCTGCTTTTTGGGCATATCACTATTTCTGGACATAGAGTCTGTCTCTCAATTCCATTCTGCCAGTTCTTCACGGCCAGCTCAGTCTTGATTCATCGCCAGTGGATTTCAAATCCCCCTAGATGACCGGAAATCTCTTGAACCAAGGAATTTATATCATGATTGAATAACACATGCTTGTGCCTTCTTGAGGGTTCGATAAACATTCGTGCGACACGTTTATTCCCCCGCAACTTAGACTGTCCTTCAGGACCAATATCTCCAACTACAACATTCCTCGTAGCTTTTCAGAAGCGGAATATTTCTGGCAGTTCTTGGCTCGTCTTATTTACAGTGCAGACTTGCAGTGGCTGGGCGATCTGTCATACCAGACGCAAGGAGAAAAATGCCCACGCTTTCTCTGATAAACTTTAACATCGTCTGTGCGACACTCGGAGGTTTCATATCAGTCTTTGGGCTTGTGTCTTACTTGTTCAAGGAGAGATTTTATCTATCCGAAGCATGTCCGTACAACCATTCTTTTGTTTTATCTCTGCGTTACACTTGGGAAAATGGTCACTGACAGGATGCAGTAATTTCGCTCTTAGCTGGTGTCATCTTCTCTCCCCATGCCGCCAATTTTATAAGACCTAGAGATTATGCGTTGGGCTCAGAACAAAACCTAGAAGAAATCACTCTCTATTTCACTAGACTCGTTCTCGGTGTACAGTTGGTCCTGGCTGGTGTTCAGCTTCCGAAAAGATACCTACAGATAGAATGGAAGAGCCTGTCACTTCTTCTTGGGCCTGGTATGGCTGCCATGTGGATGTCCAGCAGCCTTATAATCTGGGCGCTGGTTCCAAACTTTCGGTTTCTGCATGCTCTTATAGTTGGTGCATGCGTAACACCCACTGATCCAGTGCTTTCCAACTCCATTGTTAAGGGCAAATTTGCAGATAGGAATGTCCCCCGCCCGCTACAAAGAATCATAGTGGCTGAATCGGGAGCTAACGATGGCCTCGGCTATCCGTTTCTCTTCTTTGGACTGTATCTTCTCAAGTATACCGGGATGGGGGGTGAGGGTCATAGCGGAGGGGCTGGAAAAGCCATGGGGCTATGGTTCTACGAGACTTGGGTCTATACTGTTATCTTGAGCGTTGTGTACGGCACTACTGTCGGCTGGCTCTCCAGAGAGATGCTACATTGGGCAGAAGAAAAGCGCTATGTCGACCGCGAGAGCTTTCTTGTTTTTGCCATTTCCCTTGCAGTAAGTCTAGAGTTGGGAGCGAATATCAACTGTTACCGAGTGCTGACGCAAAGCTCAGCTATTTATCCTGGGAACTTGTGGTCTTATTGGTACAGATGACCTCCTGGCCTGTTTTGTCGCTGGAAACGTTTTCACTCAAGAGTAAGACCTTGGTACCATTTTACCTTCGGCTCAAGCTGACATTACTAGTGACTGGTTTCGCCTGGAGACGCTAGATGATTCGTTGCAACCGACAATCGACATGCTTCTCAATCTATCGATCTTCATGTGGTTTGGTGCAGTCTGCCCTTGGTCCACGTTTTTGGACAATAGCATCATCCCCATCTATCGCCTCATCTTCTTGGGAATATTGATCCTACTGGTTCGCCGGATGCCTATTGTCCTTGCAATGCATAAATCGATCCACCAGATAGAGCGCCTCGCTCAGGCGGGTTTCGTTGGCTTCTTTGGGCCCATTGGGGTCGGGGCTGTATTCTACCTGTCCGTTAGCCGAGAATTTTTACGTCAGATCACGGTTGATGGCAAAGTTCGAGAGGATGCACAAGAAGTTTCGGAGGCAATCTATGTGATTGTATGGTTTCTTGTCATCTGCAGTATTGTATGTGATTTCTAATTTGCTTCAGACTGAGGTTACTCTGACAGACAAATAGGTCGTTCATGGGCTTTCTATTCCATTGGTCAAGGCAGGATACCATCTTCCACGGACAATTTCAACAGTGCTGAGTATCGGTTCAGCCGAACCGGAGCCTGTTTCAATCACGAATTTAGATCGAACTCATAGTACGGCAACGCCCACCTTGGAATTTGTTAACAACCGAGGCCGCAAACGTGGCAGCGCGCGTGAACCACCTCGATCCACGTTCAAGATTGGTCGGCCGATTATCAGGACATCTTCTCCAGCAAGCCAGCCGCAGCCTGGGACGGGACATGCTGAGGAGCCCGAGCGGCCAGTGAATTTGGTTACTCATGATTCAGGAGACCCTACTTTGACAATTACTTGAAACTTGAGAGTCCACGATGGCATTCAATCTCCAGCTGAGGTGGATGAGTTCTATGATTCATCTGTTTCTTCTTTACTGGTAACTATTTTCATCAATCTTGGCGAGATTGTGGTGATATACTATCTGCATATCCTCACAAAGAAAAGATTGTTCCTGTACCTACCATATGTTAACTCTCACTCTTATGCAGTAGAAATGTAATATTGGCAATGCATTCTGGTGATCTGAATTTTGCATATAATGACCGACAGGTCGACTGGTCTTGGGCTACAGCACAATATTGAGGCGAAAACCCACAGTACCCATCCCTCCTAATCAAAATGGCTACATTGATATAACCAAAGAACGAACGGATTATCTATCAATTTCTTTGATTTTCTTTTCTTTTTCTAAAACATGCTTTTTGGGATCTTCGTAGAACTCCATCCCCTTTTTTGACACTCAACCCTCCCACCAGGAAAACCCACCTCCGTAAATCGGATACCTCGTCATTAATAAAAGAATTCAAACAGTTCAAAGGGGGATAAAGAAGAAAAAAAGGTTCAATCCAGGCATCGCTCCATCACGGTCCATCCAGATCGACCGTATGCAGCGATCCGCTTTTTCCATCACGCAAATCTCTTTCTTCTGCTCAAGACCACCTTAAGGACCGACAAATGTCTATGGGAAAAGAAAATTCATGCAGTCATTATAATCCCGTCCACGCCACATATCAAAAAAGAAAAAACCCATCTGAATCCACAAGGCAAACCAAAGGGCTATGCGAGGAAATTGGGGTATATACCAGAGCAACATCCCACCAGATAAACAAGATCAAATGATAGATGAATAAACATCAAAGGGAAATATCATCACGAACACAAATGATAAGAATAAAATAGGATAAATGAGAAGGTATAAGATGCTAAATGCTCGCCGTCAAAAATAATTGCAGAGGAACAGCAAGCCAAACCTAATAACCGATGGCGCAGGGTGTTCGGGTTCGTAGATGGCTGCCGACCGAATCATCACGCCCTCGGACGTTCATCGCCCGCTGTACCGGTAGAAAGTACCGGGAAAAGATTATGAATTGGTCATAAACACATAGACTTGTCGTTCGTCGATGTCACTTTTTTTATATGTACAGCCGACATGAGCAGTGGCGCCCTGTGTGGATTAGATGACGTCAGGTACATTGCGGCATCGTGGCAGGGTATACCATTAAGTAGTATTGAGAGATTGATGAGGAAAAGGGATAATATGCCTTGCACACAGGAAGGACGAAGTCGAGACGATGCAGTAGAGACTGCTTTTTTTTCTTTCTTTTTCTGATTTTTTTTTTCATCTGTGTTGAAACTTGATGTAATTGAATCACGCGATTCGTTGATAGAACAACAAGTACGCGACTTTGTTGTCACGAGATCCATATCTTCCGATTGGAGTTCGAACTCCAGATGACAGCCCAGAGGCAGATGGAGCAGAAGCCCCGTTTGCAATGCCCGAGACGGACTTTTTGTTTGAATGCCCACTGGCGCCTGTGCCGTTAACTTGACTCCACCCTCTCTCGTTGTCGGGATGTTCCAGATCATCCTGATCGATATGATCGAAAATATTGCCATTGGGGCGCTTTTGTTGTTCCAGCGCCGCGGCAAGAACCTTAGGGTCTTCCTCGCCGCCTGCCTCAGCGACATCCTCACTCCTGACACGGCGGATGACTGTGTCATCAAGACGGATCCATTCACGACCATCCTGTCGTCGAACATCCACCGTGTAATGGCCGCCACTAGCGCTCTTTCCGTGATGATAAATCACACCGACAAGTCGATATTTAGGAAGACCACCTTGTGACATCATGACATTGCGCTTGTTAGGTGGGAAGACCTCTCGAGGCATTTCAAGATCGAGTGGGTAACCGATCTTCTTCCAGATCTTCTGTGTGCCATTCGTCACATTGTCATATTGGAAGCGTTTCAGATGAAGGATGAGAACAGGTGGCAAGCTTTCAATGAAAATTTGTTTGGTTGCTGTTACATTGGGGCCCCGTGCAGAGTTGAAGTCGCCTTGAATATTTTCCGGCTTGGTCAAACCTCTGAGCGCATCGACGATGTTATGGACATCAGCTGATCCAATGTCGAGCTGCAAAGACTGGTAGGGTTCCAAGGTCACTGAGATCTTATTGCCCGGTACTCTGAATTCAGACCTTAGCTTGCCGCCCAGAATCCTGGTGATGGGCGATTCTTGGGAAATGTCACCGGATGCGCGGGTGACTGCGGGCTTTTGTTTGTGACCAACTTCTAGCCAGCCGTCGCCCGATGGTTCATCAATAGTATCTTGGGATTCGGATTCCGGGGCATTTTTGGCGACACGAGTGCATTCTTCGTGCATTTCCTCCAAAAGAAAGCCCAAAAACTCTTGCGCATCCTGCTGGTGTCCGCGCTGAATTAGGTAAAAGACGTTAGTTCATGATGCTTCTCACAAAACAAAAGAAACTGTAATATAAAAAAAAAAACATACTCGCATGTCCCGGAAACGTGGCAACTGTCTGATAACCTGATAAACGAACTCTGGGATAAATGCTTCGCCATAGTGCTCCAGCTCATTGGGTTTCAGCCGTAATTTCAGCTGTTCTTCCGAATGCGCCGCATCGATAACCCGAAATTCCCTCATAAACATAATCCTGAAAATTCTAATGTCAGTATAAATCCACTAGTAATAAGATAACAAAGTTCGCTCACATAGCATCGACCAATGGAACATCGCTTTGGAAGCTGTGCGCTGCTCTTCGGCCAATATGGTCCAGGAACTGGTAGAATGGCACGCATGAAACAAGAATTTGGAGAACCTGTAGAAAAAGAAGATCAGTATACAACTAGATGTGTTGAGAGTCTATGAGGACATACAGAGTTCATGTAGCACATATTACCAGTATTAACAAGCCCCCTAGGTTCAAGGAAAGCCACCTTATCGCTATACTGGTTAACGTCTTCAGCCAGGTTAGTCAAGACATTAGCAAGAGACTCGTTCTTGGGTAATATTATGCCGGTTGACTCGGTCGATGCTGCAGTGGGAGTAGCTGTGGCCTTAGAAAGATTCTTCGCCCGCACAAGATCTGCCCATGACTTGGGTGCCGCACGAGGCGAGGCGGCATTGGTAGACTCCTCTGAGACACTCGCGCCCGTTTTTACAGGGATGCCAGCTGGAGCCTCTTGCTTAGTATCAGCTGTGGACTTGGGCGTTTCAGAAGTGTCACCCTTAGCTGGTTGACGCGGGGTAGCTGGACTCTGCGGAAGGACAGGGACTACAGGGACTACAGGAACAGCAGGCTTCGATGCTTTTGTCTGAGCCTGAACCTGAGACTGTGGACGCGTCGACGGTTTTGGAGCCACCGATGAAGGCGTGGTTGGCTGCGTTGAATTTGAATCCGACGGAGCACCAGATAGTGTTGGCGTCTGCGGTTCAGATGATGTTTGGGCCGCTGGCTCTTCACGCTTTGCGTGTTCTTCTGCGCGGGCATTCCGGAGGCCTTCCTTTGCGGGAAGCTCTACAGACTTCGAGGAAGACTGGAAAAGACGGCTTTTTCGACGCCGACGCGAGATACGGGCAGGAAACGGGTGGTCAGGAACGGAAAGCCAGGGCAGCTGGTCCATGATTAGTGAGATTAGACAAAACTCCATTTGATGCTTATTTGACCTTTCCCCCCCTTAAAAAAAAGAAAAGAAAAGAGAAAAAAAAGGTTTGGGCTAAAATAACTTACCGGTGCACGGAAGGGCTCTTTAGGGGTTGGAACAGGCTTTGTAGCTTCTGGAGCTGGTGGCGAGGACACAGCGGGGCTGGGAGCTGGGTGGATAGGAATATTTGCAGGGGGGTGTTCGGGCATATCAATCGGGGCTGGCGCGGGGACTGGCGCGGGGACAACGGGAGACATGGTGGATTGAAGAGGAGTTGAAGTCCTCGGCTGCAACGGGAGCGTTGGGGGCGGGATATGAGCTGGTGCCATGATGGGCTGCGCGTGTGGATAGGAAGACACGATCATCGGGCCATAAGGATGCTGGTAAGGGCGTGGAGGGAGCTGCATTTGAGGATAGGCTGGGTACCAATGAGGGTATTGCTGCGGTGAATAAGCAGGGGGCGGATGGCCATTCATGTGGGGGTGATATCCCATATATCCCGGGGGAGATCGCATCGTGGGAGGCCCTGTAGTGTAAGGAAGATCTTGCTGCCGTCGAGGTGGCATGGGCGGCTGCCCATGGGGCATTGCGGGCAAGTGATGGTTCATCATGTCTAGGTATGTCGGAGAATCGCTTTGACTGTTCAGCCACGCGTTGCCTCAATGGGAGCCATGCGAAACGTTAAACGGGAAAGATAGAGCGAGGAGCGTCCCACCCGTCTACGCGGCCATTCTAACCTTGCCGGTCAGAGAGCGAGAACGGGTAGTCGTTGAACTGAGGCTTGTGTGGCTAACGGTGGTGGTTTGTTCTGCGGAGGTTCAAAGGGATCGTTATTCACTGAGATGCGACAGGCAAAGCGGATTGAATACCAACCTGATGGTTCAGGAACCAATACGGAGGAATTGAATTGAACCTGAAAAATACCCCGACGGCTTAGGGAACCAGCAAGAGGGGGGAGTGGGGGAAGCGAGCAACGAGGCGAAAGGCAGGCAAACCAACGGGGATTTGCTGGGCTGAGATGAGATGAGATGATGTTTTTTGGGTGGCACGTGCCTGAGGCTCCATTGGCTGCCAAGAGATGACATACTCGCCCCTCTTCGCCGTCGTCGCCAGGAGAAAAGGATTGGGAACCAGGTGCTTCTGCTCTCCTCATCTTGCCCTTCGGGGTTTTTATTGCTTTACGGTTATACAATCTACCCACTGTCGTTCTTTTTTGGCGAAGTTGGCTCATTCGACCTCATCAAAGGCACGGTTGTTGTCGTCGGGTTCAATTCCGGTCCTGTTCGTCTATCCCCTCCGCCAAAAAAAGGCTGCCTCCCCCGCCTCACTGAAAGAAGGCAGTGGGAGTCATCAATTCAATGAATTGTCTGGTTTTGTGAGAAATGTCTTCCAACCCGGGCCAGATTCCAACCTCTTCCAAAGCGGTGAATATTCCGAATACATCACCTTCTGCGACATTTCATTCAACTTCCTCGATTGACGGAGGCCACCAGCGACGCCCGGGAGGCTCTGGCAGTTTTGGGGCAGGGTTCAACTCGAAGAGTTCAACCTCTGCAAGAAACAACCAGGCCCGGAAGGGTCAACACAAACGGCAGAGACGCCCCCGATTGTTGGATGATGATGAGTATAACCAGTCTGTATGTATCCCAGGAGTACCTGTATCCATTGCTCTTTTGTCGAGTAGACAGAACTAACAGTTGCATATATAGGCCGCCATGAGATCAACAACTAGCCGAAAAGGACAGACGTCCATTACTCATTTGATGAACTTTTCTCTTCCCCCTCGTCCTCAAAACCATTCTATACCACATCGTAATCCTCGTCGGTATGCGTCCTGGGGATACCATGTTGTAGATAAAGCTCGCTATGTCCACGCAAACTATCGATTTATTGTGACGCCAAATCGTGTTTACAAGGCCCACGCGGCAAACGCCGATGTGCATTTGGACTGGGACTCGGTTCTTCAAGTTTTAGTCTCGGCTCAAACTCAAGATGCCAGTTGTCCTATCTGCTTATCTACGCCCGTAGCTCCGCGAATGGCTCGATGTGGACACATATTCTGTCTACCGTGTTTAATTCGTTATATGCACTCGAACGATGAAGAAAATCCCGGTCCCGAAAAGAAGGCTCGTTGGAAGAAGTGTCCTATTTGCTGGGACTCGGTCTATACCTCGGAGACTCGACCTGTCCGATGGTTTCGCGGCCAAGAAGGCGATCTTCCAATTGAAGGAGGTGATGTGGTATTGAGATTGGTGAAAAGAGAACCCGGAAGTACTCTTGCGCTGCCCCGAGATGGTGCAGAGAGCATTGGATTTGGAGACGATATCCCTTGGTATCATGCTGCGGAGGTTGCCGATTATGCCCGAATCATGAAAGGAGGCGAAGATTACATGGTCTCTCAGCACGATGCTGAAATCGAAGACCTCCGGAAGCAGGAGCTGGAAGACGAACTTCTATTCGGAGACGAGACAACTTGGACCCAAAAGGCGATTGCTTCCATCACGGACGCAAAACAGAAGGTGAAAGGCATTGGAAACCCTCCGGATGTTTCACGGCAACCCGCGGCAAAGAAACTTGCACGAGAGCCGATCGCGGTCGAATCTCCACCAGACGAGCTTGCCGTAATGTATACGTCGCAGCATGCCAACAAATCCGGAGAAAGCTCATCTGCCGAGTCCATTCCTTCATCGTCGAGTGTAATAGGCTCCGCTTCTACACCTGGGACATCCGATGAGACAGCTCGCCTGTCACAGGCAGTGGATAATGTCCACCTGAATTCAGCATCAGGCGCAAAGTCCAAGCAGAGGGATCCTGGAAACGGTCGATCGAATGAAGCAGCTGGATCTCATCCTTCAGATTCCCCGTACTACTTTTACCAAGCTCTGCCTCAGTTCTACTTGTCTCCTCTGGACATTCGCATTCTCAAGGCTGCGTTTGGCGACTATTCGCTCTTTCCAGCCACGATCCTACCTCGGGTGGAACATATCTCGACCGGACACATTATAGATGACGAGCTTCGGAAGCGAGTGAAGTACTTGGGCCACCTGCCCCACGGATGTGAGGTAAACTTTCTGGAGTGCGACTGGAGAGATGTGGTTGTACCGGAGGTTCTCGAGCGCTTTCGCACAGAAACCGACAGAAGAAGAAAACGTAATAAGGACAAGGAGGTCCGCGAAGAAAAAGACCGAATTCGTGCGGAGCGAGAGGAGGACGACAAACGCTGGGCTGCGGCTCGTCGTAAGAGGCCCAGTATTAGTACCAATGACCCACCATTCTCAGACCGTGATTTCCAACCTCTGGCTGGCGGTGCTGACTCTTCATTCTTTGAGGTTGGTTCCTCTTCTGCCTCTCCGCCTCGACCATCATCTCAATTTGGGGCTCTGGCCTCGCCTTCAACCAGTCCACCGGGCTCTCGCACCGTATGGGGAACGACGGCTGTCACTCCACTTACAAATCCATCCGAGTCTGAAGCAGGTGTTGCAAATGATGGATGGTTCCGTGGCTGGGAGGATGAGTTATTAGCCCAGCAGGAAAGTGAACTGATCGCCCAGACCGCTGCGGAAGCAAGCAATCCTTCTTCCTCAACGGGCGGGAAGAAGAAGAAGAACAAGAAGATTACGCTTATGTCGACTAACATTCAAAGAGGAGCATGAGCGAAGTTCTGGCGCAAACGCATACCATTTATGGTATTTTTTTATCGATCTCCAGGGCGCATTCGAATTGATATATTTCCGGTGGTGTGGGCGATAACGAGGTGTACAATTGGCAGGACATGGGCATGGGAGTCAGACGGTTTATTATCTCAGCGTAATATTGATCATATACATCGACTCATATATGGAAGAAAATATAGAAGTCTTTTTCTATTTCTCTCATGCCCACTGGCAAACATTGGCCAGGTGTCATCTTCTACTCCATTCATCCATGTACAACAGTAGTCAAAACCAGGCCTTTACAGCCACACTCTAACAAATATTCGATGTACCATGAATATTAGGCTCATTCCAATGCTCACAAGATGAGCTTCATGTCTAGAGAATCAATCCAGCAAGGGAGAAAGAACTGAGAGAACTAAATGAAATATTCTCTCATAACCAAACTCTTCATACTCTGCTCCGTACTTTATCAAACTTAACAGGGAACATATCCCTGTAGATGCCTAGCATTAAGTGCATATGTAGTGAAGATCATCCTTGATCCGGTCTTGTCCTGTGGGGGAGGAATCTCGCTGTCCCTGAAGAACGCCTAATAAAATCGCGGCGAGCCGAAATTTCGCTGCGGCAGATCAACCAAACTACTCCAACCATCCCTCTCTCCTCGCTCTCCCTCGCTTCAATTCCTCCTTTCTTTTGAAATTACTCTTCCTCCCAACCACCATAGTTCTGGTTTTTCCATTTACTCTACTGTAGTTGGCCATGCCTTCAACGCGCTCCCAAACGGGGAAAACCCCCAGGTAAGTATTTAATTTGTTTGTTTGGACGAAGCCCGTTTGCGACCCTCGATTGTTTACCCCCCTTTTCCCCATTGCCCATTCTTTGCGCACTTAAGGCTATTCGTTTGTCTGTCACTTCCAGCTCACAAATTGATCTTTCCTTTAGGAAAATGGAACGTCCCGGGTTCATAGAGACACCTGGCCGCCGAGTTACTCGTAGCAGTACCGCGTTGGCCACAGAAACCAGTGCAGATGATGTGTCCGACTCACCGGCTGACATTCCAGTACCACCCAAGTCCTCGACTCGACGACGTACCGCCGCAAATGTCAAGGTTGAAGATGTTTCGGACGAGGAGACAAAGACAGTTGCGACCAATGGACGGGCCGGAGACAATGAGAAGCCGGAGACCGTTGACACCAATGGACACGCCAATGGTTCGAGTGAAAAGAAGTCGCGCATTGTCGACGGCTGGGAAGAGGGCAAGGACCCCAAGATCGATTACAGCGGTCATTTCGAATTTGGGGGTTCTTTGGGTGTCTTGTCCATGATGATCGGGTTCCCGTTGCTGATGTACTACATGTGGATTGGAGCCACATACTACGATGGCAAGTTCCCTCGCGCGGCCGAAGGACAGAGCCTGTCTGAGTTCTTTGCCCACATGGGTAACCTGGTGTATGAGGGCGCTTTCCCATCGATCAAGGCTTGGACAATCTACTGGGTTTTCTTCATCTTCGAGGGTGCTTGCTACGTGTTGCTCCCTGGTGTAACTGTCATTGGTCGGACTCTCCCTCACCTGGGAGGCAAGCAGCTGCCCTATTACTGCTCTGCTGTCTGGTCTTTCTACACCAGCATTGTCCTGGCGTTGGCCCTGCACTTCACTGGAGTCTTCAAACTGTATACCATCATCGATGAATTCGGACCCCTCCTTAGTGTTGCAATCATTTCCGGCTTTCTAGTATCGTTCATCGCGTACTTCTCGGCTTTGGCTCGTGGTGCAGAGCACCGTATGACTGGCTACCCGATCTACGACTTCTTCATGGGTGCAGAACTCAACCCGCGTATGTTCGGAATCCTGGACTTCAAGATGTTCTTTGAAGTTCGCCTTCCCTGGTACATTTTGTTTTTCCTCTCCCTGGGTGCTGCGGCCAGACAATACGAGGTCTACGGCTACGTTTCGGGAGAAGTTGGCTTCGTTCTGATGGCACATTTCCTGTACGCAAACGCCTGCTCCAAGGGCGAGGAGTGCATTGTTTCAACTTGGTGAGTATACCGTTATATTATCTGGTAGTCAAGGAACCCAGTTAACTAACGAGTGAACAGGGACATGTATTATGAGAAATGGGGTTTCATGTTGATCTTCTGGAACCTTGCTGGTGTGCCGTTGAGCTACTGCCACTGCACCATCTACCTTGCCAGCCACGACCCATCTGAATACCATTGGAACCGCTACTTCTTGGTGTTCATGTACGCTTCGTATCTGTTTGTGTACTGGGTTTGGGACACAACCAACAGCCAGAAGAACCGCTTCCGTCAGCAGGAGCGTGGTACCATGGTGTCTCGAAAGACATTCCCTCAACTCCCGTGGCAGACTCTGCAAAACCCCAAGACCCTCACAGCCGAAGATGGCTCTAAGATCTTGGTTGACGGATGGTGTAAGTGGCTTTCTACCATGTATCAAGGCTATACAAGTGACTGACATTTGCACAGATGGCAAGGCTCGCAAGATCCACTACACCTGCGATCTCTTCTTTGCTTTGAACTGGGGTCTCATCACCGGGTTCAGCAGCCCCTTCCCGTGGTTCTATCCTCTTTTCTTTGCCTGCATGATTTCCCACCGTGCTCTGCGTGATATCCAACGCTGTCGCAACAAGTATGGTGAGACCTGGAAGGAGTACGAGAGACAGGTTCCTTACCTATTTATTCCTGTGAGTACATTGGATTCTATAACTTGCAAGGGTAGTTGACTGACTTGTAATCTAGTATGTCTTTTAATGGATGACCTAGCGTATCAGTGGCTTCAACTTCTGCGCTTGCAGATATCGACATGCTTACAACTGCAGCTATGAATTTCTTTCTGTGACTTTTACGTCTCTAGAGTCCGATATGTCATTATAATACTCGCGCTTTCTTTTGACTCTGGGAAGAGCACGTATTTCATGCTGCCTGCCATTGTTGAGGCTCATCCTCTGCCTTGTCCTCATGGACATGGGCGTTCCCATCCCAGCATATTATTCAAGCTGATTTCGTTCCATGTAAATTATTTCAAGCTTTTATCATCGGACTTATTTATTTGGTTTCTTTTGGCTTCTCCAAGATCGGTGACGGGGGGGCGTCGCTCTATAAGGCTTTCATTCTCAAATTCATAATAAAAATATCCTATAATAACTTTTATTCATTAGATCTTAAATTTAGATTCAAACATATCTACTGTGTAATTCTAACACTTCATCTCATGGGTCATCTTTTACTTGATCTGATAGAACCCGTCACAATCACATGACCCGACCCCTCCCCCACATTCATTGAGGGCTTATCAGAGATCAATGACAACACCGTAGACATCACTGTTTTAACGTCGATCAATTGGAAGAAAACCAGCGTAAGTAAAGAATTTGGGTCTGGGATAAACCAGGAGTTCAATTGCACCGCGTCCTTATGTTCCGACTTGTACATTGTCCATACTGACCAGCTATTACAGCGCCATGTTAATTCAAGAAACTGTCCATGATGTCCCAACAAAGGCAGGTGTAGAAGGGAGCATGCGTATGTACTGATTTACTAGCTTGAATATTGCTTTTCTTTTGATCTCATGTTGGATGGGAATGATCCACGAATGCTGATATGACGTTTGAATAGGCCTTTATGTATTCCACCCAACTATTCCCGGCTACCCCAAGGCACGGTTCCCCGGAGTAGTTGTGTTTAGTGAGATCTACCAGGGTATGTATACTCATGAGAAACTAGCTCGAGTTATATCATGGTTAATATAATATCACAGTGACCGGTCCTGTCGCGCGGTTCGCGAGACAAATCGCCGGCCAAGGATACATCTGCGTTGCTCCTTCAAGCTACCATGAATTCACCGGACCGGAGCCTTTGTCATACAACGCCGAAGATACGGACAAGGGAAACCTCTGGAAAATCAGCAAGGTAAGGTATCCCAGTTTCTCAGCGAATTCGAGTTGTTTCTGATGACAATTACAGAAATTGGCGGCCTATGATGAAGATGCCTCGCTAAGTGTCGACTACCTGCTTTCGCTCCCCACATGCAATGGACGAGTTGGTGCAACCGGCATGTGTCTGGGTGGTCATCTTGCATATCGCTGCGCGTTGGATAGCCGGATCAAGGCAGCGGTGTGTTACTTTGCTACGGATATTCATAGCAAAACTCTTGCGGAGGGAAAGAATGATGACAGTTTGGCCCGCGCGGGAGATATCAAGGGCGAGTTACTGATGGTGAGTTATATATGTGCCGCGTAAGTCAAGTCGCCAGGCGCTAATGGGAATGTTTGTTTAAAATAGATCTTTGGAAAGAACGACACCCATGTTCCACCCGAGGGACGTGATTTGATCCGCAAAACATTGCATGAGAAGGGAGTTCTGTTTGGATTCTATGAGGTGGCTTGGGCACAGCGTACGTTGAATTTGTATGACACGGGCATTAAGTCCACGATCTTGCTGACATGGGATGTGACAGATGCATTTATCCGAGACGAGCTCAGCAAGGGCCGATACGACCCAGCGATTACCAAGGTGTGCTTTGAGATGTTGCTGGAATTGTTTGGACGGACATTGAAGTTGGATCTGGGCGAGCACGATGGCAAGGGATTGGAAGTTGAGGATGTGTGTTAAAGTTCTGAATCGGCCTTGGGATACGGAATAGTCGAGAAAGATTTGATATCAACAGCGACTTTCCATGGCAACAGCTGTCATATGCACCAGTCTATCTTACCAGTGTTACGTACGGAGTAGTATCTAAGATGTTCAATAATGAGACCCTGGTGTCGATCATCGAGAGTTCCAGATCTGGCGGTCAAAGAGAATAACATATTAACTCGAAGCTACCAGCATTTAGTACTAGATAGTGATGATAGTCGATCTTAAGGAGGGTTGATTGTCGAAAGAACCGGTCGACCGGAGAAAAAAAGCAAGGAGAGAGAAACCCGGTCAGCAGAGAAGGCGAATTGGCGGTGGCTGAAGGTGTTGAGATTTGAGACAGTGAGACATCTTGATCTTCAGCGGCTGGTGACTATTATTTGATCTTCACAATAAATCATTTATCATTTAATCAGCCGTATCTCATAAGGATAATTATTATGATGATGATTGTGTTGGGAATAACGATTATTCTCCATCTTCTGGTTCGGTGGATTCGTTACCATAATTAGACCACCCAAGCATCAGGCTTGGCCGGTAGTAACAGGCAACGAGAATAGAACTGATCCATGGATGGCGATGGAAGAAACAGTGGGATGGAAAGGATGGAAAAAAGGATCAGAATCAATTCAGGAACATTAGAGAATTGAACCAGGAAGAACCAGGGAGGAGAGCGATGGTTATAACGCTCAAGACATCCAACCTCTCCAGCCCCCCAAGGAGGGTGTTCCTGGATATGCCTGCAAGATGCAATATTTAATTCGCATTAAGCAGCTGGCAATAATGGATCGTTCAAATAACGGCAAATGCAAGCTGTGAGGCTCTGGAAATTAATTAATTATTGTCATTCTGTCGTGTCTGGCTGCAAATTAGTTATTTGCCATCTTATTCTTAGTCCTCCTCTTAGCCTCTTCCCCTCTCAGTCTCGCTTCTTCCGACTCTGGGATTTCTTCACCTTTTCCTCTTCCTCCACCGCGGTCGTTTCACTGTTGTATTATCTCCACCACCCTGCCCATCCATCTTATTTTTTTTTTTTTTTTTTTTTGGTTCTATTCTATTCTTTCCCTTTTGTTCTTAATTAACCCCGTTCCTTTATTCGTCTGACGTCTGCATCGGCCCTTGAGACCACACGGTCTACGGAGCATTTCCCTGCCCGATTATCTTTGCTGCAGCTGGTGCCTCGCCTCAATCGCCTCCGATCCGCGACGGGGCGATCGTGATTCGTGAACGGTCCTCGGCGCGGGTCAGGATCATCAATCGAATTGGAGGAATCATTCCAATTCCACCTTCGCCTATACTTTATTCTGCTTCTTCACGTTCAAGTCATTCGACATCATGGGTTCGACGCAATTCGGGAATTTCCATGTGAGTCGGACTTGACATGCGATCCACCGCCATAGGGGGGAGAAAAACGAGGGACACAAGTGACTGACTGGCGACCCTTGCTCTAATCTAGGACTTTTGTCGAGACTCGACATTACCAGTCTGCAATGTATGTTGATGCAACTCCTTGGATATTGTCGCTTGGATGATACTGACTGGCTTTCGCGCATAGCTCTTCAAGGAAAACCAACCCCCAAATAAAGACTTCGGCGGTTGTCCCCTCACGGGTATTGGCCTCAGCAATGACAGGAACCTAAGCAATCTGGGTATGAAGGAACGACGACAGACTAGACCGACATGGCACTAACGTCTATGCGATACAGGATCGATCATTCTAGCCTTCATCTCGATCCTCGCGTCAGTCTTTTTGATATGGAGATCCGAAAGGAAGAAGGCAGCCGTTGGGCGAAGGTATGCGCTGGGTTGGACGCAGTTTCAATGGTTCTATACTAACCAAAGGCCAGGGAGATGCAATTGTTCCTCTTCGGCTTCATCGTCATCGAGATTTGTGAAATTTTTACCGTGGGTGGTTTCCCACTTGACGATGCGGTTCGAAAGGTTGGTCGTGATGGATCCTTATCGTGTAAACACATCTAATATTTGTGATCAGGGTTTTTCGGCTGCTCATATTGCCGCAATCACTGCAACTTGCTGGGTTCTTTTGTTGAATGCCGCCGTGGGTTTCCAACTGCTCGACGACGGCACACCCGCTTCGATGGGTCTTCTCCTGACCTCCGCCTTGGTTTTCTTCATCGGAACGGGCTATATTGCCCTGGATACCGCGTTTTCATGGACCGGCCATTTCGATTCAAGTTTACAGGGCGATAACCGGAATATCGCCTTGTACGTGCTGTACCAGCTGTTCCCGCTGGTGTGTCTTGTGGTTTTTTACGTTATGGAGTCCATCTTGGTGCTCCGGATCTTGGGCGAGTTTCGGCCGATGTGTATGTTTCCTTGCAGTCATTTCACTTTTCTTGGTCTTTTGCTAACAAACTACAGTGTACTTGACCAGTGCAGGTCTGCTGTTCGCTATTGGCCAGATCTTCACCTATGTCATCAGCGTTCATCTTTGTTCAGCAACAGATGGCAAAATCAACGGTGCCCTGTTTGAAACTCTTTTCACACTCTTGGCAGTGGCTATGATCTGGATGTTCTGGAGTAGTATCACAGAGGATGACTGGCCGATGCCGGTGACAAGTGGCGGCCCCGGATACAACTAATCGAAAACTCGTGCTTATCGGCCGACGACTGCGCGTTCAGTCCCCGGACAGACGCAAGCCTACTTGATTCACTCTTTTGACCTTCCGACATGAACCGACAATAATAACATTCTATTTGATCGATCCTTTTCCGGAGATGTCCGCCGCCTCATCCGGTTACTGTTTTATTTTTTCATTCTCATGCTTTATGGGAGTCTCACGATGATGAGCTCTAACGTTCTGATACCACCTTCTGTTCTGTTTCTTCATGTCCTGCGTAACGATGTTTTCTATTTACTTCGTTATCTACATTTATGAATCTTATTCTTCATGTTTCTGATTGTGGTCTGCTTGATATTGTCCCAAGCATGGGATCACTTTTGGCATATTTATTTTTAGTCAGATACCTATTTGTCTTGTAACTACGCCTTGTTGTTAAATAATCTTGATTTCTTTCTTTCTTTAATATTCCTGTATCTTTATAATACAATTTGGTGTGTTGTTTGTCTGCATCGTGTTCTGACCTATGATGACTGAGGTTGAGCTATATTGTATGTATATTAAATCTACTCATTGTCATACCGTCTATCGTCATCGCTAAAGAATCAGATCATATCACTCGCATGTGATACGTTTTAGACTACTATCTCTTTGATCAGCCAAGTATATCTCCGTGTAATCTGCAGATATTCTGAAGTTTGCTAAAATTAGAACTATACCAACTAGGCAGCCGAGAAACAAGAGACAACCAGCAAACATGCCGAGAAGCCCATCGAACATGATTAGATGGATAAATAGATAACTGTGAACAATTACCGTGGTTTCCTATTCCTGAATAGCATAGATGGTGCTTTGAGACAATCGAGAGATGAGGGGGTGTTGTACTTCGTATTGGCAGCTATTTTGGAAACTCTGCATCATATGCTGACCATACGTGAATCACTGAAAATTTATAAATTATATCAGCCAAAAACTATTCAAATGTTCATTAAAAGAGGAAGACCTCTGGTGAAACAGTAAATTATGTACAGTCTATGATTTCAACATGGGCAGGATACGAGAACCGGTATCATTGAAATAATTCCGCATCATGTCGTATAAGGCATTAAATAGGAAGATATCGCAAATCAACACCAGCTCGTGATCATTAACCCATCCATCCAAGTTGATCATCGTTCCCTTACCCACCGCTCAGTGAGCCAGGGTCTAGGAAACGAATCATCTATAAGCGGACCTTCACATCCACACAGGGAAGAGTCCACTCGCGTCGTCCAAGCAGACTCCGCAACCATTCCAGTCCAATCCCAGTCCATTCTTCCGACCTCAGGTCTTCCATTCCTGCAGATGTCTCGTTGAAGGCGAGTCGTCGCTGCATCTCCTCCACTGCTGCTCCTGCTAGCGCCTTGGTCGTGGTGTTGACGGTCTCCATCATATACCCGGCGAGGCTATCATTGAAGCCCGGCACCTGGTCTATTGCCATGGACGAGTTGGTCGGCAGCGCATCCTGGGACATGGGGGATGTGAATCGCGGAGAGAACCAGTCGCCTCGTAGATCGAAAAAGCAACGATCCGACCAGTGACAGGAGGAGATGAAGAGAATGAGAAGCAAGGCGGAGCAGTAGATGCACGGGCGATGGAGTATGTAGGTGAGAGTGACGAAGGAAATGATGAACAGAGGGGAAGCGTTGGTTGGGATGAAGAGGAGAGGTAACCAGCTGTAGAGATCTGTCAGCACTCTGGACATGATAGCCTCAGCAATGGAAAATCGTCTTACCTCCTGAGACAGAACATGATGAGAGTTAAATCCCCTGGAGATGTAACTTGTCGGGAAGCTGCTTCAAAGAGGGGCGGACAATAATTCGGAATCAGTGGCGACCAAAGAAGGTTGTGAATCTTCCGGTTTCACAGCTGTAGGGTGAACTGAAAAGAAGGTGAATGGAATGGTAGAAAGGACGTGATAGAAACATTCAGATTCATTCAATGAGGTTTAAAGACTGTAGAAGCCTTTCATCCATCGTTTGCTTCACCAATTCGTCGTCTCGTCTTGGATAGTTAAAGCTGCTGCTTTTCCACCCGTCAGCCGCAGCGCCCACTAGCCACACACAACAGCCACTAGTGCCACTTTCTTCTCTTCGTCTTCCTCAACTTCTGACCGTCATCTTTTCTTCCCTTCTTCCCTTCCTTTTCTTTCCCCTATCCTTTGTACTATAGTTCTTTTCTTTCTGCTTCTTGCCCCTTCAATCCTTAGACGACCTGCTACTGCTACTTTATCCCTCCTTTTTGCTCTCGAAAGAGAGCTCGCGAGAGATTCTTTGAGCTTGGATTTCGTTTGGAGGTCACCTTGTCCCCAACGGTGCGTGACAGAAATGTCCACCCCCAATGATCTCCAGGCTCTTCTGGCGAGCATCAGACCACGCCCATCTCCTTCGAGCACGCCTGGTCATGATGCTCCCATGTCGCAGTATCCTCCGCAGTACCATCCTGGGTTACGCCAGCCGCAGCATCAGTACAGCCAGCCGCAGCCCTATGACGGGCAGAGCTTCCCTCATCCTCAGCTGCACCAGCATGGTTACCACCATCCTTCGGTCTCGTCTACCATGCATAGCCCTTCGCCGATGAATACTCCGCCCCATCATGGCTCGGATATCCTCAGCCCGAACGTCCCTACGCCCCGCGGCGATGTGTACCCCCAACAGCAGCCTCAGCAACCCCAGGCCCAGAATCCCGACCGCGCCGCCAATCTTCTGAACCTTCTAAAGTTCAACCAAGCTGGGGTTGGTCATCAGGGTCCGCAGCACCAGGTTCCCATGATGGGCATGGAGCAACCCTTGTCGCCTCTGGGTCAGGAAACTGGACCCGAGCAAGGAGCTCCCAGGTCTCATGCGCGAAACATTTCCGCGTCGGATTTGGTTGCGACTCTCTTTGGCAGACAGGGCGCGCCCGCTTCCGCAGCGGCCCCTCAGGCTACCATGCCTGTAGGCTCGCATTATGTCCAACCGGAGGCCGTCGGTGCAGGGGAGAGCTCCTCATCCGCTGCGCCGACCGCTGAGAACACCCAGGACATGTTGCTTCGCCTGCTCAACCGCCCAAAGCCAGGTCAGCAAGTGGATGTCAATGAATTGCTCCGAAAGTCGACGTCTCAGTCCCCGTCCGTCGTCTCTCCTCAAAAGTCCCCTTTTCCGGAGAAGGAGTTGATTGACGACGCCGCGACGGTGGGCGAAATAGTCGAGGAGGCATTGGAAGAACCTGGCTTCGATGAGATTATGCCTGGGAAACCGGATACGATCTCGTCGCAAGCTTCCAAAGCGTCCATGACGCCAAAGGAATCGCTCTTCACTTATGTCAACCCGTTTGAGCAGCTGGCAGCCGCGTCTCCCCGCAAAATGACTCCGCAGCCTAAGTCTCGGAGTGCGAGCCCGGCTGTGGAAATCACCAAGAACAAGAAGGTCAATCTTGCCACAAAGGCTGAGCCTGTTCTGGCAGAATCGAAGCCTCTGGACACCACTAGATCGGAAGACGTCAAGTCCCCTAGTCTGGCGGAGGAACAAAAGGAGGCTGTTTCTGAAGTCGTTGGCCAGCTTGTTGATCAGATTGGCCGCGAAGTCGACCAGGCAGCTAACAAGCAAGTCAAAGAAGAGGAGGCTCCTCTTCGAACAGCACAGGAAGAGAGCACCAAAGCTATGCTTTCCTCTATTGCCAGTCATCTCCAGGAGACGGCCGCTGAAGCCAATGACGTCACCTCTCCCGAGGAGTCTACAAAGGATGTTGTTCCGGACACCGCCATCCCCTCGAAGGAGCCAGCGCATAACGGAAATGGCGATGCGCTAGTTGATAGCTGGGAGAGCGCAGAAGATAGCGCCGTGAAGGAAGAAGAGCGTGTTGTTCATGTTCACAACTTCCCTCTGAGGCCCTTCATTTCTATTGCCGTGAAGGCGAACACCGGAAAACTTACAACTCTTCGAGACGATGGCATCATGGACATCGCTCGTCTGAAGAAGGATTTCGATCAGTTGGATCGCTCCTTGACCTCAGCTACCTCGGACTACATCGTCTACGCACTCGCCAAGAACGGTGGCATGAGGATCATCCGCCAGGACGATGGAAGCGACAAGCAGGTATTCCGCTCCACTCGTGACCGGGTGTTCAATGTCGCCCTCTGCACTTCATTGACAACTGGTGGCTCGTCTGAGGAGCAGGCGATCTTGGGTATTGGTGTCAGCGGAACCGTGTACTGGGCTCTGATCTCTCGAGCCGAGACGGATCTTTTTGAGCTCGATGCTCTGGAGAGCGAGAGTCTTATCTTCCCGCCATTCCCCGCTTCTGATGAGAACACTTCCGGTGGCCAGCTGAAAACGCGGGCCAAGCGAAGCTCTCGTCATCCGGCCTTCTTTGCGATCGGCCGTGGCAAGAATATCTATGTGATTTCGCCCCAGGCAGCTACCCACCCAAGCTACGGCGTGTCTGGATCTCAGCGAACTGTGAACACGGAGAAATTTTTCAAGGAACGCGCCTTGAAAATATCGACCGGCAAGGCCGGAAAGGACTTCATGTTCAGCGACGATGACACTGTTATCGCGTCCCTTGACAAGACGGGTAGACTGCGTTTCTGGGACATTCGCGAGGTTGTTAACAACCCAGCTTTCCTCGCCAGTGGCCCCAGTCCCGCTGAAATCCGTGTTCCACTGAACACCTTCGTTACCGGGTCACCCACAGAGAAGTCCTGGCCCACCTCTGTACTCTTCATCGACAAGTTGCGCCCCTATGTGAAATCAATGGCCCTCCGTTATGTTCTTGTCGGACTGAAGCAGAACCACACCTTGCAGCTCTGGGATATTGGGCTGGGTAAGGCTGTGCAGGAGCTCAAGTTCCCTCACGAGAACGAGTCGGATGCCATCTGCAGCGTCGCGTACCACCCGGGAACCGGTATCCTCGTTATCGGCCATCCTACGCGCAACTCGATTTACTTTGTTCATCTCTCTGCGCCGAGATACAACCTTCAGCCTATGTCGCAGGCTTCTTTCATCAAACGCTCGAGCGAAAAGGATAGCAGTCTGCCTAAGCCAGAGTCCACTGCTTGTATGAGCGGCATTCGGGAGATTTCCTTCGCCTCGAAGGGTCAGTTGCGTAGCTTGGATCTCCTTCCTATCACCAAGGCAGCCGGCGACAAGCGTGGTTTAGAGGAGGAGAGCGGTCTCTTTGAGCTCTACGTGATGCACTCCCGCGGTGTTACATGCCTCAACATCAAGAAGGAAGATCTGGGGTGGAGCTCGGAGAACAAAACAATCCGTCCTGTGAACGCACTGGAGGAAGGGTTCATTGAGATTTCTGATCTTCAAACTTTCCCTAGCTATGTCACGGACGAGCCCTCGGTCAATGGCGACACAGCGCCCACCCCTACCAAGGCAGCACCCAAGGAGGTTGTGAAGAAGACGCTAGAACTCACCGCTGACACCAGCGCTGGTGCTGGTGCTGGTGTCGGTCCTTCGCGAACACAGTCACCGACGAAGCCATCAATCAAGAAGAAGCCAGGTGAAGACCAGGTTGAGCCGGCGGCCCTAGCGACAAATGGCGCTGAGAAACCCGAGAAGAAAAAGAAAAAGAAGGCCTCGACAGCTACCGCGGCGGGTCCTGGTGAAGGTGCAACGAAAGTGAAAGAAGCCAACCCCGCCTCATTCACTGGCGCAAACGAGGGCCCCTCTAGCGACTCTCGCACTTCCGCCCTTCCCAAGGAGCAACTCAACGGAAGTGATGCCACTTCTGCAACAACTCCCACTACTGTCCAGCCTGCACCTCAATTATTTGCCGGTGGCGCGAGTGATTTCTTGACCAAGCACATGGATGCTCTACAGAGTGGCGTTTCCAGCGAGTTCAATAAGAGTCTTGGTCGCGAGATCGAGGGATTGTATTCTCGCTTCGACGAAGAGCGCCGCAGCTGGGACGTCGCATCTGCAGCCAAGCAGGACCAAGTTTTGCGACTGGTTTCGGATACCCTCTCTGACAACGTGGAGAAGAATTTGGCACGTATTGTGTCGAACAGCATCCAGACCGAAGTCATGCCTACTCTGACCGAAGCTACCTCAGCTGCTGTTAGTAAGCAAATTGATGAGGTCGTTTCTCAACAGCTAGGAGGTGCTGTCCCTCGAGAGTTGCGCCAGGCGCTGCCGGAAGCGGTGACACGGGCCGTGCAACAGCCTGATGTGATGAAGGTCATGTCAGACGCGGTGGCTCAGAAACTATCTTCCCAAGTCGAAAGTGAAATGTCCAGGGCCTTGCACAACACGATAACCCCCGCATTCAAGAATCTCTCTCTCCGAGCTGCTGAAAAGATTGGGGCCGATATGGAGAAGCAGGTGCAGGTTCAGATGAAGCACTATGAGATCCAGCGCCACAACGACTCCGCGAAGATCGATCAGCTGACTACCCTCGTGCGAAGCCTTTCGGACACCGTGGCTTCGATGGCAGCGGCCCAAACTGGCTTTCAGAATGAGGTCCTAAGACTCAACCGCGTTCTGGCTACTCGACAGAGCCAAGGAAGTGCACACAGTTCACGGCAGCCCTCGCTTGCCGGCGCGCCTGCACCCGTGGTCGAGTCGAGAACTCCGGAGGAGGTGGAGCTGATTGAAATTACTCAATTGATGCGCGAAGGCAGATACGAGGAGGGTTCCGTCAAGGTTTGTGGTCTCTTTGAAAACCGACCCATTTGGCATTGCTAACATCTTTGTTACTATAGTGGCTTCAATCTACCCAGCAGGCCGATCTGTTTGATAACCTCTTCGTCCGCTTGAACCCTGCATACTTGACCAGCCTCTCCCCAATTGTCGCTCTGTCCGTTGGTGTTGCGGTCACGTCGTCTTTGCAGACCAATGTTGCGGAGCGTCTCACGTGGCTGGAGGTCGTTTTGCAAACTGTCAATCCAATGGTATGCTGAATTCATAAACTGTATCGGCATCTGATTCGCTAATCCTTTTTTTTTTTTTTTTTCCTCTTGGTTTAGGACCCCGACATTCGTGAAGTTGCACCCAAGATTATGGACATCCTTACACAGAGATTGGAGGCCCTCTACATGGCCATTGCCGAAAACAGCCCTCACGATCCTATCCTTCGCAAGATCCCACCACTTTCGCGCCGTGCTCGAGAGCTTCGTGGACCTTGAAATAGACTCGATACACTAATGGGTTAAACTGCCTTGGTTCATCTTGATGATTTATTGAAGGTACAGGCAAAAAAAGACCGCGCATAATAATATTTTCTTCTTTGTCTTTCTGGCTCATATTTGATGATGTGACACGACATCAAATGGGTGATGGAGATGAAGGCAAGGCGATATGACGAATTTTGCTCTTTTGTACTCTCGCATATTGGCGAGGGGGTTTTTGTTTCTTTTCTTTTTCTACTTTTTTCTTTTCAGCAAAAACAAAAAAAAGAAGGCGTTCTCCATATCTCATCTTCTCTGAATGGATGAGATATTGCTGGCAGAAATAGCTTCTTGGTCTTTTTCTTTTGTTTAGAAATGATGGACGCGAAATGATGATTGCTGAAATGGCTGGAGCTAGCAGTTGATCTTCTATGGCTCATCGTTAATCTTATGAATAATGCATTTACTATGATTTTACTAGTTGCTCTATTTAGTTGCTCATTGAGGCCAGTTCCATTTCGTCCTTTCTATCCATTCTTCGAACGTACTTGCCCTTACTCCCAGGTCTCTCCAAGACGTATCATCGTCAGGATTTATAGTTCCATAAGCGATCTTGTTCTTCGGCGCCACGACGGTCCACTCCATCTGCCTGATATCATCCTCATAACCCTTGCCTGTGGCCGCAGCAACGGTAGAACCCCACTCGTCCAAAGTAATAGGATCGAATACAGCTTTCTGCGATGTCACGCTTTCGAAGATTGTAGCGAGTTGGGCGAAGGGGACCTTCGGACTGGTGACGGGGTATATCTTGGAGGCGGTTTTCTGGGGGCCTTGAACGAAGATTTCTTTCCTCTGTCAATAATTCGGAATACATATACTCATGTTATAATATGAATCAGCTCACCAGCAGCATAATTCCCTATATCGTAGGCGGGATCGACCCAATCGGCCAATGTGTCCCCTGGTACTGGGGGGCAGAAGCGAACAATTCCATCAGCTGGGTTGTTAGTATGTATCCACTAGCATTATATATATGGAAGTGTCTCCAACCTTGTCGTCGACAATATTGCGGCCATTGCATATTCGAATAAAAGTATCCTATTTTCCGGGTCAGTGGATAGGCATCACTGGATAGACGACGGAAGAAACCAACCAGGATGCAAGCTAGTAATAGCATATAGCTCTTCTCTCGCCCATTTTTCGATTTGATTTTTATGATCGAAATGATACACTTTGGTGAAACGACCCTGACTTGCCTCGGCGATGTTGGGGAGACTGCTCATGACGACATGAGAGATGTGGCAGGCCTATTCTCATTATAAACAATCAGACCCAACGATCAATTTAGACCTTTCAAGAAAGATGAAGTACTTTGGCAGCATCAACGATATTCCTCCCTGCTACCAGCTCATGTCTCATTTCTTCTTCCGTTTGAATCAATTTGCCCGGGATCCGATTATTCGTGACGGCGAACATACCGTCAGCCCCTTCGAAAGCCTGACGAAGGGATTCGACATTATACACGTCTGCAGGAATAAGTTTCAATGCATCGTTATTTGGATAGGATGCTTTTAGACGCTGAGCCGAGGCCGAGTGGACGTCGCGAGTGAGAGCGTGGATAGTGAATGGAGGGGATGCTGGGTTGTCTTTATTTTTCTGGAGAAGAGCACGGACAAGACCGCCTCCTTGATTACCTGTAGCGCCTAAGATGGCGATGGTTTTGGATGAGTTGGATGGATGGGTTGGAGACATTGTGGGTGTTGGAGGATGTCTCGGCGACGATGCCATGGATGGCGATGTCGATATACTCCGTCGAACCCAAGGATTTCAAAGCAGAGTGGAGAGAGTTCCACTTTTCAAAGTGCAATGCATTGGACTCCATTGCTTTTCAGGGGCACTGGAGGTAAATAACCCCCCATTGAAAACGTGGAAATCCATCTTAAAAATGAGAACAATAAACTCAGAGTTCAGTCCTGGTCCCTCCATCGGACACAAGTCCGACGCGGATTTAGGCTCCCCTGCACGACGAGACGAGATGAATTCACCGCAACTGCTCGAAAAGAGGGGGCATTGCAGACGACGATCATCTTTTTCATTCCGAGTCTAGAGTCGAGCACTTTTCTTTCCAATACAATACTCATCTTCTCCCATCGACCACGTCTCCATGAAGTCGAAAGAGAGAGAACGCCGCCATGTGCGAACGTCGTCCCACCCTCGAGTCTCGCCAGAGAAGAGATGCTCCAAAAGCACAAACCGTCTGTTACTGATCCTTATCCCCGTGGCTCATGGGCCCATGGAATCATCTACTGACAGTCTTTCTCATAGCAAATGGCCGACACATGACCAAAGTGCCCTCGGTTTTGTCGACTCACCCACTGGATAGTATGATCTCGACTGTTGAGGAAATCCTGGGCCCAACAGAGATACAACAACCACGGAACAGTTGGGACTGTACATTTTTACGCCCAGTCGACCCCCTCCCTTTCGACACATATCAGTTCTTGGACCGTAAAGGGGCGTTCAGAATCCCCATTGCACCGGTTCGTGGAGAGATCCTTGTGGCGTATATCAAATGGGTTCACCCTCTATGCCCCCTCTTCGACCTAGCAGAATTCCTTGATGATGTCGTCAAATCTCGGGAGGGCAGATCCCCTAGTCCTCTACTATATCAAGCAGTCCTGTTTGCAGGGAGTGCCTTTGTCGATTCTTGTATAGTTCAGGAAGGCGGTTATACCTCTCGTAGGGAGATGAGAAAGTCTCTGTTCGAAAAGACCAAGGTTTGGATAAACCACTCTTCTATTCCATAAAATGGAGTCTGACTTGGACAGTGGCTGTATATTCTTGACACAGAATCCGATGCAGTGCGTCAGATCCAGGCTCTGCTGCTCATGACTCACTGGCATGAGGTCGAGGACGATAGCCACAAAGACCCCGACTACTGGCTTTCCCTCGCACACGGCAAGGCACAAGCAGCTGGTCTTTATCCGCCCTTTGATCGCCATCAACATCTTTCTATCAAATTCCAGCGGCGCTTGTGGTCATGTCTGTACCTTCGTGACAGGCTTATTTCTCTAGGTGTCCGACGGCCTCCACGAATTCAAGACAGTCCAGCTCCTATCATCGAGATAGAAGACCTTAACATCGAGGCATATTCATCCGATATTCAAGATGCCCTACCATATTCTACAGCACGATTCCTAACGCCCGAGTTTCAAGCTCACTCCAATCTCTTATACATAGAGAAGATCAAATTGGCCGCATGCGTGGGCGAAATCCTCGATGGCCTTTTTCAACTCTCCCTAACCCACCACCCAAACGATCATTCCCCATCCCTAACTCTCATCCCAGCCCAACCATCTCCAGCACCAGCAATCCAAAAATGCTCTTTCCTTCTACAATCCTGGTTCGAATCTCTTCCCGGAGCAGCTCGTTTCTACCCGCCCTTCCCCGACCTGCCTCACGACAGTGACTCTGCTTCAACCGTGCTCCTGATCCACCAGGCCGATATCTATTTACTCTATCTAGCCGCCATGGCTGCATTCTATCTCTGTCTTCGTTCGGCTGTACATGCAGAAACCAGACTTCGTAATATAGCGTCGGAGATTACAAAAACTATATCTGAATTACGTTCTGCGAGATTACAGCTCTATCTCCCTGGAACTTCGATTACGGTTTTGCTCTTTGCAACAGCTACGCATTTGTTGGATTTGGCGTCTGCATCTGGTGCCGCTTATTCGTCTTCGTTGCTACTTTTGAAGGAATGTGCAGAGAGTGCAGAGGAGTTGGGAGAGATCTATCCCCGGGCTAGTCTAGTCGTTTCGTTCACTTCGGCTGGTCTTGAAAAATATTCCAGGAATACTGCTATGTCAGGTAGATCTCATCGTATATAGAGCTGGTTTCTTTAAGTCCAACCCTTGGAGTATAGTATCTGAATGAAAAGCGACAGTTGTGAATATTGTATATTGATGAAACGCTTTGTTATGTGTACACTATATATGCTCTATATCCTCTCATGCATGAAATGCAACCCCCTTCTCTCCCTCTATCCCCTCCTCATCTAATGGCTGACTTTCCTCAACAAACTCGAACCCCAGGGCCCGCCAGTTCAGCTCCTTTCTCCAATGCAACCCGTAGTATTTCCGATTTGTTCGAGGATCAATCGATTTGTCCTTTGTCCCCTCCGGTTCATCATATACCTCCGGTTCTGCCTCGTCGTCATCTGCGGTGGGGGAGATGACAGGTTCCGATGCCAACCCCCCTGTAACTAAGCGTCCTTTCCGAGAGAAAATGACCGCGCGGAATCGCGAGAGAAGCAGACCCATTGAGCAGCATACACAAGGCTCGTGGGTGAGATATACGTCAAGATCGGAGCAGAGGTAGCCGCCCTGGGAACGAGAGCGAATGCGCGGGGGCGCTTCCGAATCCTCGTCGGCCGTTTTGGTGATAGGAGCAGCAGTGGTGCTGCTGGTTTTCTGGAATTTTTCTGGAACAGGTGATGGGTCTTCCGGGTCGAGTAAGAATGGCGAAGATGTATCTGATTGGGAGAGGAAATGCGTTTCCAATGCGTTTATATACGGTTTATCAATCGATGATGTCGATGTTATCGTTGGGTCTGCTAATTCATGTTCTTCCCGTCGTTTGCGAGCGACCATATCTACAGCACGCATCAAGGCGTGTAGTTCCGGCCCTCCCTCCAAGTCTGCGTTGTATGTCTTGCTAGCCGGGTTTGGCCCAGTTCCAAGGTGTAATTCCGATTCCGATAGAGCACCCGCCTCTCGTCGTGAATATCGAGCATCTCCTGCAACGGCAACGACAGCCTGCGCCCATTGAGTACCGCTGCCATCGTCTATCGTAGCCTCAATCGATGGATCGACCACCACAGCTCCCACCCCACGGCCATAACCAGACTGCTCTGCCCCTTCAGCTACTTTCTGAGCGAGTGCTAGATATTGTCCTGCTCTCTGGATCGATTCCTGGGTCCGATTCAGAATCTGAGGCGGCGGAGCGATGTTGGCTCGGGGTGCAGACGGGTTGAACACGACAGGCCACACCGTTTTAGACCATCTCTCCGCTTGGCGGTTGTTCATAGGCGGTTGGAGGGGAACCCGGATAGTATGGAAGCGGATCGTGGGCGGATCCTCTGGTTGGGCATTTTCTGGTGGGGGAGGGGCAAACGGGGCCAGTAAGGCCTGAAGCTTTTCTTTGTCGGGGACAGGAGGCGAGATCAAGACGAAAATAGTCTGCGGGGATGGGTCTCCTTTCAGAACGGTTGACAGGAGCGGCTCTGGCAATTGATCACGTCTTCCAAAACGACGGAGGTGGTTGAGGGAAAGGGAGGAGTCGCGAGGAAAGGCCGAATCAAGAGCTCTGGCGATTGTTAGCAACTTGGATATAGAATCCAAGGCGAAAGCTCACTTGATGACTTTCGAGGCACATTTCACATTCACTTCTGCTACATATGCGTCGGCTGAAGATTGTTCTGTTAGCCTGATTTTTGCCCCGTTTTTTTCTTTTTTTTTTTTTTGGTACCCCGATTAATGGCACATACCAAACTCTTCAGATGCTTGGGTCTCTTGTACTGTTTTGATGGGAATAATCTGTCCTGAATAAGGCTGCAGGCCACCCAGAATATCCTGCACCTCCATTGCTTCGGCCATTACCTGTCTTGGGGGTTGTTCCCCAGAGGAAACTGCACTGGGATCGCGGGGTATAATTCCGACTTCAGAGGGAGGCTTTGAAGAAAGTTCCTGAGCATCCGCGGCATTACTCATTTTCAACAGAGAATGTCTTGGTGGAATGACTTCATGACCAAGAGCCACTTGTCAGCTGGAGATGTTTCGATGATCCGCGATCCATTCAATTCCCATGGATCGCAGATAGCCCAGACCGAAACCCTGTACCCTATGACCTAAGCCCTTGTATTACTATTTCGGGTCTAGTTCCTGATAACTATGACAGTATGTACTCCGTAGAGATACTGAGGTATACTTGAATAGTCTACCGACATGAACCAAATGAATCTGATTTTATTATTTCGAACAATTTTCCACCATGCCAGCTAAGTTCCAAACGCCCCAAAGCATTTAAAATTGAACAATGAAAAGAAATAAAAGGAGAAAAACAAGAAGAAATACTACCTGTGAATCGAAGCCCCGTTCACCGGTTAGCTGGTTGTATGTATAGAAACATCGCCATATCTCCTGTATATGTACTGTATGGGCGGGGAGAAGATGACAACAGATGCCACTGATCCAACCGTGATCATAGAACCCAGGTTCGCTGGAAACAGTGATTCGACCACAAGACCCCGAAATCTCCCGGTGCCTGCATGCCAATTGGAGATGTAAAGTGTATGCCATAAATTATTCCCCGCGCTGAATCTCAAATCCATCGCATCTCTCGACCAGACTCTGGTAGTAATCCACAAGAACCTCTGGTTGGGGCACGATTCGCCATTCGACCCGGAAGAGGAATTCCAGCTCTAGGAGAGCCAGTTCGTTCAAGCTAATACCACCGACTCGAGCATAAGTTTTGTTGGTCCAGAAACTGTCACTTAAGCCTTTACTGGCAACTGTGGCGCTGGCGATGAGGAATCGGTGAATGGTCAGACTGGAGACAGTGAATGCTGGGTATAGAGCGCATAGTCGGTCGATGTAGTACACCATACTCAGCAGGATGGGTGGCGAGAGGGTGGCATGGGTAGTGAGTCGTTGCAGGTAGTCGTGAACAGAGATCCGGGGCGGAGACCGGGAGTGGAACCGCGTCAGGCGACCTTGATGCAGGGGGATCTTATCGTTAAACCGAATCAGCTCCATCAGCATGCTAGAGATCAAAACGACAATGTCACGGGAATCAGCCTCCTCGTAATTTTCGGGCAGCCTCTTGACATCGGGCTTGGAGGGCCTCAGTCGCTTCGACTGGGAGCCCTCCAGATCTGAGGCCCCTGACCGTCCCGCAAGTGAAGCATTGACAATGTGGTCGTCCTGGCTGTTCCGCTTATTGGAGCCCGTGTTACTGGGGGCGGGCATTGGAGGAGGGGAGGAGCGAGCAGGAGGGTTGGTAGAAGTAGAGGCAGGGATCTCGGAAGGACGCGAAGAGTTGGTGGCGACCACTGCAGTTGAGTTGGAGGAATTTCCGCCCCCATGGGTGGTCAGCCCAGCGGAGAATCGGCCGCGGGGGAGATCCCCAGAGGGCCCGGGAGAAGAGGGTTCAACGGTATGTCTGGTCAGAGCTGATCGAAGCTCTTCAATGGCCAGGCGGGAAGAATGCGGACTGAACTTAGGCGCAGTAGTAGAGTGACCGGCAGGCTCATACTGTTGATGAGACGACGGAGGGGGCTGATGAGCGACACCCACGGCGGCCGAAGAATGAGGATGAGAGTGGGAATGCGGATGATGGTGATGGGGATGAACAGGAGGAGAGGAGGAAGGAGGGTGAAGGGATGGTGAGGGCGAGGAGGCTAGCATCTCCGCTCACCAACGAGCGCACCACGTGGGCGCACTGAACGGTGTGCAACGACGGAGCTGGCAGACGCTGCGAAACCTTGTGCTGCTTCTGAGGATAGCGTGCACAGACGCATCATGATCTGCGAATTTCAGCTCTGAAAAGAGACTGAAGTCGATGGTAGTGTCGGAGGTGAGGGTAACACCAGATTTGAGTATGATGATGATAGAAGAGAAGAAAGAAGGGGAAAGAGGGGAAGCAATCGAAAAGACCCAGAAAAATCCAAGGATACAAAGAGGCTGTAAACGTCTGTATTTCGACAGTCAGGAGGAAAAGAAAAAAAACAGGGAAAGGACTGAAATAGGGGGATTTACAAAAGGTCCACCAATGAGGATTGACATTGAAAAGAAAGAAGTGGGGATAATACAGGGCGTGACAGTATTCAGATACAGTCGGCACCAAATCCGGGTAAATGTTTACCACACGGTAACTTGTACTGTATTTGTATCCTCATCCATCCATTCTGTCCAGGCAGGAAAACCAGAGATTATTTAAGATTGATATGAGGTGAGAGTTGCTAGTGGGATCGATGAATTCCCTATTATGCTCTGGTTGGATTTGATAGGACCCTGCAGGTGGGATGACGGATGCATACATAAGTTCAATCATCATCATTCCTTAGCCACGAGTCAAATAATCAGAAACACATGGGGGTTCAGCTACGGGGGGTTAGATATTCATGGTGAAACATTCCATATTACAGGGGTAGATAAATGATATTAATACTGAAAAAAGGCTTACCCCACTGTAGTGTACCTTCCATGAGGAATACTAGATTGCATCCCCATCTGATTGCCCCCAATGTCTCGTACCTTAATTACTCACGGTTGCTGAGTAGCGGGATTACGCATTCACAGGGCTGAGTCACGTGTAAGACTCTGCTGAGTGCTGACTCAGCATCAAGGTCACATGCTGTCACATGAGACTAGATGCCGGAAGCGGCAACTCTGCCGCATCACCGCATGCTGTCGCTGCTGCTGGCTATCTTCGAGTCCTCTGGGAATGAAGAGCGATGTCTCAAACTGCCTGCAGCTCGCCTCGATTCTTCTAGACTCTTTAGGTATCATCTCCATATCGACTTCTCCTCGACAATTCTGATTCATCGCTTTTCTCGACATCCAGTCCAACACTCCAACCGCATAACTAACTATCCATCTTCTTGTCTCCTCCGTCCAGTAGCTAGCTGTACGAAACCCCTCTCCTGAACCGACAGCTTTCATCCAGAGTCCCCCTCGCCCAGCTCTTTTTTCCTTGCTTTGCTTTTCGTTTGAATCATTTGGATCTCAGTTTATCCAACTGCTATATACTGCCGTCTGTTTCTCGATTTCCGTAATTTACTGATAAAGTGATCACAGAGTACCTCCCGCCGGAGGCGGTGATCTTCGGCGGACGATGACGCGCGCCTCAGCGCCTCCACTTCTCCTCCAACTCCAGAGCGCAGAATCTATATCATCTAAAGTCGCTACTCTTCGAGCTTTGAAAAACGAGACTATTGGTCATGATCAGCGCAAGGAGGCCTGGATTGGATGGGGCATCGTCCCCATCCTGGCCGAGATTCTTGCTTCGAGACCATCGTGTGGGGGCTCCGAGCTGAATGGAGGAGCCAAACCCCAGAAATCATCCACCACTAGGTCAGAGGAAGATGAGGCTTGTATGCAGGCAATTACTATCCTCGGTAGTTTAGCACAAGGTATTTTTGCCTCACTCCGGAATGAAGATCCGAAAAGATTCTTGGTTGTACAGAAGTAAAACAACCCCGAAACAACTACTGACCTCTATTATAGGCGGTGCGGCCTTTCTCTCTCCAATCCTGTCCAGCGGCATTCTCTCGATACTGCTCTCCATTCTCTCGTCATCCGATTGTTCTTCATTTTTCTGTCTCCCTATCCTCCGAACCCTCAACACCATCGCCGATCGACTACCACTGCAAAGCCAACCCCAAGGGCCTCAGGATGCGCGCCTCGCCGAATTATTGTTTTCCAAAGAGCATGTTGGGTGTTTAGCACGGATTATTGGGCAAGACTACAACTCCTACAAAGTACAAGCTTCAATTGAACTTGCTGCATCTCTCATCGGGAAACTTTGCAAGGAGGATGCCCACAAGGCGCTTCTTGCCGACTGCGGAGTTCTGGATGCCTTGGCAATAAAAGTGGCTTCCTTCGTGGTCTCCCAGGGCTTTGTTTTGCCGGGTGCGGAGGAGCATGTGCAGGAACCCGGTGGTCTGGGCGCACTGCCATCTCCCGCCCCTCCTAGGGCTAAGCTGGCACCAATCCTCCGCGCAGTTACCGTAATAATCGAGCATTCCAAATGGCGGGGGGAACACTTCCTTTCGTCACCAGGAATTGTTACCGTATTCCCCAAACAGCTGCCCGAATTTGCACCGGCCGACATCAAACGAGGTCCTTGGGGCTCAACATACCTGTCTGGATCTGCGGTGCCACGCCACCTCGGTGCAAGTCCAGTCGAGTATCTACTGCCATCAGTTCCATTATCGCAACTAAAGACCTCTGCGAGCGCGACCAATTTTCCGCCTCTGGGTCCTCAGGGAACTCACCGCCGCCACAGCCAACCCTTCCCCACCCCTCTTTCGCTATTCGATTCGTCGGGTGCCGATGATGATGAAAACGCCATCGTGCCATGGTTGCTATACATTCTCCGTGAAGAGACCGGCATGGTCCGCTTGATGGCAGCCCGCCTCGTTACCGTCCTGTTCCGCCTGGGTCTTGCCAAGAAGCACAGGGTGTCGATGCTAGGTTACCTGGTGATTCCAATTCTCATTAGGATGCTCGATAAGGACTATGAAATTCTAGGTGAAGAAATTGTCGAGTTTGGTGGGCTACCCCCTTTGACTGATTGTCTACGGGAGGAGGCACCAGCGGTACTTGCCACTTTGGTGATTGATGATCAAGAATTACAGAAACATGCGGTGGAGGGGGGTGCGATCAAACGGCTTTCTCAGCTTCTCAAGGAGTCATACAACCCTTTACAGGAGAGTACAAAGGCGATGTGGCATGCAGATAGTGATGAGGAAAATAGCCACGAGCCCAAAAAGCAGCAGCCAGAGTGTCAGCTCGGCCCCCCAGGATACTCGCCTACTCACTGCCATGTCATGCGATACCGAGAAAAGATTCTCAAAGCCCTCGCAGCTTTGATTCCTTTTAAGGATGATTATCGAAAGGCAGTTTGCGAGAATGGTGTTGTGCCTTATATTATAGACTCGCTCAAGCCATGCTCGGCTGATGCACCAACCGACACATCGAATCCGAAAAATACCGTTGCGGATGGCAATCCGACACCAACTTTACTGGCTGCGTGTGGAGCTGCGCGTATGCTTACTAGATCTGTCAGCGTTTTGAGAACCAGTTTGATCGATGCCGGCGTTGCGACACCCTTGTTCGTCTTGATTCAATACCCAGATATCGAGGTGCAGATCGCTGCAACCTCGGTAATATGCAATCTCGCTTTGGATTTTAGCCCCATGAGGGAGGTATGTTTCTTCATTCCCTCGAGCATATATCCCCTTCCAGTGCACTGATGGTTTTACAGGCGATCATCTCGGCCGAGATTCTCCCCATCCTATGCGAGCATGCACATTCATCCAACACTAAGCTTCGGATTGAATCTCTTTGGGCACTGAAGCATGTGACTTACAACTCAACCAATGATATCAAGTTCAGGATCGTCGACTCTTTGGGACCTGGGTGGATCAAGCAAATCATCATGCAGGATCCGACGACCGCCTTGGCCAGGAGAGGTGTGAATGAAGAGACGGACACTAGCACCGCGGTTGGAATGGGTCGAGCTAATTCGGCGGGCGAACGAGTCGACCTTTTAAACCCGGTTGAAGACTCCCAGGAGCTAGATGAAGATTCCAAAATGACCGACAGCATGCCATCGTCCAAGGTGAGTCTGGAAATGTTCCTTCCAGACACAACCCGGCGGCGCAAGCTGGCTCTGAATGGCGATTTGGATCAGACTACTCAGGCTCGACAAGACGATATCGCCGTGCAGGAACAGATTTTTGACTTGCTCCGAAACATCATCTGCGGGCCAGGCTCCTCAGAGATGGTGGATTACCTTTTTAAGGAGATCGGGGAGGATGATATTTTGGAGGCATTAGCGGATAAATTGCGTCCCCGGACCATTCACCTTCCCCATCGGCGGGACTCACCCTCTGGCCGCGCACTTCACGCGCCGACGGAGATTTTGATTGCTGTCACTTTTGTCATTATTCATCTGGCGGCCAGTCTCCCGCGGTATCGACAACTGCTAATGGCCCATCGGGATCTTCTATGCTCCCTCATGGGCTACTTCAACCACAGTCATCGCGACGTGCGGGTCAACTGCGTCTGGGTCGTAATAAACCTCACATATGCTGACAGCCAAAGCGACAAAGAGGCCTGCCGCGAGCGGGCGATGAAGCTGCGGTCAATTGGGGTGTTGGATCGGCTGAGCAGTCTGGAGGACGATCCGGACCTTGATGTGCGAGAGCGAAAGAGAACAGCAGAGTTTCAGATTACAAATTTGTGCGGTGCATAGCGATGTTTATATGATTTTCATTTTGCTCTTGGATCTTTTTCTATCTATGTGGCATGGACAGCGCTGGGAATGGATAGCCTGACATTTGAGGCGTTGGGAGTGTTGTATGTACAAAGACATCATGGGCAGAATAGCTACATGAAAAATGCGCTGGGCTGCCAAACCTTTCTCAATTTTATTCATACATTTCTCGTAGAGAAGTGCTCGGAATATGTACTCTGCATCACATACACGATCCTATCTGCTATCTTATCGATAAGACCCGGTGGAGACTCGACGTCATCCAAGCGGCGTTGGGGTTGAAATCATTGCAGTCTTCCTGTCTTGATTTCAATTTCCAACTACTTTCTACTTCCCTAGCCACCTATCCTCATTCCCAAAATTCAAGCCATAATATAACTTCTCTACTTGAACAATGGCACCAGTCCCTGCCTCATTGCTACGTGCCCTGTCCCTCCCCGACCCCTCCAAAGCCAGCCTGTCCACCGCAGGCCTAGGCTCTGGATTTACCAGTACAGGAGCCATACGTGCCCAGGTCCCTGCCACCGATGGACAAGGCGAAGAGGAGCGACGATACTTTGTCAAGACCTCATCGGACGGAAAAGCCGCAGAGGAAATGTTCCGAGGCGAGTACGAATCATTGAACGCTATCGCAACATCAGTACCGGGCTTCTGCCCACGAGCCCTGGCATGGGGACCTTTGGAAGAAGGTAATGGAAAGAGCTTCTTCCTCGCAACTGAATTTCTCGATTTGGGGGTGGGAGGAAATCGGACAGGCCAATCCCTCGCCCAAAGACTGGGCCAGTTACATTCCACGCCCGCGCCATCAGATCCGCAGACGGGCAAGCGCAGATTCGGGTTTCCAGTCCCAACCTTTTGCGGCGACACAAAGCAACCTAACAAGTTCCATGATTCCTGGGCGGATTTCTACGCCAATGAACGACTTTTGACGATTCTCGAAACGTCAGAACAGCGTAACGGGAAAGATGGTGCTCTGCGGGATTTGGTCGAGAAGACAACACGCACTGTCGTCCCGGCACTGTTGGGTGACGGACATTTGGGATATGACCGGAATGGCAACGGAGAGGGCATCACGCCCGTGGTGATACATGGAGATCTGTGGAGTGGGAATGCAGACCAGGGAAAGATCGTGGGCAGCGGACGAAAAGAAGACGAGCAGGTGGGAGAGGTCGTCTACGATCCATCTGCCGTATATGGGCATAGCGAGTTTGAATTGGGCATTATGAATATGTTTGGAGGCTTTGGTTCGTCATTCTTCAGTGCCTATCATAAGGTTGTACCCAAGACGGAGCCAGTGGAGGAGTATGAAGATCGAGTGCGGTTGTATGAACTGTGAGTTGTTCTTTTGACGATATTGCTTGGTATTCACGATGTTCATCGCTAATCTCTGAAGATACCACCATCTGAATCACCATGCCATTTTCGGGGCTGGATATCGGTCGGGTTCTGTATCCATCATGCAAAAGTTGATCAAAAAGTACGGCAACTAGATGATATATGCCGGTTTCGATTGATAGCGTTATGTTGGCCTAAACTATTTACCATGGCAATATATGCCAACGTCTATAGATATTGGTTTTCTTGATATTTATGTTGTGCAACGTCAATTAATAAAGGGTATAAATGAGAATATATTCGATGATCATGCGGGATTTCATTCTTGAATTAATAAGATAGATGGCATCACACCATTACAATCCTGTTTTTGCTTATCATCAGTTGTCGATGACACCATAACTGAGTCAGCAGCCTGCTATGCAACTCCAATTCATCTATTGAGACAACTTTTCTTCTTCAACTCTTCCATTCGATTATTATCTCTTCGTCCAGAATGCCTTCTCATCCCGATGCCAATCTTCACCCTGAAGCAACAGGTCCAGCAAAAGTGCTGGTAGATAAACACAGTGCAGAGCAGCCGTTGAAGTTATATGCGGGGTGGTTCTGTCCGTACGTTATTTGAAATCATCGTCTCATTTCTACCGTTGCTAACGAAATCATAGATTCGGTATGACAATTTGACAACTCTCCCATCATATCCTCTTGGCCTGAAAAACTAACTACCGGTCCAGTCCAGCGAGTCTGGCTCGCCCTCGAGGAGAAGCAGATTCCTTACCAATACATCGAGGTCAATCCCTACAACAAACCGCAATCTCTCCTCTCCCTGAACCCCCGTGGCCTCGTTCCAACACTATCCTGTCCATCTCAGATAGACGGTGGTGTTTCTAAGCCCCTCTACGAATCTACCGTCATCCTCGAGTACCTCGAAGAAGCTTACCCAGACCACAAACCACATTTTCTACCTAGCGGTCCCTATGAGCGAGCACGATCCCGTATCTGGATCGACTACGTAACCTCACGGATTATTCCGGCCTTCCATCGCTTTCTCCAGTATCAACCACAGTCAAAGGATGAAGATCCATCTGCTGGTATAGAAAAAGTCCGACAGGAGTTCCTTGGCCACTTGAAGGAGTGGACCAAGGAGATGCACCCTGAAGGCCCTTTTTTCCTAGGCAAAGACATTGGACTTCCAGACCTGGTGCTTGCACCATGGGCGGTCCGCTTATGGGTGTTCAATGAGTTCAAGGAGGGAGGAATTGGGATTCCTGATGAAGGGCAAGATGCAGCGGATGCGGGAGTTTGGGATCGATGGAGGAAGTGGATCAAGGCCGTTGAGGCGCGGAGAAGTGTTAAGGAGACGACAAGTGAGAGCGAGTTCTATCTTCCCATTTACCGACGATATGCAGAAAACACGGCCCAGAGTGAATTGGCCAAAGCCACCAGGACTGGACGAGGAGTGCCATGATGGATGCTTCATGGCAAGATATAGTTCATGTCTGTTCCGGTCACGGTGATGATATTGCCTATATTTGGATTGAGCATGCTAAATATAGGAATCTGTTTCATCATATCTACGGAATATTAAATACAAAATATAAATTCAAATGCGAAAATCTACAAATTCGAGAGCTGCAAATTCACGTAATTTATGTATTGTAATGTAACGAATGCGACCCGGAGAAACGATGCTCCTCACACGTGACTCCATCGCATATGATTCCCATCCGGCATCCATCATTAAAACGAATTCCACGCCAGAAGAGCCATTCCTCTGCACCGCATCATGGCCCCGGAGAAGAAGGATGGCTCGGGCCATCTGGGCCCAGAGTCTACCATGCCGGACCCTCCTTCCATCCATCCTTCTTTCATCCAGGTAGCTAAGCCGTATATCTTCGAGCAGACCATTCAGAACTGTATTGCGGCCATGGGGGTTAATCCTCTGCGCGAGGAAGCTTTGCGTCTACAGGGCGTAACTTGGATTGACAATGTGCGCAAGGCGCTTCATCTGTATGCTTACAGCAATCCCCTTTTTGAACTTTGGGTGTTTTTTTGTTCCATCACTAACTATTTAGACCTATCCGAACTTTTAATACGGCCGTGGTGTATTATCACAAGTTTCGGCTGGTGCACCCCGATAATGAATATAACTATATGGTAGGGTTATGTTTATTTTGTGTTTTCATTGATGGTGGATTCTGACTTCTCAAGGATGCCGCTGCGGCTGCTTTGTTTACTGCCTGCAAGATCGAGGATACCCTCAAAAAGTCACGGGAGATTGTCTGTGCCGCATACAACCTCAAGCTCTCGCCATCAGAGCATATGGCCCCCGACGATCCGGTTTGTCATTGCGATCTCTTCGATTCATTCAATGCTTTGGACCTTCAAAGTGATGCTGACTGATTCTCAGGTTTTCGAGGTCCACGCTAGGGGTATCATCGGGCTCGAGAGACTCATGCTCGAGGCTTCAGGCTTTGATTTTCGAACACGTCATCCGCAAAAGGTTCTGGTCAAGCTGGCTAGGAACTACGGCTTGACGTTGAAATCGGAGGTGTCCAACGTGTCCTACCGCATTTCGCTGGACCTTTATCGAACTTTTGCACCCATTAAGCAAACCACTTCAACGATGGCATTTAGCTGCCTTGAACTTGCTGGCCGTCTACTTGATCAACGCCTGGAAGCTGTCGAGTCGGGAGTGGACTACGGGCAATGGAAGACAAGTCGGGAAGAGATCATGGGTATGTCTACCATGTGCCTTTGAAGAAATACCGGGGAAATAAACACTAACAACGCATAGAAACTCTTTTCGATCTCCTGGAGCTATACACACACCAACGTGGAGCAACATCGGTTGGGCCGCATTTCCCCGCCGATCGATTTCTCACCGTCCGCATTCCTCTGAACCAGGAGGCAGAGGCGCAAAGATACCCCCGTCACACGCAATGGACAGACCAGAACAAGGATGAAAGGGCTTCCAACGGATCGAGAGGCATTAAGGATTTCGGCATGCCGGACAAGGGAGGCTTGGTTCATCCCTTGACCCCTGTCTCTGCGAATGGGGAGAGGCCCAGGGTCGGCGAACGAGGCCGAGACGGGGCGGTTCGCTTCATGCTGGATCCCGAATGTGCCGATTCAGAGAAGTCGCGGGTCGCCGAATACTTCAAGGTCGAAATGGAGGAATACGAGGTGGAAGAATGAATTGTTCGACCGGGGCGGAATGTTCGACATTGAATCTAATGCATGGCATTTTGCTAGCGGACATGCCAGTGGCGATATACGAGGCCGATAAGCTACGTCCTTTCAGCTGGCGCTCTTCCGGTCAGGGATGGCCACACCAAGCCGCTGCTTCAGCGCCGGCGCCAGCGATATCTGCATGAGACTCCCGAGTATAGAGCGGTACTACTGCAACGGTAGAGGCAGAGCTACGCCAACTCCCGCGCTTCAATCGAGCCATATGTGTGCTTCATGGGGTGTCCTAACAAGGACGAGATGGAAACGTGAGAGATACCAGTCCTAGGAACGGTCCTACTCGGAGGAAAGGTTGGACCTGGATGAAAGGAGAGTCTTGGAACTTCCATGGCGCGAGTATAGGACGGATATCGGGCCGGGGCAATTCTCAGAATTGGATAAGCATACTCCGTATATATCAATGAAATAGAGATAGAACCTTGGTTATCAGCGTGCTGTACTACGCTTTGACAGCTTGAGTGGCTATAGAAAGGAACAGTCTAATACGTGAAATGTAAACTCCAATAATCAATCATCCAAACACCCCCACAGCTCATCAACTATTATATTTGAATTTATATATAATCGATCGATTTTACACTTCTGTCACAACCAGAGCACACATCCTCAGCCCATCCCCCCTCTCCATCCTCCCTTCCCGCAAGTGGAAAAAAAGAGTACAGGAATGGAAGCAGAAGGCCAAAAAAATACATAAGAAACAAGAAGATAAGAGCCTGTGTCTGACACTATTGGCTTTTTTTTCTTTCCTGACATGTATACATCAAGGACTCAATACGATGACAAGTTACAGTTCAGCACATAGAGAAACAAAAAAAAGAGGTGAGAGGGGAGAGATCTCCCATGACCTCTGGTGTAGAGTATGAAGATGGTTGATTTGTTTCGTTGGATCCGTTCCGATTGATGAGATAGATGAGAGCACCCTCAAGGTGGAAGTCTAAAGTGAAGAAGATACAATGTTAAAGGCGATTAAAAGTAATTTCCATGTTTCGCAATTTTCCGCTTCATGGGGAGGATTTAGAAGGGGAGTAGGAGGTTGAGCTCGTTATCGAAATAAAAATGGAAAAACACGGGTCGTTATACGCGCTTATTGGCGTGTGAGTTCGGTGTCTAGGCAGTTCAGGATCTAATTCGTATTAGCAAATTCCACATGTAAGGAGTAAGGGGGATGGATTGTACCGTTTCCGAGACAGTTCCCTGGTTGTACAGGTATTTGCCTAAGCCTTTAACAACCTCGAGTTGTTCTTCGATTGTGAGGCCGTTGATGGCAGCTTCCATGACATCACCAACGGTGGACTTGTACACGGCAATGAAGCTGTGGTAATACATGTAGGCAAAGAAACCCATGATGAACTGACAATCCATGCGATCGGTGATACCACCGTGGCCCGGAATAGACTCGCCGAAATCCTTGATCTTGAAAGTCCGCTTGAGTCCCGATGCGAAGAAACCTCCAAAGGGAGCGATGAGAGAGGCGAAACTCGCGAAAACCAAGATGTGGAACTGCATGGGTTCAATGTAGAAGGTACCCAATCCGGTCCACTCGGGGAATGTGTAAGGCTGGGGAACAAAGGCCGGGTTGAGAGTGCACTCCAAGCCGGTCAAAACGTTGGATCCGAGATCATTGACGGGGCAAATGAAATATTTGTAGCGCATCAGAATGTTGGTCATGAAGTAGCCGAAGATGATGGTGCAGACCCAAGCGCCAATGAATCCTTCGACAGTCTTCTTGGGCGACAGTTTGATCAGCTGGGTGCGACCGAAGGTGATACCGCAGACGTAGGCGAAGATGTCATTCGTAATAACCAAGGAAGCCGGAAGGAAGAACCAAATCATGCCCTCCAAGACGTTGTTCATAACAAAGTGCGCCTGAACAACGATCAAGTAGAGCGCCATATGTGTCCAGGCAAACTGAGTAAACTGGAACCGGTAGTGTCCTTTCTGGAGCGAGGCGACAAAGAAGACGAAACCTATATCAAATAGCGATTAGTATGAGGTACTCAAGGCACGCGGGAGTTCCGGACTTACCCATGACGTAGAGCATGAAGCTGAGGAAACGGTGGTGGGTGGCCAGAGGCAGGAGGATCTTGTCGACCAAAAGGACATGCTTGAAGTAGTAGATAACACTCTCGCCATACAAAAAGTACATGGTCGTAGCCAGGAAATACCAGTTGAGCGACTTGGTGAAACGCAGGTTCTTCTCTTTGCTAGGGACATTGGAGATGGCGATGACTTCCTTGAACGAGACAATCTGTATAGCGGTTACGATGCCAAGGATGTAGATGTGACCCGAGAACATAGAGATGAAGAAACCGGCAATCATAACAAACGTCCATATTGTTCGTGTGATGAAGGTCTGCTTCTTCTTCTCGTATTCGGATTGCTGGGGTTTCTAGGACCGGGCCGTCAGCATTCAATCCCAATCCCAACAAAACAAAGCAGGCAGCAGCAACAGCAGCAATCGGAGGGTCAATAATAATTACCTCTTCAGGAATTGTCGAGGGTTTCGAGACGTTACCATTCTTAGATGGACTGCTCGGCTCAGAGGCCGCATCGCTGACATCCGAGATACTTGGGCGGCGCTGGTCGGCGCCGGCCCGATGTTGAAACCTGACGTTCCGACGAGATTTGGACATGATGTGATGTTGATCAAAGAGAAGAAGAGAGGAAGAAAGGGGAGGCGGGAGGGGAGAAGATCCACAGGAAGAGGAGGGGAAGAAATGGACCCTAACAGGGGGGGGGAATTACAAAGATGGAGAAGCAGTAGAAGAGAGAAAGGAAGGAAAAAGAAGGGAAAAAAGACGAAGGAAGACGAAGAGAGAGAGAAAGAGAGAGATCGTCGACTAGTAAATTTTCATGTGAAGTAGCGACCGAAAGCGGTCGGGGTTGAGGAGGAGAGGATAAATAAGACCGGCAGCCACGGAGGATTCGGGGAGAATTGAGCGTGGTGATGGATTTGATCTGATCCAATGATGATGAGGATCAAATGCAAGCCGACAGAAACACGCAATCCACGCGCGATGGAGGCGTGGTGATGCTGAAGCTGAAGACGCAGAAGCAACAGGAGATGGTTGTGTTCCTCAACGAACCGGCAAAACGACGTCAGGCGTCACTTTTTCTCCTTGCGGGGAGAATCTCAACCACCTCCGTCCAGCCTTACCGGTCTCCACCACCACTTTTCGAGCACAATTGTCACTCTTTTTTATCTTTATTCTTGTTCATGGCGAGATTCAGGGCATGGAAGACGACGACGAGGATTTCTTCTCCGATGAGGGCTTCGACGATCTGCCACCGAGCACATTATTACAGCTGGAACAGAACGCGTATCGCGCCACTCAGGCTCAACGAGTCCAGAAACCATCGCTCGATGATGATGTAATTTACGAGGGAGAAAGGCCACTGGAGAATCATGTCTATCAAAACTCCGTGGTTCAGGAGCCTCACACTCGAGTCCCAGGTCCCAACAATGCCACCCTCGAGCTCCCCGCCCGTCTACACTCCGGATTGACAAATGAATATGGCACTTTGGATGTGGGAGAGCTAGATGCGGAGATTTTGAATGATGATGCTGCATCGGGAACTGCACTGGGCCAACCTGCGAATATTCCAGGCCAGTTTGGTCCTCTGCAGGATAACACCCTGGTGGAAGACGGCCGCCATGGCCCTCTACCAGACTCGATGGAGATTGTAGAAGAAACCTACCTTCCGGAGGATGCCTACCAACAAAGTTACGATGAGACCTATGATATTCTAAATGAGAGGGTATGGCAGCATAGAATCGTCGAAATAATCGTAACTAATGTTTGCAGTTGGCGCGGGAAAACGAACGGAATCAACAAATTATGGAGGAACTAGCTTCAGCAAAGTCCGTGATGGAGACGAAAACCGGGGAAATAGCCATAATTCGTGCTAATCAAGCCAAGCTCGCCGAGAACCATGACCGGCAATTGACAGCCTTGCGAAAGGCCATGGCGGAGGAGTCTGCAAAGCACAAGGAAGAACTGGAAGCTGCCCGGGCCGAGGGCAAGATGTTGGCTACGGAAAACGCATTTCTTAGACAAGATCTCGCGGAGGAGGCACGAATGAACGGCTTGAAGGCGAAAAGTAAAGTGGAGGATAAAGTACCTCCCGTCACGCCCAAAAAGTCCAGAATTCTTCCATTCCGTGACGGATTCGACGATGATGAAATCATTGCCATCTCGCCTAGCAAATCGCAGGGGGGCCGGTCCAAACGAGGCACGCCTACTGTGCCTGGGAAGAGGAAAAGAAAACATAGTCAGGGTAGCCCAACCCCGTTGCAGTTGGACCCTCAGCCAGAGCCCATGATGGAAGAAGCCCCAGGGGACACATCAGATGATGCTATGATCGATGCTGAGCATTATGAGCCAGTCTCTATACAGAGCGAGGATCGCAATATGGGGTTGATGAAGCGGATCTTGAACCACCGAAGGTCTCCTAACGAAGAGCGCGATATCGAGGTGATGGCGCAGTTGACTTTCCCGTCAGAACCCCAACAGACGATATCCAGCATCGTCCTCGAAGAAACGTCCAATGTTCACTCGGGCAATTTCCCGGTAGAGTATGGACGGACAATTGCCTCTCTGTGGGCTCGTGCTTTGAAAGAGAAATTCTACAAGCCCATTCCAATGTTCATGTCGATTATCCGGTTCATCTTTGCGCTGGATATGTGTACATCCGTCCCTGATCTGATTGAGCACTTGGTGCCAGTATTGCAAGAATCTGGGGATGTCAATGGAGTCCCACGATTCAAACATTCGCCCGTCTCGCGACAGAATCTAGGCCAGATCCGCCAGACGCCCGTTTCCCAGCTACATCCCGAGGTGGATTCGACAGAGGCGTTGAGTATGCTCTACCACATGGCATGTGGATGTCTTCACGTCGAGCGAGCGATAAAGAATTTCTGGCGACACATACGCTACGACTTCATCTTAATGATGCTAAACTGTTCCCAGCCGATCAAGGACATTATCCTGACTCTGAACCTACTATCGACCAGTATCCGCCCAGGGTTGTTTGGGTCGATCCACGAGGCAGAGCAAGACCAGATAGCCAACGAGAACTACATTGTCGACCGTGTAGGTAACCTGCTGAGCGAAATGCCTCAGGTGGACGAGGGACAGGATCCATACACACCGCTGGAAATTTGCAGCATGCGTCTGGAGGCGCTGTCCCTTCTGATGGCGCTGGTCTTTAACCCCATCGACCCGAACGACAACCACGGCATATCGGTGATTGCGTCTCATCCGACGGTACTAGCGCGATTGATTCGAGCAATGCATGACGAGCTGGATGCATTGTATTCGTACTCGCCCGAACAGGATCTACACTCGTCACTGGTCAACGGGTTGATGCGGGTTATATATGGAGTAATACGTCGTCATCACGAGCCGGTAGATCTGCAGGCAAAACTCTGCCGACTGGCGGGGGGCAAACAGAAGTTTCTCGTCGTGTTGACCCGGCTGGCGTTTAGTGAAGGACCGATTTTGGAGGCGGGAATTGATGATGAGACGGTGGAAATGGCGCATGAGATGTTGGATGATGCGGTAAATCCTCAAGAAGCGGAGGCTTTACTCGAGGCGTTCCCCAGTGCCAAACGTGACGATTAATGACTGATTCTGCTATGTATGTTTAAAAGCTCAGCTATATACCCGCCAAATAATTGTATTTTATATTTAATTTCATGATTGTCATACTGTCTGTAAACTACCGATCTGTAGTCATCACTGGTGATATATTTCTGCTACGGGGTGAACTGACTGAACACACCCACTGACTCCATACTTAACCCAGACAAACAGGTACTGTTTTTCATTTGGAAGTAGATTTTAATTATTGACTAGTCAAAGGTGGCTCTTAACGATCATCTTCCTTCTAAGCAAGTGTTGTTTGTTGGGAGAGCATGATTTCATCACGAATAACTACATCTACCGACCGGGACAGTTGGAAGACGTGCCGACTCATGCCTAGGAACGACCTGATATGCTGACAAGACTCGGTAAACGAAGACATTCTCCCCACTATTGAAGAGACACAAGAGCAAAATAGTGCTTTGAATTACTTATTCTACATGCTTACAGTGTTTACAGTTGAGGTCTCTTCTCCATACCCCCGCGCAAGGCGAAGAAATGATGAAAAGATAAAGTATCCCGAAGGAAGAGTGCCAAAGAATACGCCTGTCAATGACCCGAAGGCCGTTGAACGGACTGTTCCGCCGCGCTGTGCAATGCAGGGCCCAATCCGTGGTGAACCGCCTTCTTGATCGCAGTCACCCAAACAAGGTAAGTATGAAGAAAAGAAGAAGAAAAAGTCTAAGGGGTGGAGGGAGAAAGATGCTTTTATATTGCTGGGTGGAGTCACGGGACAGCGCTAGTGGAAGCGAGGCGTTTTCCGCCAATAGGATGCCAGCTGTTGGCTTCTTGTTTGTGCCTGAAATTCCAGGCATATTTATTAATCAGATCACGTGGATGAAGATTTCCCCCAACGCCGAATGCTTCAAGCACCGACGAGGTTTGAGCATAGCAAAGGGAACGCCGTGTCCACATATCGCCATCATGAGGAACAGGGCTACCACGCCATTGAACAAGGCGGTACGTGATTTCTCCGGAATTCTCCATTCATTTCTCAGTTTCAAGCTCCAGCCTGCTGACTTTCGTCTGTTTAGAAAATTCGACAATCATGGAGTAAATACAACCTGTATAACTTGCAACGATTCCGCAACCTCCCCACGAACAACAAAACCTTCTTCCAGCAGAAATGGGCCGCCAAATCCGCCGCTCGTAATTACCATGGTGAACAGGTCCGGGAGAGTCAATGGGAGCGCATGTTCTCCCGTCGCATCCGCAGCGTCGTCCCCATGAACCCCTGGAGACTTGCTCAGGATGACGGGTCTAACGCGTCCGCTGGTCGGGGGTCGGGCCTGGAAACCACTCCGGCTGAGGAGCTTGATCTTGCGTCTGCCAACAAGAAGTCCCGTACTCCGGCATTAACGCCCTTCACCCAGATGACGTTTGCTCCCTTGGAGCGTCGGTTGGATGTTGCGATCTTCCGTGCTCTGTTTGCCAGCAGTGCCCGACAGGCTCGGCAATTCGTTGTGCATGGAGCTGTCACTGTGAATGGAAAGCAGGTGTGTATTGATTGATCCATGTTCAGGTGTGTTGTCAATTGACTAACATTCAACGCTAGATGAGACACCCCGGCTATCTTCTCAACCCCGGCGATCTCTTCCAGGTGGACCCCGAACGGGTCATGTTTGCTACCGGTGCACCCAAGGACAAGAGTGAACGTCGTGCGGGACGTTTAGCCAGACAAAAGCAACAGGAGCAACAGGAGCAACCGGAGGAGGAGAAAGCGGAGGAGACTGAGCAGAAGGGCGAGAATGAGGACAAGGCCGAGAAAGAAGTGGAAGTCAAGGTCAATGAGAATGAAGATCCCCGGAAAACATTGAAGACTCTGCTGGCCAACGCCAAGAACATCATGGCCGGTAGCAAGGACGTCCTCCCCGCCAAACGCAAGCAGGAGCTCCGCGGCTTCCAAAGAGCCGTCCGCAGAGTCCTCTCTCGCTCCGAATCCAGCACCATCCTCAACGACAGTTTGGAATCCCAATTCTCTGAGCTTACATTGCTGCTCAAGGCCAAGCGAGCAGAGAAGCCCGACAACAAGAAGAACACCCCCCGCGCTAAATCCGATGAATCCTCGACAGAAGAAGCCGACACCAAGGCTCAGGCTAGCGAGTCCCAACCCGGAGAGAAACTGACCGAGGCTTTCAAGAAAGCCGCAGAGAACCCCGAGGGAGAGGTGGACACATCCGAACTGTCGGACAGCGAATTCGACGTCCTCAGACGGGCACTGACCCAGATGCGTGACAACCCGATTGACAGCACCAAGCCCTACGCCACCCCATGGCGGCCCCGGGACTACATGAGCGCCTTCACGTTTATCCCCCGCTACCTTGAAGTGAACCAGAACATCTGCGCGGCGGTTTACCTGCGACACCCCGTGGCTCGACCTGGCTACTCGGAAGTGCCGACTCCGTTCAGCGAGAGCATTGCTACGGCTGCATTTTCCTGGTACTTGAGAAGACGGTAGAGGACCAGCATGACTTGTAATAATGTTCTCTTCTTCCTCCTTCCCTCTTACTGTCTTCTCATCTTCCATCCATCTCTTCCCCCTCATGTACTGTATTACTGGGTCGCTGGTCTGTTTTATTTTTATTTTTTTTGCTCCTTGATCTCTAGTGCTCATAGATCTTGATTTTGTGTCCCCTATGAGAGGACAAAAGTGTCGTGTTGCAAATGGTGTTGGAGCCTGTTGTTTTATGAGCACGCCTGTACAACCAATATAGCCATGGAATTGTAAATGCATAAATCATCACCGATGATTCTCAAATAATGATCCAGTCCAAGTGAAAGTATAGATGCAAATAATAATGTTCAAATAATCCAAGTGCTCAATTTCACTGCAATAACGGCCAGGTTTACAGTTTGGGGTTTGGATTCTCCGCCGCGGGTGAAAATTACCGTAACACATGACCATTTTGCCGCAGGAGACTCTCCGCCGGCCGTAAAATTGCAATTCGGCCAGCGGATTTTCACTTTCCCTCCATTTCCTTTTATCAATCAATCAAAGCATCATTATTTACATCCGTGGCGACCGATCGAGACCATTTTACCAATTAGAATAGCGGACCCCCATCAAGGTTCCTGATAGCGAAAAAAAGAAAACGATAACAAAGACACCTTTTTGCAACCTCTTTCAAACGCCATGTCGATGTATCCCTGGCATGGGACGACAAACCACTCCGCAGCAGCACAGTCAGGACGAGTCAACGCACCCCCAACCCCCTCATACCAAATGCCTCAGCTACGATGGCTGCCGTCGATGATGTCGCGATCGCAGCAAAACACCCACCCAAACCCCAACACGACCCTGCCCACCATCTCGTCGAATCTGCGCATGGGCCGGAATTCAGACCACCAGCCTGTCTCGGTGGTGGTCGAGACCCGTCCCACCGAGGACTCGGCCGATGCGTCGGATAGCGAGCATTCGGAGAATAGCGTTTCAGGCACAAATCGGGATGTCATGGGGATGGATGCCCCCGGAGATCCGGACTATGTGCAGTCACCCCCGGAGATAATGGGTCAGGGGGCAACGCGACGAGGGAGCGGAATGAATGCCGTGGGCACGAGGAGTAGTACTGTTGGAGGAGGGGGTGGTGGTGCACCGATGGTGCTGATCGGGGATGACGATGATGATAACGGGGCCGATGACACATTGACAGGTGGGATGGTGGGAGGAGGGGGAGATGTAGGCGGAGATACGTCACGGAAGCATGGCAAGCGATTAACCACCAAGGAGGAAGTGTCGCTGTTTGACCTGTGCAATCGACATGCGCACGAGTTTGGTCAGCGGAGTAATCTCTGCAAGTGGTGGATGACAGTGACGGCCGAGTTCACGCGCGAACAAGGCCATCCGTACTCGTGGCACTCGGTGCGACGCAAGGTGGAGCTGGTCACGAAGCAGCGCATGAAGTTCCTCGAGGAGCAGCGCGATAAAGGCGGCAATGGGACGGAGGATCTGTCGAATCCTCGCTGGCGAGCGGCCGTGGATGCGTGGATTCCCACCTGGCAGCGCTGGGAGGAGGCCGAGGCCAAACGCATCGAGAAACGCGATTCTCGCAAGTCGCGCAAGAGAAAGGACCGCACGTGGGATTCATGGGACGGCAATTCGGACAATTGGAGATTGCCCTCGAGTCCTGTCGTGGATGCCGGCAATACCAGTACTGCCAGTTATCAGTCTCAAACGCCATCTCAACCTCAACCTGCAGCATCAACAAGCAGTATGCAACCTCCTGCACCTCCACCCAATGCCATCACGTCCACTCCATCTCAAAACACCGTCCGATTACCCCCAGGCTTCGACTCCATGTTCTCAACTCCCTCCCCTCACACATCCTCAAGACCAGCACCATCCGGATACCAAAACTACACCCAACAACAGCAACCTACCACATCATCCACAACCCCCAACCCAGCAGAAACCAACAATATGATGGCCGCCATGCTAGAAACCCTCGGCAAGATAAACAAACACCTCGACGCCGCCCAATCCAACCCCCGTTCCTCCCCCATCATCTCCGCCGTCGCCTCTACACCCACACAAGCAACGCCCGAACACACCCGAGCAATAACGGGAACCGACTCCGAAGACGTATCCCAGGTCACGGCAGCGTCGATCTCCAAGCTCAAGGAGGAACTGCGTCAAGAGATGCAGGCCGAGCTGCGGCAGGAGTTGGAGAAGGATCGGGCTTCGTTGGAGGAAAAGCTAGACTCGGTGCAGAGGACGCAGGAGATGATTCTAGAGATGCTACGGCAGGAGCCTGCTTGATCTGATCTGATATGATTTGATCTTTATCTTCTTTATACATAATTAGGTAGTTTTATTTTTGATCAAGATACCCACCCGATTGTAATTATATCTACTTCTACGATGCTTCATCTCATCTGGGACACATGTCCATCCGTCTCCAAATCGTAGTATATTCCTAGTGCTACAGGAGAATACAACAAGGGTGGGTTTTAAAAAGGATATTCCGGGCTAAATTACAGATAATAAACGTTCAGCTCAAGTACGCTTCATAGGAGCTTGCCAATTTTTCTCTCTCCTTTCCTCTCTCCTCTCCGAGTTCACCAAGGGATATATATTCTAGTAGTAGTGGGTCTCGTCGACGGTACGGCCTCTCATCCATCGGGGCTCGCTGCCGCGGACGTAGATGTCCTCGTACAGAATGCGCTTGGTGTTCTCGGGGGCGGGCATGGCCTCGGCGATGGCGACCTCCTCGTCGACGAAGGCACGAGCGGCCTTGTCCAAGCCCTTGAGCTCGTCCTCGGTGCAGACGCTCCAGTCGAGGATCTTCTGCTTGAGACCGGCGATGGGGTCGTTGGTGCTGCGCATACGCTGGATCTCCTCACGGCTACGGTAGGTGGTACCGGGGTCGGACATGGAGTGACCTCCGTAACGGTAGGTGACGTACTCGAACACCAAGGGACCCTTACCGGCGACGGTGTAGTCCTTGGCATACTGGACGGCGGCCTTGGTGGCCAGGACGTCCATACCGTTGACCTTGATACCGGGGATGTACTGACCACGCTTGTAGTACTCGGTCAAGGCGGATGAACGAGCAGCGGAGGTACCCATACCGTACTTGTTGTCTGTAACAATTAGCATCGCAGATTGCTCAAATTCAAAAAAGAAACATACTCTCGCAACCGAACAGAACGGGGAGCTTCCACAGCTGGGCCATGTTAAAGGCCTCAAAGACCTGACCCTGGTTAGCAGCACCGTCACCGTACAGGACGATACTGGTGTTGGGCTGCTCGTTGTACTGCTGGGCAAAAGCCAGACCGGCACCGACAGGGACCTGGGCACCGACGATACCGTTACCACCGTAGAAGTTGGGGGCAAACATGTGCATGGAACCACCCTTGCCGTAAGCAATACCCTCACGGCGACCGAGGAGCTCTCCGATGATCGAGCGGACGGTACCACCGCGCATCAGGGCGAAACCGTGGCATCGGTAGGCGGTGATGATCTTGTCGTCACGGTTGATAGCGTGTTCGATACCGACGGCGACGGCTTCCTGACCGCTGGACAGGTGGCAGAAACCTCTGATCTTCTTTTCCTTGTAGAGACGGTCGGCAGCCATTTCCATACGTCTGTAGAAAGGGGAATCGCCCGGTTAGATTGGATTGGCAGGAAAGGCACTCCATCGATAGCTTCCATACCTTATCGAGACCATGTCGTAGTACATCTGCTTGAGGTCCTTCTTGGTCACATCCATGGTGTACGGAGGGGGGTCGACCTCGTAGGTCTCGAAGCTCTCGTCGGAGAGTCTGACGGTGAAGGGCTTGTCATCCTCCTAGAGACAGTAAAGGTGGTTAGAGAGACTGCAATCCTGACACGACCGGATTTGATGCTTCTCAACAAACCTGGGGGATATTTTCAGCATGCGACGAGGCGGCGTCGGTGGTGACGGAACGACGGGCGTAGGGAACAAAAGCCTGACGCCTCAAGGGCGCGGCCTGGCGGGCCCACAAAGCTCGGGAGAACATATTGGACAGTAGAAAAAGTCCAATTGACGGAGGAGGAGGAGTTGATGATGGAGGAGAGATTGGCTATCTTCAAACGATGAGATGTTGGGATTCTGGGAACAAACTTCCCCTGCGGCTAGGCGGAATTAGGAAATAATAATTACCTAATACGCTCTTCCATTTTGGGCCCGGTGTGCACGGTGCAAACAGGGCAAACAGGGCCTGACAATTCAGGCAGACTTCATTGCAGTCTTCTATTTCTAATCCATAGTCTATCATACGTTTACGTTAGTCTGCCATCTCTAGATGACTACGATAGCTGTGTTGAGATTTGTTGATTTTCGTCCTGCTGTTGAACACCGAGTATCTGATCAGTCAAGTCGTGCTGGCGGTGTGCCGATGCTGTGGAATCTGGATGGATACACACTCGGAGCTTCCCGGGCAGACTTGCAGAAGCATCGGAGTGTTGTAAGGGTTAAATCTGCAGTGTTAAGGGGCCATCAACGATAGGAGTTGAATCGGAGGACTCCATTAGCCATGGATTGGAAGAGTTTGAGTTCGACTTTGTTTGTGGATATTGGAAGATGAGTTGATATAAGTCATGCTCATTCACAAAACAGCCCATCCATAATGGATGTAGTAGTTTATCGTCCATTGACTTGTGGATGAGCAATATAGAGACGGAGTAAAGGTGGGTATATCATATCACGTCGAGTTGGACAAGAGCTGCCGATATATATGATACTCCGTACCAGCGCAGTAACACCAGGCGTCAGTTGGATTTGTCATTCACGATTCTCCATTTTTGATCTTCGATTCTGTTGAATAGTAATTCCATCAAGATCAATAACGGGGTGTACCTTTTGGTCGAATGGCCATATTCAACTTCGAATCGAGTCTTTGAATTTAATTGAGTCCATGATTGTCCTGTAGCTCTGGTAGCATCGTCTTCTTCCATAACATCTAGGGCCTGTCTTGAACAAGACCCTGGCTCTATCCCTAGAGATCTGGTTGTAAAGCTCAGTGCCGTCTCTCATTGAAGCCGGATACCAGGAATGGTGACTGGTGAGAAGGGATGGAATGCGATGAAGAATGCGCCATGTGCCTGACGGTTCAGACCTCAGAGGTGGCTTGAGGATTCCTTCAACTTGAGAATTTGCGTCATGTCTGTCAGCGTCATGCCTGCCAGCAAGGCCAGTTAATCGCTTAAGATGAAACCTCACTGAAGAGTGATGATGATGCAAGAAGCAGACGAGCTGAAGGTGAAGCAAAGCTGAGACGAAGAGGTGGGGATCAATTCTGCATTGGGATAAATAAGCGACACCAACACTGAACACAGCATTCAATGCAATGAATCATGCATCTTCCAGAAACCCGATCTTGGCGGGGAAGATCGAGATCGAGGAGCAAGTGGATAAAAAATCCCATCGACATGGATGACAGTTCTCAAACTGGTGTTTTGTCAGGCTGTCTCACTCTGAGAAACCACTCAATTAATCCCGCATGCAGAACGCGTCTGCTGGTCCACTTGAGTACAGCATTTTCAGTATTTCTAATATGTTGCAGGATTGGACTCCTTCCGATTCAAAGCAAGCCAAGTTTGCGAGGTTTCATCTGATGCGAAAAAGGACAGGGATGTCGACCGAATTTGGAATTGTCAGCCTATGAAGACGAGGTGTTGCGAGGCTGTGATGAGGCCGATGTTTAGCCTAGTCGAGGATGGATCTATGGTTCTTCTAGAGGATTTCTCATAGCTCCAACTTTAGGGCTTAGCCTGGTCTGTTCGTACAGAATTACCATTTCCATCAAGGAGAAGCTGAACGGGAGGATGTGGATAAAGGAGTGGAGCTCGATAGTGTTCCCAAGTTCCAACCCCCTGGGTCAAAGGAGATGATATTCATGGCTGTTTTATGTGCGTCATGATGCACTAGAGATAGGGGTTCAATTCACTCCTTTTTCGGACAGTGGCCGAGTCATGAGCATGAGCATGAGTCAAGAGTAGATGATCTTGATCTATGATTTACTGTGCTAAAAAAAAAAGGGGGTATTAAAAGTATGTGCATAGTAGCTATGTAGTATCTATATGGTGTTGTTGTAGTGTTGTATACAAACTGTAGATACCCCACGTGTTCACTTCAGTGTAGAGAAATCTCCGACTGAATCGAGTAACCTCAACGAGCGCAGACAACGAGATGACTGGCTGTGTTTTGGCTGCATCTCGGGCCTTGACATTAGTCTGCTGCAGAAGAACAGGGAGAAAATTCTGGAACATTTCAGGGACAGAATACAGAATGGTGACTGGTTGTACTAAGCAGCAGCTAAGAGTGGAGTTGACCCTCCTGATAAAGTTCTACATACTACATAGTACACTCTGTATACACTGCGTATACTGTATGTAAATATCAGTAAATATCAGTACTGATGGTGCGACAGACATTTAACATCTTATCTTTGTTATGCTGTCAGTGAACCTGATCGACGGTGGCAGCGTGGATTGTATTGACATCTCCTACACCGGTTGTTCCAGCAAAACTATATTATCCATTCTATTCTATTCCAACAGCGTTACGGAGTATTATTATAATAAACATCTCAATCTAATCCAATATCCACTGACTTGGCATATCGGAATACCCGAACAAAAGTACTTGCAGGATCTCAGCGTCACACCATCTCGTCCAGCAAAGTTTAAACTGTCTCTATATTCATGTGATAGCGATGGTGATAGTACCTATGTCAGCCCTCTGTATGGATGGTATGCATAGGATCTATCTGTCTGCAAAACCGTTGAATGTGATGCATCACCTGTCAGATACCTTATAAATCCAAATGATCCATCATAAACCACCACAAATCACATCGGTAACCCCGAATACGACCGGTGAAGGTCAACACATCTGAAACACCGGCCAGATGCAAAAGTCCGATCACATTACTAGCATGTATTCTGTATACACTATACAAGTATGCATATGTATGGGTAAGTGTGATTGTTGATTGTATCTGTCGTAGATACTACGGATGTAGGTAGTCCTAGTAAAGTTAGTTTACTACTACTTACTACAAGATAAATAATATTATAATTATAATTATACAGAGTATACAAATACAATAAATGATGTCTGTTCTAGACTGCGTGAGATGGCACCTGCAGATGGAAATATATCTATCAGATGGCACCCTTGCATAGGGATTTGCCTTTCGGACGATAGATCTGGTGAATCGTGTGATATGCCAACTCTGCGGTGATCGGATCATATCCTCTGTCCAACTACCGATAACTGACCGTTCCATGAATGAAGGAGGAAAATGGCATCATATGGATGAACCTGATCTTCCAGAACCATTCTTTGCTCTTCTTCCATTTTTTCTCGACATTTCCGATGCTGGATGTTCCATGGTTGAGCAAAGTTACTGATCGGGGTTGTCCCTCTTCCTAGTATTTAAGTACTACTTACTATGTACTATCTTATTGATCGACAAGGTGATAGGATAAATCACTGCATATGCATATACGATATACGATACTTGATAATATCAGAATTAGATATAATAGGTACTTTGTACCTACTCTGTATGTGTATAATATTCTACACGAGCCGAACAAGGTTTACCGTTATTTGGTCCGCGGGGAGATCAACACGATGGACAACCCCGACGGCCATCCATCGCCAACAACTCCAACGATTTGGAGATGATCCGGATTATCACATTGCTAGATCTACAGAGGATCTCCGCATATGCACTGATAAGCAAGGGATAAAGCTACATGACTTGGATACTTGGAAGTTGGCAGTGGTTGATAAATTCGGCTGAATTGCCAAGTGGCAAAAGTCAGATGGCATCATCAGATGATCATTGGAATGGATGAAAATTGGGAATATGCGAGGATGAACAGAGTAAGTAAGAGTCGAGAGAGATGGAGGCCTTGAAGGATTCGACAGTTTCGGACAATAGGCATCATTACGGAGTAGTCTCCTATGAAGATGGATGGTCTCCGTCCGTACATCTCTAGTCCTGCAGGGTAAGAAACTAGCAAAGTATACAATATAATTATTATGATAAATGATAATACTCTGTACTAGCCAAGTAGCAAACAAGACAGAAAGCAGACGACGACCATCTCCGTCGGAGGAGACGGAGGAGACGGAGGACGAGGAGAGGAGACTAAGTAATACTACCCCTATTGATGTGCATGACAGAAAACGTTCAGATGATCGACACTCGTTGCCGAAGCCAACCTGGGAAAAAGGACAATCCTTCCTAGATTGTGCAAATGCGGACTGACGCGGACTCACAGGAATAATTGGGGCAGTCGGTACTATTGAGATGGCGACGGACAATGGGGATTGTTAGCGATATCCCGATCAGCAGCCACCACAATACGGAGTAATAACAATCATATTATAATCATGACTTGCAGTCAATGCGTGGAATTCTCCGATTCAGGAGATCGATCAGATGGATCAATCCCATACAGTCTGTGTAGACTGTATCAGTGTCGACTGTAGAGCACTATGAGGTGTTTCTGCAGCTCATCTATCCAGCAGTTTGGATCATTCGGTAGGTTCTTTAGTAGGAGGAACGCTGGTCCAACCATGGCTTGCTGGAACTCTGTCTAGCACGCTACCAATGGGGTCATCTGTATTCTGAACCTGTCTGTATCTGTGTATTTGTGTACGGTTCTGAGCCAATTCTCCGGGTGGCTGCATATATTGACTTTTCTCCTCTTCTTCCAAGTTTTACCTACATACTCCGTATACTTACATATGTAGGTACTTTGTCTGTATTCTGCAACTACTCTGCTGTACTTGTACTCCTGTCTGTAGGTACTCCGTAGATACTCCGTCTATACGTGTAATACGCCATACGGTACATACAGACTTTCAGGGGTCAGTGGATAGCCCCACGTTCCCTAGCACGAGTCGGATCCATGGATCGCCCCCCAGTCTGCCCCACCACGGCCGGCGAGTTCCCAATATTCAGCGCCAATAAAGTTCACTAACCCTGCTTAGCCGCAACGCCGCCCTGTCCTGGCCCGGACACCGTCGGTAATTTTACCACCATTGGTATGATGATTACCCCATCTTAATCTTGTCTTCTTGTCAACGCCTCCATTTTCATCTCCTTTTGCTTTCGCTCTCTGTCTTTTCTCTTCAATTCCTTCTCTGCTTGTTTCATCTTTTGCTCTCTCTTCACGATCTTCTCCTCTCCTCCCTTTGCCCC